CTATAAGGCACCTATGTTAAAGTTTGGTAATTCCAAATATTTGTTTACATAGGAAGTGCTATTCAAAATGGCCGATTGGGTAAAATTAATTTGCACATTTTTACTTCAACTAGCTTTATTTCCACTAGACAATATGCTGTGTTACTTTTTATTGCATTTAATTGTACCTTACTATTTAATTGGAATTTTGTAATGTTTATTTTATTGAAAAAATGTTTCCTCCAATTGATAATTTTGTGCAAAAAATTTCACTGCAATTTCCACAGGAAAGTAGTACATCATAACAGACTGACTTCTAGTCAGTCTGTTGGATACATACTAGGACCTATCCGTTCGAGTACGTTCGATGAAGTTTGTAAATAGACTCCAAACGGTTTTAAGTACGTCCATTCCGTTCGTACACAGCTGAAGCCCGTTTTCGAGAACGTAGTGAAAACTAGTTTGGTGTGATAGTAGGGTTATGCAAATCCCACGCAGGTGATAAATACGTGCAACGAGACAGCAAAATTGTAGAAGTTTATGTATGTTGTTGATTCATGTATCCAATGAGTCCTCATTACGTACACGTTTGTCTGCGGAAAACATGCACCGAAGTATGTAACCAAAGGGTTTTTCCTACGATGGTATGCTGAATATCTCTAGTCACTAATTGAGATTCAATAGATTTTCATTCAATGTTGATGATTTTCCCTATAGACATGGCTTCATATGAAAGCACATATAGTATACTATGTGGTTGTTCTGCAAGCTGTTAATTAACTTTATGTTCACCATTTATTGTTATTATCACAATGTAATTTTTTATTGGTTACTCAAGAGATCGTTTTACAAGATAAAGCAATTCACTCAGGACAATCAAGTATTTCATTTCCCAGTTACATATATGTATGGGAACCGGATGAGAACCAATAATAACACGGCGCACATTTTGCAGGTTGATTGACTTTATAATTAGCTCCATGCAAACTGCAATCAGACTCCAATTGTTGCTACAATTAACATAATTAACTAGCTGCATAATAACAATTGTAACCAATAAGAGCCAGTCATTAACTTGAAGTATGGTTGCATAGTCTTGCTCAAAGACTGTATCCACCCCCCCCCCCCCTCCCTGTCACCTTCACTCTCTTTAGCTGGCAATATATAGAGAAGGATAAAGGGGGGGGGGTACATGGTCTTTTAAGCAAGACTAATGGTTGCAGTTTCAATAGATTAAGCGGTAGCCGCATTGTGGGATCCACAGCCTTTACTATCCTTTTGGAATAGTTCTCTCAAAAGCGTTAGGTAAAGAGGGGCTCTGATAAATCAAGCGGTAGCCGTCATTTGAAATAAATGTACAGGTTTCATCATCATGGAATTCGAATAAAATATCTTTAAATGATTTGTCATAGTTGCCATTACTGTATTTTGACAAATATCAGAAAATATTAGCTGCCATATATAGTATGAATTATAAAATGTTGTACTTGATCCTTACATTTTTCAAATAGTTGCCTAAAATGTCCACTTGACTCTATCTGTATATTGTTTCGATTTATCAACAGCGAACTCATCGTATTTTATATATTAGTTTTACTTAAAATGTGATCATTTAACATACGGTAATTCTTTTGAACGTTTTCAACAAATTGTACACTCCTTTCTCCAGTTCTAATGTTTGGGAATGTTTCATTCTCGTTTGCGTTGTCTTCAAAAGTGACATTTTCATGGCTCTCATTCATGTGCGCACATGTATTGTTATATTGTTGTATTTGTTATTGTTATCGAAAATTAGTTTTAGATTATGTAAGAAAATGTTCAATTTGGATAATATGTAATTATCATGTACAGGATGGCAATTGACAAACTCTCACACGTTAAACTACTGCACTCTTCAAACAACATGTAGTTACTGAAAAGTACTCGTTTATGCCTTGGTCACATTTCTTCCGATTTTCACTACGGCGCCCGGCCGATTGAGTATTTTGTTCAAAATTAAATACAATATTGAACAAAACACTCAATGATCCAGGCTTTTAGTTACAATATGTGGGAGCATCGAAGATTTAATGATGTTTCTTTTGCCTTATTTCACGATCTGTAGATAGTTTTCATGACATTTTTAGCAAAAACGTGTGTGTCAGAGTATGTTTAAGGGAATATGCAAGTTTGTGATGAACGATCGTTCAAAAGACGACAGTTTCATCAATATAATATCTCACTAGTATTACATAAACGGTAGGATGATTCTATTGTCTTATTGTCATATGAAACTGACAAACGTTCGTAATAAAAATGTCCTCGAAATAATTCGTGAAATAAGGAAAAAGGAAATCTTAATTTCGAGATGACATGACGATATTTTGTTACCGAAACGGATCCTAGTTTGAAGAGTACAGTGTAGTTCGATTGAAGTAGCTGCGATAAGGCTACACAGATAATTAATTGTTGCAGAATATCATCAACATAACTAAATGACATGTAGTATTGTCCGGATGTAATTAAATAACAGTTGTAGTATATGTAGAATAGAATTTTGAATAAAAAGATATTATATATGATAGTTGATAAATCTGAATGTGCATTTTGTTTGTTCAATTAAGTAAGCTTTAGATTTATTTTATTTGAGATAGAATGCAAAAACAGCATAGTACGAGAGATGAGCAATCCGGTTTGCTGAATGGATTCTCGTATTGGAAATGATTATTAGCAATTGTTATATTCAATTATACTCAAAAATGGAAACCGACCTTTATATAACTCATATAACGGATGATCACACTTGACAATTGTCATATCCGATATGCATGGCTTATGTTTAATACTTAACTTTATCCAACGATTATTGTGGAATCTGTACAATAACACCCATTGATGTTTCTGATATTCTCGTGTGCTACTCATACGGCTGATATCGTATATGTACAGCCATTTTGTAAACTTGAATGAAATGTTTTAATTTTATGAATTATTGAAAATCAACGTGTGATCAAAACCTAATACCAGATCATTTTTCCTCTTAGGTATGAAATATTTAATATCAACTCGGGAATACAAACATATCACTCAAAACAATCTGGGTTTTGTATTAAATCATCTTTGTGAAAAGCTGTATTTCATTTAGAGAGAATATTTTAATGCATTTTATGAATGGATTTTGGCAGTATTTAATTTTTGTTTTAAGTTTTATTTCCATTTTCATCTCCCATAAGGATCCTAATTCCCTTTATCCTCTAGTAGTCACTCCCGAAACTAATCAAAATATTGTTCTTAAAAACCTGTTGTTATCGAAACATAAATCGATATCTTAAACAAATCAAAAATGCCAATCAATAAAAAGAACCAATGGAATAATTAATAAAGCAGGCATCACTAACGGCTTTTCGAGGAGGGGAAATATGAATATGAATTCGGGTATATGAGCTGGTATATGAGGTTCTGGTTGTTTAGATTATCCCAAAGTCAATATAATACATTTCCCCAAGAACTCGAGGCATGGGTTTCAAGGACAGATATAGAATGGAACCGACTACAGATTGGTATTTTTATCCCATACCACTCTGATGGCGACGATTAACACTGATGGCGAGCGGCGGAGATTCTGTAAGAGACAGAATCAAAACATCTGCCCGCTTAGCAAGAAAGTAAAGATTCCTGCCACATGTCGAAAGTACATAGAAATTATCCTATATAAGGTTCGAGATATTTGGATTATCTCGAGGCCAATATACACTTCTATAATGATAACATTATATCTGCCCGAAGGTCGTAGGTCCCGAGGGTAGACACATTATATTGGCCCAGGGATAATCCCAATATCCTTAACTGACTATAAGATGATCTGTTTATTCCCCCAACAATCTTGCTCAACTAGTTACATTGTTCAATTGGCCGAGTTCAGAAAAAATCAACCGTAGGAATTCTTTTAGAATAGTCATGTCAAGTTTTGTTTTCTTGACCGTAGTAGGATTTTCCTGTTCTTTCAATCAGATATTATCCACATTTACATTTTCGTATCTTTGATCATTTACAGGGAAGAGTACAGTATATTCCTTCCCTTGTTTCAATCAGCAAACAGATCGCGATCGTCTTCATTTTTCGCCATTCCACCAACATACGAACGGCGATTGTAACGTAGCGGGCAGATATCGGGGCAGATATAAAATACCCGCTCAGGCCGAGACGTTAAGCTATATCATGGGCTTTCAACTAGAAGGTTCTAATTGAAAGCATAATTGAAAGCCCATGGCTATATCTGCCCGCTGACCGTGAACTGTGATTAAATTAAAACGGATGTTTGAGGTGTGTAAACGAGCCAGGATACGCAAATAACACATATGAAGCTACATTTTGATTAATCCGCAACACGAGACTGGACTCCGATTATAATATGTTGAATTTAATTCATTCGTTTTACTATCTACACATTCCCTTTTGACTTGAAAACAATGAAACAGTGCTTCCCTCTTTAAAATAATTAATCATTAAAAGCGTAGAAAACTTGAAATATAGCTAGTCAATCCCCGGGAATCTGAGCCTCCTATATTTTAACATGGGAAAAGTGGAAAAAGGTCTCAAAAACATATTTCTAGGGACGCGCCTCTCATTTATTTTCGTTTTCTAAGATTTCTGATAACTAGGTATCTTCCAACTGTGACACTTTGCTTCTATCTTATAAGGCATTGCAATGATTGAATCACAAGTGAAGGGTCTAACCTTAAAAAATGAGTTCATGGCTTTGCTAAATATGTTCTTAAGAAAAAAAAAATTTTATTACACATGTTGTCTTTTGGCATATCAAAATCCACCTCATTTCTAAAAAAGTGTCAAAATCCCATGATGATAACTTATAGAATAAAAGAGTTGCAGCATTCTAAAAAGCTCTCCTTATCGGGGGTAGACCTTTGTAAAATTTCGATCCTGTTTTTCAGGTTTTTGAGTTATCGCTGGGACAAACAAATGGATGGATTGACAGATTGTAGTAGTTTATAACTAGACTCTGCAAGCAGGGTATTTCTTACCTGATTGCTGCTGCAAATCCCTGAATAATCTCCCCTGCATTTGGCCCAAGGAAATGTAGTCCTAATACAGTCTCTTCTCCATTTCTATCACATATCATCTAAATACAAAGTTTAAACGTGCTGTACATGAAGATTAGTAATAAAGATAATTTTGGAATTTAAAAGCTTTGGCATATGGCCTGGTATTGTTGATGGTAGGCACATTTGAAATGTACCCGTACAATACATACATGTACATGGTATTATTATAGAGGGAGGCCAATAGAGCTTAGAATGCTATAGCAAAGCCACTACAAGACAAAGTGTTTATGTTTTATATGTAAAGTCAAATACATTCTTTGAGAAATAATAAAAAATAATAATATGATTCTTATATATCTCTGAGAAAGAAAATCAACAACTTTAAAGTTTGTACATTACTACCAGAGAGATGAACATTCATAGAAATATGATTCTTGCCTAGACGTCCATAGTATGTAAAAAATGTACCCCCCTTTTTGGGTCTTTCTTCGCTCACAGTGATGCAAACCCAATAAGTCACACCCCCTTGACATTTGCTGGCTACGTCCCTGTGTACTGTATTGATCATGGACCACGAAATGAATGTGCAAAATTAAGGTGTTTGAGTTCCATAGACTCACCTTTATATAACATTGATCACATGACCTTTCTGCTATAGTATACTCTATTGGCTTGTAAAATGCATGATAAACCTAAAATAAACACATTCAAACATTTCAACTCTCTGTAGATCGCAATTAAATTCAAGAGCTTGAATGCATTTTATCATACATGTACATATGTTTTAGGTAGCTAGATGTCAGTAATGTACACTGTTCCACAACTACTCAATGTAACAAAATGAATGAACTTCCTAGAAAAGAGTTTTTTGTTTTCTCAATTTAAACTTGAGTCATGTTGCGGATTATCAGATGGCACAAAGTTATATCATATAGTCTGGTTTTTAGAAATGCTCTCGGTTTGGAATTTGATTTTTCAACAGTGTCAAGATATAGGGACAGAAAATATTGGCATTTTGAAAGTTACCTTTTTTTCGTCTCTCTTATACAACACATAATTCGAAGACAATTTATGGGGGAAAGAAAAGTTGAAAAATGGTCAGAGAATCCATTTGAAAAAGCACTACTTTGGACTTAGTCATTTTTACTTTTTTTAAATAAAGCTGCAATTCATGCATTTAGATCATCACTTTTGTTACATTAACTGACTTTTGTCAATGTAACAAAAATGACAGCCCAAATACATGAATTGCAGCTTTATTTACAAAACAAATTCCAAATCGAAGAGACTTATCAAAACTGGACTATATTTTCTAGCTATGTGCCAAATTCTAATCTGCAACTTGACTTATAAATAGGTTTAAATCGAGAAAACAAAAAACTTGTAACCAGGAAGTTCATCCATTTGACATTCGGTCAAAGTAACTAGTTGTGGAACAGTGATGTAGTTCACATGTTATTTTCTCAGTCTAAGGTGTAAAAGATGTTGCTACCAATATTACATGATAAATATATCAATAAAAAACACACATCATCTCAAACTATTCTTAATTGGCTGACAATATGTTTTGCTAATCTGTAATACACATTGACTTTTTCCTATAAGAGTTCCTATACAGTACCTCAATATTATCTTCTCCAAACTTCTCAACAGCAAGCTCTTCCGACATCCCAACACACCCATATTCCAAAGGAGTAAACACAGTAGTTGCAACCTACAATCAATATAGTATGAATAATCATTGCTTGCAGTATTGGCATTAAGAATACAAGAATGTACCAGTATATGCTCATGGCCATACATATACAGTAAAACCTGTTTAAGTGGAAGACTTTTGCTTTGGTACCTCTAAAAAGTGTTCCATTTGAGAGGTGTTCCACTTATAGAAGTTAATTTAACAACAAGTTAGTTCGTCTTGGGACTGAAGTGATCCACTGACAGAGGATTTCACTTCAAGATATGTTCCACTTACAGAGGTGTTCAGCTTACAAAGGTGTTCAACTTACAGAGGTGTTCCACTTACAAAGGTGTTCCACTTAAAGAGGTGTTCCTCTTACAGAGGTGTTCCTCTTACAAAGGTGCTCCATTTACAAAGGTGTTCCACTTTTAGAGGTGTTCAGCTTACAAAGGCGTTCCACTTACAGAGGTGTTCTCTTACAAAAGGTGTTCCACTTACAGAGGTGTTCCTCTTACAAAGGTGTTCCTCTTACAGAGGTGTTTTCTTACAAAAGGTGTTCCACTTACAGAGGTGTTCCTCTTACAAAGGTGTTCCTCTTACAGAGGTGTTTTCTTACAAAAGGTGTTCCACTTACAGAGGTGTTCCTCTTACAAAGGTGTTCCTCTTACAGAGGTGTTTTCTTACAAAAGGTGTTCCACTTACAGAGGTGTTCCTCTTACAAAGGTGTTCCACTTATAGAGATGTTGCTTTTACAGAGGTGTTCTTTTACCAAGGTTTTCAACTTACAGAGGTGTTTCTCTTACAGAGGGGTTCCTCTTACAGAGGTGTTATCTTACAAAGTTGTTCAAAAAGTTTTTCCCTTGACAGTTTTCACTATGACAATTGGTCAAACAAATGATAATTGATAATTCATCTATTCACATAGAAGTCTAGATGATTATTCCATATTCAAAGAGTTAAAATGAATTCTAAAATTTTAAGGTATTCAGAAGCACACATGTACTTACAGAGTTGTAGTTCATCTGCTGCGTGCTGCTATTAAAAAGTCTTTGTGCTAGAAGCCTCCCAGCTTTAATGGCAACGGGAGTTAGTTCTGGTCCATCCTTATAAAAAGCAAATTGATAAATATTCATTATATCTTCATAATTTTTTTCATTTATTCCATTTTCATTTTTAGCTAGGTCAATGCTTCTTTGTTGTCTCGAAACAGTATTTCATTACAGTTTAGATTAACCACGCTACCCCCTCCCCCTAAAAATAAAAAATACAACTTTATTTGATTTTTTCATATTTTAAGTCACCTGATGGCTCCTTTGAAAAATCAATGTACTGTACACATGTAGACAAGTAAAATGTTATGGACTCACTCCACCAAATATATTCAAGTAAAAAATGCAATATGATCCACTTGAACAGTGTAAGTGTATTGATATAAAAACATCATGATCAACTTATTTTCCTCAAATTGCTTATGAAACAGCAACTTTTAGGAGCAGCAAATCCCATCAAAAGGGTGCTTTTATCAAATCATTAATTTTGAATATTTTATGCTATAAACAGTAATGGCATCTCATTAACCAAACATATCCTCATTAAAAGAACTGTGAAATAGGCTACCATTAAAGAAATACCTTAAGAATGTCACCAATAGCATAGATGTGTGACAATGACGTCTGTTCATAATCTTTATTGTGTCCACCAATCACAAAGCCCGATTTATCATCTATCTTAACGCCAACTTTCTCAAGACCAAGGCCTCTGGTCTGGGGCTCTCTTCCTGAAAAAATGATTCATTTTTGACTGACTTGTCAACAGATTCTTTTTCATTTTTAATGTTTACATACATGTACCAGAACACCATGAACTCAAATCTAAGATACGATGAGACGATACATAAATTACGCAAAACAGGTATTTCACATCGAATCATGGAATTAAATTGGGTGGACAATTAACTATAACTATTTAACATGTCAAATTATCTGAATTCAAAGTAGTAAGCTCATCATTTAAAAGTAACTTTCATCAATAATGAGGGTACAAATTTGTACTCCTTGGAAATAGGTTCAAGTTTATGAGAATAAACTACATCAAAATATAACTACAGTAAAACCTGTATATCTGAACATTTATCTTATTTTTCAGTTCCATTTTTAATTTGCAATATACTTCCATTTTAAACATCCGTGACAAATGAAGACCTGCCAATGTAAACACTTCTGGCCAGGCCAAGTAGTGTTCCCATTTGACAGGTTTTATCTTACGTAAGCACGAAAACCTTAAATTGAAGTGAGCTGCAATATTTATGTGTAGGGTTCTTTAAAGGGTGGCTCAAAATAACATTTTTTGGAAATGTATGCTCCCTATGTGAATCAAGGTGCATTTTGGGATAAATATAACCTGCCATTTTTTTCAAATTTTTTAGTTAACTTTTAGGGGGGCCCACAGCCTTTGAAGTTTTTAACATACCCACTGCTAACAGTACAGTGTCATAGACATCACTTTTGGTTGTGCCGTCCTTTTCTTTCCAGAACACTTTCAACCCCTGGTCTGTTTTCTCAACTCTTTCAGGAACAGTTTGCCACAAGAACTGTGTTCCTTTAGCTGCCATGTTATCTGCTATAAGACCTGCCATTTGCTGAAAGTCAAATTGTTAACGATCGCATTATTCTTGGTTTGTTCTATGTATTTTTGGTACATTTTTTAACAATTTAAAGTCATTTTCAAGAATTTCAATTCATAGTATTTTTAAAATTTTCAATTCAGCTCTTTTTAACAATTTCAATTTGGAATTTTTTTTATCAATTTCAATTTGGTATTTTTATCAATTTAAATTTGGTATGCTTTATCAATTCCCTGGTCATGGTTACCTGGTCAAATCCCCTAAGGCATATGGACCTAACCATAACGGTGGTATCATATTGGAACCCTGTTAGGAAGCCAGCACATTCCAAGGCAACATCTATTTATGTGAGTCAAGAAAACATAACAAACTGTACATAACAACCCCCACATCCACTACCTCTTAGCATATAGGAAATGGGGTGGGAGAGAGACATGTAAAAAGGCCTACAAACTTTGGCCAAATGCTGACCACCGTACACAAAAAAGTTGGAATCTATAACAATATGTCACCGCTTCTGGTGGTGACATAAAAACACACCATACAGGTAACAAATACATACTTAATAAAATCAATGATACGATTCTTAAAAATATTTAGATTGACAAAGGATACAACTTCCTCCAATTACTAGACTGAAAAAAGAAGCAGACAAAGATGAGTGCTAAACCAAAACAAGCTGCATTTACAAGCTGGATGGAATATGTTTGCAAAAAAACAGGAAAAGAAAAACACAATGATTTAATAGATAAAACATTTGACAGAATCTGGGCAATTTAACTTTTAATAAATTATCAACTGTGCCGAAATTTTGAACTCAGGTCAAAAATGTTTCCCTGATTTCAATTTTAGATTACTTTAGATAAACACATACTTAAGATATTCAATGTTCATAGCTCACGTTTTTCCTGGGTCTTTTTTCAGCCAGAAAATATCATCACTAGTGATTGAGTGCTCCAATAGGCCTGGTACATCAGGGTAGCGTGGTCGCATCCCAGTTGCCAAGACAACATTTGATGCAGTGAGAAAACTCTGAAGAGAAACATTAATACTGAAGTAGATGAAACTGCAAATATTCTCCCTTGTCGAATTTGAACTAAATATACTGTACATGATTACACCTCGAACATTTAGGAATTCTGAGCCAATTGTTTGCAAAATCAATATCTGTATCTAAATCAAGATATTAGATGTTTGTTATCTAAGGTGCAGTAAATAGTCAGGGTCAAATTAATGACACAAATAAGGATCTTATGCAAATAATTGTGTTTTTCATTATAAAAAACAGACATCAAAAGACATGTCTTTTTTACCAATTTCTGGCTTCAATTGATTATAATTGTGTCAACTCTAGTTTTCTCCAAGACTCGCACCTCTACAAACTCATTGTTCTCAGCATGATTTTTATCAAATGGATGCAAAATTCTCATTTTAATAACTCAGACCAAAATTGGTCAAAATATGCCAATATTCATGATTTTTCTTTTTTCAAGTGAGTTCAAATAGTTTTCAAGTGGGTGCAGGCCTGTTTTCAAAATCTCAGGTTGGTGCTGTGCCCACTTGCTTTAATGATTGTTGGGGAGATCACTAAAACTACTATACACATGTACCTCTTTGCCGTTCTTGTCTGTGGCTTTTAAAGTATGTTTATCGACTAACTCAGCCTTGGCATTGAAGTAGGTTGCCTCTCTAGAATGGGGAAATAAAACATTAAACTATACCTTCACTCTGAAAGATAAATTTATACATGACTCTAACGTACATCTACATAATGGCTACCAATGTTAATGTGGGATAGTCTAAATTCTGAATGAAATATTTATCATTTTAAATTGTTCCTCTCCTTTTTTACTTTAAAATATATTTTAAAGATATTTCTTGGTTAATGCCAGAGTTTGTAATAAATGTAAGAGCAGATCCAAAATCAATAGTCTATTGCTCCAAAACTTGATGTTTCCATCCCATGATTATCATACATACAGTGAAACCTGTTGAAGTATACATGTAGAACCCCTGTGGTACCTCTTAAAGTGTTCCACTTGGGAGCTGTTCCACTTATGGAGGCTCATTTAATATTAAGTCAGTTGCTCTTGGGACTTGCCCTTAGTGCTCTACGAGGTGTCCCACTTCTAGAGTTCTTCCACTTTACAGGTTTCACTGTAGTTGTGTTTTGGAACTTGTAATTTTTCATCTTTTAGATTGTTTTGTTCTTCGCCATTATTTTTATATTATTTTTCTATAGTTCATACATATTTGTTTTATCTAGAATTTGGAAGGGTTCTTACTTTTCAACAAGTTGTGTCCTATGTCCCCAGTTGAGTGACTTCACATGGTTCTGAACCTTTTGAGCAAGATCTGGCCTGAAAGCGATAAAAATCAAAATTCTACACTTCAGTGATCTCCCCAGCATTATTGGTGATCAGATAATATGGCAGGCATACAAGAAAATCCAACAATTATTAATAATTTAATAGTGGATCAATTCAACTAACCTTTTTGAGTTTGATGATCATATCATCTAAAATGTGTTAAATACATAGAAAGTATTATCTGGTCAATATAATTAAAGGTATTTCACTTTTCATGATTTTATGGGCTCAATAGGATATTAAGAAACCACACACTAAATGATTTTTTAAAAAGATTAAAATAAAGATTAAATTTTCAAAGTTGACAAATTATTTCCAAAACCATATTTTTGGATGTTAAATTGTATGTAGGTTTCAAATATGATATTACTTTGATTGAATTTTGAAAATCAAGATTGCTAAATTATAATTAAAAACCTTTTTGAGAAGCTACTCTATCCTCAATGGAACAATGTAGGCCAGTAGCCCCCCTGGTCAAAATTTCTGTCAATATTATGCAGTTTTTACCATTCTGATCACTTTCAAGTGATTTTGGGCCAAAGTTGTCAAATGTGAACCTATCCCTGGAATTTTTTGAAAAGTGAACCCCCTTGGCAAAAGCTGGCTATGGGCCTGCAATGTATATGTACATGTACTAATCTTACCAACTAAACTTCATTGATTCCTCATTGGGTGCAGTCCATCCATTTAAACGTGCATCAAGCGACATCTCGTGCAGTTGTGAGGCATGGTGCATTAACTTCTTGGGAATACAGCCAACATTCACACATGTTCCCCCTAAACCCCACTTTGTTCCTGGAGAATAATTTACAATGATCATTGACGAATATAAATTCATACTTTTTTGGCATATCGTAGCAGCTTTGTGTTGATGATGTTATACTGCAATACATTTTGTGTAAACTGTAACTAGAGTAACTAGAAAACTAATGATACATTTAGTACATGTAACTTTGATTATAAAAGGAATGCATTATGGTTGTGGGAAGTTCTACTATGAGCTAATTAGTAATTATATACACCAGGTGATGAAGGTGAAATTCCCCTTCCATATTACATGTATCTTCATGGTAATTGCGCATGCGTCACACAATGTCATTGGTCCAATTTGGAAATAAGATTCTACATTTTTATTTTATGAATTTTGCAATCGTCTTATATTTGCAGTATTATCTGGCAATAATACTGTAGCAAGATTGATGTATGAATTTATTTTTTTCCTATATTCTTTAGGCTGTTATCTCAGGCTTGTATGACTTCCAAAACTGGATAATCATGATATAAAGATGCATATTATTTTATTGAAATTATCAATGTTTTTTCTGAAATTACTCTCTTGACCTCTTGATCCTAGGAATGTATACTTAATACATATACATGTACTGGCTACTTTTTCTTTGATAAAATACAATCATTTACAAAATACATGTAATTACAAAGTAAATCTTATACTATTCATACCTTTTGGGGATGGCTCCACCCAGTCAAATACAGCAGCCTTCTTGCCGAGACTTGCAGCTTCTTTGACACAGGCCAATCCTCCTGATCCACCCCCAATAACCACCAGATCATAGTCATGACTTTCTGTAAGAAACAACAGCAATGCTTGACATTACACAATAAAAACGATAATTTAATACATTAAAACATTGTTTACTACTTTCCTGGGCCTCAGGTATTCTATAGGGTGTAGATGTGCATGATGACGACATTGAAAAAAAAATTACAAAATAAAAAAATTTAAGTTATGTCAAAATGTTGTGTTCATTGGTTTTGTGGCTTTATTTGAGAGTGACATGCCTTAAGAACAAGATCAAAACATACTATCGTATTGTTTCATTTACCTGACATTACTGTTCGTATAAAACAATGCTTATAAGCATGCAAATATCGATATTTTTTAAACAAATTTTGTGAAGAAAAAATTTTCATGGGCGCTGACATCTTGGATTTTTAATGCGCGGTCGACGAGTGCGCAGTTGCGGAACATCCGGTTGAAAATTAAAAAACACGAAAATATCCAAGATGTCAACAAAACGACAAGAATCAGTGGATTTAAAGCAGTATGTGTGCCTGAAATGACAACAATGAATGGAGACTTAGCAGGGGCTTGCGCTCCACCGAGTTGGGTGGAATTCTGTGAGCAACAGGCTTCGCAGGCTGCAGCACAATTTTCTAAATATTTTCGAGATTTCATCGAAAATAACCCTTGCCATAATCGCCCTAATGCGAGTAAAGACTTTGCTAGAAAATTTGTACACTACTTCCTCGCTCATTTTGCTGCTGAAACTAATCGCCTCAGCTTTCATGAAACAGTTGGAACTCAGACTGGATCTACAAAGTTACCCAGCAATGAAGACCTCCAGAACTTTTCAATGAATGGAAATTTTCTCGATGGAGGTGATTATACAGAACAAGAATCTCCAAGTCAAAAAAACAACAAGCCATTTTTCCGGAGACTATCTTTTCGGAATTTTAAATCTGTCAAACATAACATGCGGGGACTTTTCAAGCAACATTCTGATGAGCAAGAGTTAGCATCTATATCGACACCTAACCTTAGCAAATCTAAAAAGAAACACTCGAAATCAGAGAAAAAACTTGCGGGCAAGGTGATTTTAAGTGTTAAAAAGGAAGGAATGGTAAATAAACTGATAGGAGAAGATGCCAAAGGAAAAACAAGTTGGGAAAGATGTCGTTTAGTTCTTCTACAAACAACAGGTGGTTTTATGCTGGAATTCTACATTCCTCCTAAGGTAATTTATCAGTTATTCACATTAACATATCTTCTGCACTTCAAGTCAGGCCCTTGGAGCAAGGCTGTTTTAAAATCAATCCTGTATTTTTCCAGGATTAATAGCCTTATCCCATAGTTGAGGTCAAATCTGTAGAATTTATGATATTTTGCAAATGCGTGGAAAAAGCGATATCTGTGGAATATGGAGAATATTCCAAAGATATCACTTTTTTCCACGGATTTGAAAACTCCCGCCAATGTGACATGCATTGTTAAATGAGCTTATATGGTGATTTCATGACGTCACAAATATGGAAATGATAAATGTTTTGGCCATAGAGTTTAAATGACAAAATAAAACTGAATGTTGTTTTGAAATGCTTTATTAGGTCATGAACATATACCAACTACATCCATGGTTAGGTGAACTATGGGATAAATAGAACATCCTATGATTTTTTGTGATATCATTTTAATCCACTGTCATTGATATATACATCTGCACTCATTCGCTAAGCTCACTTGTCTAGATATTGATATCAACTCGTATAAAAATGATATCCCTCAAAATCATAGGATATCCTATACTTATTTATGTTACCACCAGAACTGGTGACTGACATCATTGTAGTGTCTAACCTTTCTGGATGGTGTTTTGTGGTCAGAGTTTGGCAGTGTTCAGCATTTGGTGTCCAGCTTTCTGTGTCTGTTACAAATGGCAAGTGGTGACATTTTGCATGTTAATTCCTTCTTATTGTGTATATGGGGTGTATTACTGCTAAAATAAAAAGGTTGTGAAATATCTTGAAACATTGATATCTTAAAAAAAGAAATAGTGCAATTCCCTAGGTATGACCTTGAATCCTTGATTATGTAAAAACTGGAAGTATGGCTCAGATCTTTTTCATCAAATTTATTTTTACCTTCATGATAGTTTTGTTGTAGATGGCAAATTCTAAATGTTTTCTGTCTACAAGTATTAAACAAAAACTCTTCATCCTCTTCCTCTAGTGCTTTGGCAAAAGCTCAATGGGGGCTTGCTTGTTTGGTCGATTTGCAGATTCTGTGCTATCTCGTCTGTTTAAAGCTATTCTATTTAAATCTTTTTATTTTTTCAAAGCTGCAGCTTGGATTTAAAGTGTTTGAAATTTGTTTTTGGTTAAAGTTAACAGAATTAGAACAGATCATCATTATGCTCCAGAAAGAGGGACAGAAGTATTGGAGTTTACATTGTTTCGATGTTACTACCTCAACTTTGGCAGTTGGTGTTCAGTGGCTGGATTTTGGTGGTTGGTGTTTGGCAGTCTGCATTCAGCATCTGTAGCAAATGAAAGGTGGTGACATATCGCATGTTAATACCTTGTGTTGACAATTTTTATCTTTTAATGTTGTATTGGAATTCAATTGATCGAGTTTGTTTCACTTGTTTTCAAATTGATCAAAAAAGCTTGGAATTGTGATAACTAAGGGATATTCCCTGCCAGACTATTTCTCTCCTACTATGGTAGCTAAACTCATGTACATATGAACATCAATTGCCATAACGTCTCCGACCCCAGTCTTGTCATCAGTAAACTTATGTTTTATCTAATGTTTCCCCATTCTAAAAGTGTTTTCCCCATTTCAATAGTATACTATAGTAATAGATGTCTTTTTTTCCTGTATTTTCATTGGTCTTAAGACTAGTTTGAATTCTTTCCAAGTGAATTCAATGATAAAGAGTTTGTCTTACAGTCCCCTTTTTAAAAAAATGGCATTCCAAGTGATGTGCAAACATAATTTTGGCACGCATTTTTTTTCAAATTTTGAGAATTTTTCGAAGTCTAACAAGTTTAAAATAAGTTCATCTTATCTTAATATATTTAGAAGCCAAATATAAATTTAAAAAGTCGATCCTATCACAATATCTTTTATTTAGAAGCCAAATGAGTTTAAAAAAGTTTCAAGTAGCCAGCAAAACAGCAATAGGATTAAGTTCAGTTTACATGCATTTTACTGACACATCCCAGTTTTTCTAAACAATTAATCAAAACAAAGGACTAGCTGACCTTTAATCTTTGGTTGAGCACATGTATGTTTTTTGGTTGAATGAGGAAATTACAGATTTGAACAATGTTTACATAAGTGATAGGCTGCACTTAAATGGAAAGTCAGGGATAGAGAGAATGTACCGCATTCCTTCTAATGGATGATGCGTGCTGTTTCAAAATTGAAATTTAAAAGGATAAGTGCACTTACAAAAAATTTAGAAGAAATTATCACCTATAATATTTTTAGTTCTTATCACTATGAGGTTTACATACTCTGAGGCTTCTGTTTTTCTTTCTCCGCTTAAAATATAATCTTCAATCGATATCTTGTGGAAATAATCAAAACTATGCATTAAACTTCATATTTTCTCGCGACCATATTCACCATAAAAGTCACACATGCTCTCATGGAACTGTTTGCCTCATTAGACAGAATATGGTACCTGTATCTCTGGCAGATCCAGCCCCCCCCCCCCCCCCCCCCCCCCTTGGGTAGGCCCAGAAAAAAATTTGTGCCTCAATTACTGGGGCGTTTTCGGTATAACTTGGCCTTTTTTAGGCCAAATTGCCCCCCCCCCCCCCCTTAGCTTCTGGATCCACCAGTGTGTATTTTGCTAAAACTCTCCTACATTGAATTGATCAAATATGATTGATTTGATAGGTTCATGACATCAACCGATAATCAACAACATATAAGTATGTCTTACTTCATAATTCCCTTGAAGCAGTTCAAATTGAAAAAATAATAATTTGGGGAAATCTCATCTTAACTAACTGTTTTATATTTTTAATAAGGTGAACATATCCAAATAGTGAAATTATAAAAATAAAAATATTTCCTCATCTTTCAATAATTGTAATTATAATCATGAATATTATAATATGTCAATACTCATTATCTGAATCTTCATCGGATGTATTCTTATTTTTATCATATCCTTAACTTTTTGACGCTTTCATGTAATATAAAGCCATATTTATCATTTCTGAGTTGTTTACATGTGTTTTTTTCATTTTAAATCTTGAACAGTCCCAACATTTTGATAAGCCTTTTTTGATGCTATATTTGGTTTTTAGCGAACTTGACTGGTAAATCACAAAAATACTTTGGGAATTTTTATCTCTTCTGTGAATTCTATAACTATGTGAACAGGGAGGTCTATATGAATTCTCATCTCAGAAAGTGAAATCATTTAGGCTCAAATAACCACTAAGATTTTCTATACTTGATTAGTTAGTAACCACATTTTAAGACTCAGTTTTACAAAAAATCAATTTCCACTCACCTTCTTTATATCTGTTTATTTTTGGCTGTCAGAACTTAAGCATGGAGTGTGTTCTGTTTTATTTTTACAGAAGTGGTAATTGAGAAATGGTGATATCCTAATTTTCTACTTTTTCGCCCATCTATAGTAAATTGTTATTTTACACAAAATCCCTTTGAGTAAGTAACTCTGCCTAGTGGATTGTTTCAGGCTTTAGAGAACAGAGCTAGTCTGGAGCAATTTACTTTCAAGCTAGGCCAGTTTATATATAAGGGTTATATACTGGGAGGTTTCAGATACAGGGTTTATCCCAAGACAAATTTATGTGTGCCAGAGGAACTGAGAGATACACACATTTCCCTTGAGATCTGTATCTAAAGGTAAACTTAAAATGGATATAATACTGTTTGTTTCATAGACTACATAGAAAGTTCTTATGAGATGAAACTTATATGACATTTCTTTGTTCTATTGTGTTAATGACTAATATTCAATACGATTTTTTTGCATTTCTTCATTATTATCACATTTTTTCAAAGTGATGGATTGTCATCATCTTTTGCTGATGGGCATGCATCTGTTTTGACAGCATATAAATCTTGTCATCACAATTTCAGGAAACCTCCTGTCCAATTTGAAATTCTTAAACATTCAAGGCTTAATTTTGCATATTTCGTAAATTTCTTATGCTTTATGCTTTGTTTCAGGCTGTTAAACTTAAATGTGTTCTGCTTTGTTTCAGTCTGTTAAACCTAAACATGTTGTGCTGTTTCAGTCTGTTAAACCTAAACATGTTGTGCTATATTTCAGGCTGTTAACATGAATGTGTTGTGCTTTTTTTCAGGCTGTTACACCTAAATGTGTTGTGCTTTGTTTCAGGATGTTCAACCTTAATATGTTGTGCTTCATCAGTCTGTTAAACCTAAACATGTTGAGCTGTTTCAGACTGTTAAACCTAAACATGTTGTGCTGTTTCATGCTGTAACATCTAAACATGTTGTGCTGTTTCAGGCTGTTCAACCTAATACGCTTTGTTTTGGGCTATTAAACCAAACCTAAACATGTTGTGCTGTTTCAGGATTTCAAATCAAAATGTGTTGTGAAATGTTGTGCTATGTTTCAGGCTGTTCAACCTAAACATGTTATGCTTTGTTTCAGGCTATTAAACCAAACCTAAACATGTTGTGCTGTTTCATGCTGTTACATCTAAACATATTGTGCTGTTTCAGGCTGTTAAACCTAATATGCTTTGTTTTGGGCTATTAAACCAAACCTAAACATGTTGTGCTGTTTCATGCTGTTACATCTAAACATGTTGTGCTGTTTCAGGCTGTTAAACCTAATATGCTTTGTTTTGGGCTATTAAACCAAACCTAAACATGTTGTGCTGTTTCATGCTGTTACATCTAAACATGTTGTGCTGTTTCAGGCTGTTCAACCTAATACGCTTTGTTTTGGGCTATTAAACCAAACCTAAACATGTTGTGCTGTTTCAGGATTTCAAATCAAAATGTGTTGTGAAAATGTTGTGCTATGTTTCAGACTGTTCAACCTAAACATGTTATGCTGTTTATCAGGCTGTTACACCCAAGTATATTGGCATTATGCTTTTGTTTCAGGCTGTTCAACCTAAACTTGTTATGCTGTTTATCAGGCTGTTACACCCAAGTATATTGGCCATATGCTTTTGTTTCAGGCTGTTCAACCTAAACATGTTATGCTGTGTATCCTTTTGTTTCAGTCTGTTAAACCTAATCATGTTATGCTTTGTTTCAGGCTGTTAAACCTAAACATGGGGTGTTCTGCTTCCTTATTACTGAGGCCAGAGAGACGACTGCTCTAGAAATGCCTGATCATGAGAACACATTTGTACTCAAGGTAAATACTTAATTTTCCCTTTACAGTCGTCCTATGACTGCATTTCTTTTAAGATTGATTGATGCATAGAAAAAGTGATTTTGACTGTAGGATGTCATGTTCATTAATGTGTATAAGTGTTGCAGTTGGTTAAACAAGAATTATGCTTTAAATTGAAAAAACAGTTTGCTTCATTTACCTAGAAATGAAGGAGACTCATTAGTGACTCGTAAGTGAATGATTGAATGAATTTTAGTCTAAAAAATTACTTGATAGATATATAGGGTAGGGGACAGGGAATCACTTTTCAGCATTAATTAGGACTTTCCCTTTATGAATTTATATTTATAGCAGAACAGCATGGCTGTAGTGTCGAAGCCAACGTTTTATAGAAAATATAGATTCAGATGATCTTTTTTAATTGAAATTGTGAAAATAAACTCTTACGATTGTGTTATTTTGCTTTTGAGTCAAATTATCATCACAAAATTATAGATTCTGACTACAGCCCAGGCCCGTAGCCAGGGGGGTTCGGGCGAACCCAAAATTTCTTTCAAAATCATGCAGTAGTCATTCTGACTATTTTTTGAGTGATACAAAATGAACCCCCCTAGAATTTTTTGGGAAAAGTGAACCCCCCTTGGAAAATTCTGGCTACTGGCCTGACAGCCCTTAACAAAATGATATTGCTTTATTATTTTGACAAATACTGTTGAATTAAATAATCCATTGAATGATAATTAATGATCAAAGTTCAGTTAGCAATTGGGAGGAAGTGTAAAAAGTTCAATGTGAATTAAAACAGTTCCTGTAACATTATATCATTTAAGCCTAAACATAAAGTGGCTTAAAACAACATCTCCTTGTTCAACATTCAAGTCAATCTGACCTTGGTACTTAAAGAAGGTGAAGATCATTAGGATTAATAAACAAAGAGCACTTGTTGTTTTTTGAGGGAGAAACCATGAGATTTCCCTGGGGGAATTACAAGTTTTATCCTCAACTAGAATATTGCAGCGAAATGTTTTTGTGAATACCTCTATATAATGAACACCTGGCCATAGTGAACGCTTTTTCTCGGAACACATTTCATTATATTTTTGTATAAAATAAACCCAATGATCTCCCCAGGATTTTTTATCAGGTATGTGCAAAAATCTCATTTTCACAATTTAGACAAAATTGGTAAAAATGTGCTAATTTTTCATGATTTTTCGCATTTTCAAGTGGGTGCAAATGGATTTTCAGGTGGGTGCAAGCCTGTTTTCAGAATCTCAGGTGGGTGCATGCTGCGCCCACTTGCTTTAATGCTGGGGAGATCACTGAAACCCATTGTAAACATCTTCAGACAATAAAACAATAAAAACGTTTTATGCCTCAAAAAATGCTGGCTACAAGTTAAACTGTATTTCAATGACAATCATTACCGATTACACATTAAATCTACAAGAAATATGTTACAATTCTATTGTAATCATCTTAAATAGTGGCAGATGTGAACAGAATAATTACACTATTGTTTTAGTGGTTTGGATCAAAGAACATAAAACAGCCGCTATACTTGTGTTAGATTTATACATCCTGCTGTGTTCAGCGTAAAAAGTCAAGCAGATTACAAAAACAAATGAAATTCCAGATTGAGTATTCATGTAAACACAGACACTTGTTGAATATGGGCACATACTAAGAAAATAGTTCATTTTGAGGAAGAAATTTGCTTACTCTCTTGATGATTTTTGAAGGCATGTTGTCTTCAGCCTTCATGGCAAGGACAGTCCAACTCTGCAAAAATCATTGAAAATACAATATGGATATTGCAAGAACAAAGACTGACATGTTTATTTGTTTTATTATGTCATTGCTTGGTGTAGCCTAGGATGAGAATCAATGAGCCGTTATATGAAGTGTAATACATCTTTTATCATGTGAGATATCACAGCCTCACTCAGTTTCCTTCTAAAACTTCTTGTGCATTGCAGAGATGGTCTGAGTATCAGAATGATCTTTTATCTATTTAAAAATTAATGGGGGGGGGGTGGAATATGATGTGGTATGCTTGATCACATGATACTACATGAACCAATCGGAGTACTCCGAATCTAGCCATGACCATGATATACTATTTATTAATATGTTAGTCATAACTGCTATACTATTTATTAATATGTTTGTCATAATTGATATACTATTTATTAATATGTTTGTCATAGTTGATACAGTAAAACCTGTAAAGTGAAACTCCTCTGTAAATGGAACACCTCCATAAATGGAACACTTTTCAGAGTTTCATGACAAATTGAAGAAGAACACTCCCTTTGAACACTATTCTAGTTACAAAAGGTGTTCTACTTACACCCAGGGTATCATTTTTTCTTCAAGTTTAATAAGAGAGGTTCTGCACAACGTTTTAAGCTCAACGTATCTAAAATCCGTAACGTCCAGGTGTTTACCAGATTTATCCATAGTAGTTCAATTAAAATGAGATGTATTTGTAGATATGTTTTAGCTATATAACCCATTGTGCAAAACACCTCTATTAATGTACATTTTCTCCATAAACTTTTTACTGACACAAATCTTCTCATTCAACATTAATGACTTTTCTCCCTTTTCACATTGCAGGCAGTTAAGCTTCCTGAACAGGGTGGTCACATATCATTGGTAAACTATGCTTTTTCCCTCCCTCTTTATACCCCCTCTCATAAGCATCACTGTCACATCCATTTCACCATATCACTGGTACTCCACTCTTCAAATTGTAGTTACCAGTAATAAAATGTCGGATCCTGAAAGTTATGAATTATCTTTTTCCTTATTTCAGGAGTTAAAGGCAGAATTTCCATGGTATTTTTATCACAAAGTTGTGTCAGTATCATATGTTTAAGAAAATCTGAACATTTGTGAATGAATAGTTCAGATGATGACAGAATCATTGATATAATACCTCTCTATTGTTACGTAAATAGCTGGGTTAAAAGTGCAGATCTTTACTATTTTTGAAGTTCCATTTACGTAACAACATTGAACATTGCATTATGATACTGACTTGTGAGAAAAATATCATGAAGATTCTGCCTTCAACTCGTGAAATAAAAGAAGGATTGTGTAACTACGGTTTCGACATTTTGTTACCGTTACAGATCAGTTTCACTAACTAGTTTGAAGAGTGCAACTTACCACTGCATATCACTGTCAATGTTCTGCAATTTTACACCTAATTAGCACTGTTGTAAGTTTAATATTCACATATGATCCTATACACGATAAATAATTACCTCATGGATTCCCCAAATTGAGATGAAAACTTTATATTCAATTCAATTCAATTCAACTTGATATAGATTGCACTAAGAGTTCATCTCTACTTCCTGTCTAATTGATTTGTGTTAAATATAGTTTTTCAAATCTATTTATTTAAAGTAATTAAAAAACAAAGAGTATATGCTCCACTAATTATTTCTAAACTCCTCGTGAGTATTCCGCCCACTTCGATTGAGTGTGTAACATGTTTTCACATTTTTCTGTTCTTTTTTCATCTTAAATAGTGCCTCTTAATCCACAGTGACATCTTTTGTCAGCTTCCAAAGACATCGATCATTACATATTCTAACATTTACTGTATTAAAATGCATGGACAGTCAGGCCTGTAGCCAGGATTTGCCAAGAGGGGGGGGGGTCACTTTTTGAAAAATTCCAGGGGGGTTCACTTTTGACAATTTTGGTCCAAAAATGGCCAAAATCACTTAAAAAGTGTTCAGAATGATGAAAAACTGCATGATTTTTTAGGGGGTTGGGGGTTCGAACCCATCGAACCTCCCCCCTGGCTACAGCCTGACAGTTCATAAAGTTAACTATTTTGGGGCTGGCTTGTGACAAGTATTCTACAATTGTAGTTATACATATACCTAGCTGCATCAGCATAGGCAAACATGTATGAACATTTACATATGTTACAAATGGTATAAATTAAGGCGAATGTTTCCAAATGGTTGAATATGTTATTCTTTTCCCATCACATTTCCTATACATCCACATATACATAATAACAGAGTAACCCTGGAGACCTTAATAATCATGTATCATGAAATGTAGAATGAAAGCATGATGAAATTAGTATATAATGCAAATATGATGAAATTTATGCATGCGGCAGTCACAATAAATGTGATACTGAAACTTTAATCGATTTCGATAGACTCGCTTATAATTCTTAGGAACCAACCCCCCTCACCCCTATCATACTCATAAGGAAGTAGAGGGAAGGGGGTCAGGAGGCTTCATTGAAAAGTACATTTCTGATATTTTATAGAACAAATTACAATCATCGCAGTTATACGCAAACAATAAGAATAGTATCACTAAATATGTTTGAATCATGCATTGTATGTGCATACACATCCTCCGATCACAGGGCTTCAAAATCCAGAATATATTCTTTCTTTTTACCCCCTTTGATAAGCAGTTAGCATTTCCCTGATTAAGAACTCGCAATCTGATTGGCTGTTGCAACACAAATCATGTATAGGTCATTGCGCATAAATAGATCACATAATTCAGATTAAGCGGGCGCTTCCAAATTGGTTATAGCAGGGTGAAGATGGAGGTACGGATTCTGGATTCCTGCTTAGGAGGATGGTGCATACACAACACATGATTCCTTTTCAGTGTTCATAGAAAAACATTGAACAATTCTGATTTCTGTGAAAAAATTCAAAACTATCTGTAATAGTGACCAAATATAGAGAATATTGTGATGACATCTATGTCTAGATTTTCTATTAGCACGTACCTTGTTTTGTCTGTGAATGCCTAAAATCAGTTTTTGTTAATGATCAAGCACTATTACAATTAACACATTTATCTTAATATTATACATTTAATATGTTTTTCGCTGAATGAGTTCACGTCCTTACGTGTAGTTACAGTTAACCAATCTAATTTAATTACAGTCTGAATTCTATGAAATTGATAACTATATATACATGTACATATACATGTACATGTACATACATGTATATATACATGTACATATATATGTACTGAACTGAACTTTTAGATAGAAACCACCTTATATATCATATTTAGGGAGCAGGGTGGACATTTTCTGTATCTGGCTTGTGATGTCTGAGATTCCAGGCATGCAGAAATGTTCACCCTGGTCTCTGCTCTAAAATGAAATACACAATAACAAGTTAAATGACATCTGATTATACATTCAATTTAAGATTCAGGGTTTATCCCTCAGGAAATCATAAACCTTGTGTCTGAAATTTCTAGAATCACTTATTCCATCATAAATGTAATTTATTCATCACATAATGTGTCTTTGATTACATCTAATGCAATTTCTTGCATCTTCTTGTAGATTATGCAGTGCAATTTAGTATAGAAAGATATATGTTAGACTCTGCAATTATATTCTATACGGTGTCAGCTTAATGGTGTCAGCTTAACCTGACTGCTTTAAGTAAATGATGCAGAGCATAGTGATACAGATATTGCAATGTTAAGAAATCACGATTAGAGAATATCCTTTGATTTTTCAAGTAGACTGTTTTATCTGAGTATATGTTATTTCAGACCGAGAATTGAACTGAATATATGTTATTTCAGAGCATTTATTTTGTTGAGTTTGCTATTTTAAAACTGAAAGTTTAACAACCGTGAATGTCGTATTTCAAGGTCAAGAGTTTAACTGAGACTGTGTAAATTCGGGTGGAAAGTTTAACTGAGTATATGTTATTCCAGTTGGATAATTTGACTGAGTATGTGTTATTTCAGACAAGGAGTTTAACTGAGTCTATGTTATTCTAGTTTGATAATTTAACTGAGTATGTGTTATTTCAGGTGGAGAGTTTAATGAGTATGTGTTATTTCAGGCAGAGAGTTTAACTGAGTATATGTTATTTCAGGCGGAGATTTTAATTGAGAATGTATTATTTCAGGTGGAGAGTTTAATGAGTATGTGTTATTTCAGGCAGAGAGTTTAACTGAGTATATGTTATTTCAGGCGGAGATTTTAATTGAGAATGTATTATTTCAGGTGGAGAGTTTAATGAGTATGTGTTATTTCAGGCAGAGAGTTTAACTGAGTATGTGTTATTCTAGTTGGATAATTTGACTGAGTATGTGTTATTTCTTGTAGAAAGTTTAACTGAGTATGTGTTATTTCAGGCGGAGAGTTTAACTGAGTAAGTGTTATTTCAGGCAGAGAGTTTAACTGAGTACGTGTTGGAGGCATCAGGAGTTGCTGAAATGCAGTCATGGCTGGCTACCATACGTCAAAGTATGAGACCTGAGAATGTCAACCAAGACAACATTGAAGAAATGTAAGTAGAAATCTAAAGGTACAACACTACGTTTGTAATTGCCGCAATCAAGACTAGAACAGTGCAAGGCTTGTAGTGACCCAGATATTAGTTTTTGGGATGCTGAATAAAATTCAGTTCTGCCATTTTGGATTTTCCAACCTGAAAACTTGTCTGTAAGGTCTTGTCTATGTGTTTTGTGTCAACTTCTTACTATATTGTTGGCTCGTGCTGAGGCAAGAGCCATATCTCACTTGGGTTTAGTAGGCAGTGATAATGACAATGGACTGAGGTTTAAACGTTAGTTTACTAGTAGAAAACCTGATGGGTTAATATTTATTGATGAAAATGAGTTAATTCCTCAAGCAAAAGTTTAACCCTAAGGTGTTAGTTTATAATAAAATTGCGTTAGAGAGGGTTTCAAACAACATATACGCAATTTTACAACAACACCATGAACACTGTGCACTGATTTTCGGCAACATGATTTCCTAAATACGACAGAAATACGAGCGACTTCTTGATTTAGAATTGTGAACAATTTGCAGCATTAAAAAAACTCCGAAACATTTAACTATTTTATTAATATCTTCAGAGAATGAGAATCAAATTGACCCATCTTCACTTTCTGATATGTTTGGATGTTTTCTAAGAGGTCCAGGTACTCAGACCTTCACAGTTTCAAGATCTTAATCAGTACAAACTGTTTGGATTTTTTCTACTTTTGCCGTTCGGCAAATTACAACCGCGTTAAAAGTAAGCTTGGCAATTTACTTATACAGTTACTTATACAGTGAAACTTGACTTAGAAAACACTCTTCTGTAAGGAACACCTGCTTTACAAGTTATAGAACGTCTTTCAAAATATGCATAAAATTTCAATTTTTCAGTCTGTGTCAGGAACACCCGTCTATACATGCCTGTCTTATATTAGTTAGCACTATTGTTTTTGTACTTCTTTTTATAATATAATTAATAAATTATGTAGTTCACATATTCATAATCAAGTTTTACACCTTTTTTATCTTGTGTTTTATTTTCATATCCCTATTTATCAATGCAATTCATTACAACACTGCAAACATCTCCTTCACACGAGCTTTCATTTTTTTTAAATGATCTCTTGTATCTACACATGAATCTTTTCATGTTAAAAATGGTACATTAGTTTCTTCTTTGAGATAGACTGATGGAATATACTTCATTGAAAACGTTCAAAATATCAAAAATAATTTATGCATACGATAAAGACACATCTATGAATTTATGCATTATTTACTTTCAGGAGGCCGAGACTAGGAACTGCCCCGGGTCCAAATCTGAATAGACCAAACATAAGTATCACAACAGCCAATATAGTCAGAGGTAAACTACAATATACAATGAATATAAACAAAATATACAATATAGCATATACAATGGCTTTATATTGGGCTGATTTCCATGTGCCTTCACAATATTTTGGAGTTTAAGCTTGCGTGTAAAATCGAAACGCCAACCTATAAGTATGACCAATCGCCCATGCAAATGCATCACTTAAATATTTTCCATTCGCGTTTAGGTTGTGAAAAACATTGCAAGCTTAAACTCCCTATTATTCCTTGAAGCCTGAGCTATGACACATATTAATTTCCAATATTAATGGAATAGTGAATCTAATACTAAGCATCAAATTAAGTACTTGGATTTTATTTAGATGAATACAACCTGGAAATATAAGATAGATTACACTGGAAATGAATGCCGCTAATGTGTTTAGAAATCAGGGTGGTGAAAAACAAACATGAAACAAAAATGAAAACAAGTCTTTGATTTGATGTAAATAGATTAAAATCTGCATTTTCATATGGGGGTAAAGACATCAGGGTAGTGAAAAACAAACATGAAACAAAAATGAAAACAAGTCTTTGATTTGATGTAAATAGATTAAAATCTTCATTTTCATATGGGGGTAAAGACATCAGGGTAGTGAAAAACAAACATGAAACAAAAATGAAAACAAGTCTTTGATTTGATGTAAATAAGATTAAAATCTGCATTTTCATATGGGGGTAAAGACATCAGGGTAGTGAAAAACAAACATGAAACAAAAATGAAAACAAGTCTTTAATTTGATGTAAATAAGATTAAAATCTGCATTTTCATATGGGGGTAAAGACATCAGGGTAGTGATAAACATGCATGAAAAAATGAAAACGCTGAAGTCTTTTAAAGTGATATAAATTTAATAATCTGCAATTCTGCATCAATTTCAGATGGGGGTTCAGGCCTGAGTACACCTAACAGTCAGCGTCGCCTATCCATTGACAGTGACAACAGTACAGAGCACCCCCCTGAGCTCCCACCACGGACCCCCACTAGGCCAATATCTATGGCGGGGGCAAACTTCCGTGCAATGAGGTCCTCAAGCAATAATAGTTCTGAAGTGACCACTGGATCGCCTAGATCTGAGAGTGGCTTTGGTAAGTAACGTATGCCCCTTATTAAAGGGACTCTATGCATATTTTCAGCATTCTTTGGCAAAATGAAGGCTAACTTATGATCTTCATAGTAGACACCAAAAACAGACCACATCAGAGTTTACAATAAATTATCAACATTTGTCAATTTTTACATGTCGGATTTTTAGCAATATCAATGAAAGATGGCGACTTTGTTTGCATCACATGATTCATTCATTTTTGATAGAATTGTCAACCATACGCCATGTTTTAAATCCAGAGTTATTAGCTCACATGGTGAGCTATTGCAATCACTCACTTGTCCGTCTGTCTGTCTGTCCGTATGTCTGTCTGTCAACAATTGGCCCCTTTTAAAACCTCTGTCAATAGGATTCCCATTTTAAGTTTTTTTGTTCAACATCAATATAGAAAACCTCCCTGTGACTCCTGGTTCAAAAGCTCACCTATTTTCAAAATAGCCGCCATTTTTGTCTCGCGAAATTCACTTTTGGCCCATTTCCTAGGTTTACAAATAATTTCAGGTGTCCTGCACTGTAAAAAGCCATGTCACTGTAAAGAGTAGTTGTATCAAATAATTTTGTTACAAAAAGTCTGCAAAATATTATATTCGTTTTTTTATTTTCAGCCATTTTAGTTAAAATTGATTTGTCCATCTGTCTCGCGAAATCCACTTTTAGACCATTTGCCTTAAAACCTGTGTCAATAGGACTACTGTTTAAAGTTATTTTTATTCAACGTCAATACAGAAACAAAAAATTATATCCGTTTTTTTTATTTTCTGCCAATTTAGCCATCATTCATTTTTGAGCAACACCATGTGGGCCCAGTACCCAGGGTACTATTTATTTTAAACATACACTTTGTGAAAAGTGGGCATGCACTACTATGGATCTCTGAACTTCAAATGATGTTCTTGTCATTAAAATTCCACAAAAAAGGCGAACCCATTCAACTTAAAACAGATGCAAGAGCAGACTAGTGCCACTGCCATCTGATGGGGTTTTGGTCATGTTGTTGGGAAAATTACATGGGAGCCATTTTGCTCTTCAAAGTGCAATATATATCACCGTGTCTCTTATGTTACAATTTCAGGTCAACTAACAGGTGCCACATCAAGTCCACTTCCTGTTCCCGAAAGCTTTTTAGACCAACACTTAAAGGAATACCCATGGTTCCATGGTACATTGTCCCGCATGGATGGTGCCCAATTGGTCCTTCAAAGCAGCTCCTCTGGGCACGGTGTTTTCCTTGTACGCCAGAGTGAGACGCGGAAAGGAGAGTATGTATTGACGTTTAACTTCCAGGGCCGTGCAAAGGTAAGACCTCGATTCATTTTAAAAATGTCAATGACTGTGTGTTTTTAGAAGAAAACTATATTGAAATACATTTTTTATAGTTAAGTTCCATAACATACATTCTTTTCAAACATTTATTTCAATTTTTCATGAGAATAAATTTGAAAAAATATGCAGTATCAAAAATCTGACTGTTTAAAAACCTCTGCAACCTTTATTATCTACATTTTACAGATGTAAGTGTGTATTTATCACAAGCCCCAAACAGCCAATTAAACAGAAATACTAGAAGTAAAAAACACCCAATTGTCTGTCATCCTATATTGATTCACCCTGGAATTTTTAACGTTTTTTCTAGAATGGCCTTAATAAGGTCTCCCCCAAGCAATGAAATCTACATCTAGCTTCATCAAACAATTTGTTTTAAATTCCCATTTCGGTTTATTTAACTCCCAAAGCAACAGTAAAACAATTTCTTATTAAAATGTAAAAAACACATATGGATTTATATCTTTTTAGCATCTAAGAATGACTATAAATTCTGAAGGCCAGTGTAGGGTCCAGCATCTCTGGTTCCAGACAATATTCGACATGTTAGAGCATTTCCGAACACATCCTATACCTTTAGAGTCTGGGGGGTCTTCAGATGTGACATTGACTGACTATGTAGTTTGCCTTGATAGGCCACGGACCCCTTCATCACAACGTAGTTCTCCTCCCAGTCTACTAACAAACACTTTAAGTCAGTCAACTACTGGGATTGTTAACTTAGCAACAACAAATGTTCCAGTGAATGCCGCATTAAGAGGTAGCGGGAATATTTATTTAGGAGCCAGTGGGGGTAGCGGAGGAAGCAGAGAGGCAATTATTACAAACAGTGGGTCGGTACGTACCCGGACAGATTCTTTAGAACGGGATCAACAGAGTGGCCATAGAGCTATTGAAAATCATTATTCTTTTGTATGAGCAAATTATATGTAAAATGAAAATCAATATTCATGTGTACATAAAAGTTATATGTAAGGTGAAATTCATTATTCATTTGTACATTTAAATTATATGTGAAGTGAAAATTTTTATTCATTTGTACATTTAAATTATACATAAAGGGAAAATCATTATTCATGTGTACTATGTAAGTGAAAATCATTATTTATTTGTACATTTGAATTAGATGTAAGGTGAAAATCATTATATGTACATTTAAAGTATGATAATGTACACTTAAAATCATTTATTTGTACATTTAAATTATATGTACATTGAAAATCATTATTCATTTGTACGTTTCAATTATATGTTAAGTGAAAATCATTACTCATTTGTACATTAAAATTATATGTAAGGTGAAACTCATTATTCATTTGTACATTAAAATTATGTGTAAAGCGAAAATAATTATTCATTTGTACATTTAAGTTATATGTACTCTGAAAATAATTTATTTGTACATTTAAATTATATGTACATTGAAAATCATTATTCATTTGTACATTAAGACTATATGTAAGGTGAATATCATTATTCATTTGTACATTTAAGTTATATGTAAGATGAAAATCATTATTCATTTGTACATTAAAATTATATGTAAAGTGAAAATCATTATTCATTTGTACATTTAAGTTATATGTAAGGTGAAAATAATTATTCATTTGAACATTTAAGTTATATGTACTCTGAAAATAATTTATTTGTACATTTAAATTATATGTACATTGAAAATCATTATTCATTTGTACATTAAGATTATATGTAAGGTGAAAATCATTATTCATTTGTACATTTAAATTATATGTAAGATGAAAATCATTATTCATTTGTACATTAGAATTATATGTAAAGTGAAAATCATTATTCATTTGTACATTTAAGTTATGTGTAAAGTGAAAATAATTATTCATTTGTACATTTAAGTTATATGTACTCTGAAAATAATTTATTTGTACATTTAAATTATGTGTACATTGAAAATCATTATTCATTTGTACATTAAGATTATATGTAAGGTGAAAATCATTATTCATTTGTACATTTAAGTTATATGTAAGGTGAAAATCATTATTCATTTGTACATTTAAGTTATATATAAGGTGAAAATCATTATTCATGTATACATTTGAATTATATGTAAGGTGTAGATATGAACATTTTTGTTTAAATTGACGGTGACCAAAAGGCTATGTAAATGTGAACACCTCCATAAGATTGAATTACCCTGCTAAATGGAACATTCATATTAATGTTATTAATATTTGTCCTAATCTGAATATGTACGATGACATATGTACAATGAAACTTAATATTTGTGAACATATGTCTAATGTGAACAGCTCTGTAATGTTACATTAACAAAATGTGAATTACCCACTAATGTGAACATAACAGTTAAGTGAACATAATCAAAATGTTAACACATGTGTAATGTGAACATAAACGAAATGTGAACACCTCTGTAATGTGAACATAAACAAAATGTGAACACCTCTGTAATGTGAACATAAACGAGATATAAACACTTTTGTATTGTGAACACAACACTTACACAAATGTAAAGAAAACACACTTTAATATGAACAGAAGCAATATGTAAACACCTTCCTAATGTCAGTAGAACACTAAGGAAAGCTAAGGTGAACTTAACAATAATGCAAACTAAAAAGGAATAAGAACACAAATGAAATGTGAAGACCTATCTATTGTCAGTACAACATTAGGTGAACACAAACACAATGCAAACACCACAGTAATGCAAACACATGAGTAATATGAACACCACTTTGATGAAAATATAAATCATTGTGATTTATCTTATTTGAACAACACCTTGAACAAAACCTTTTGTAAAAACCTAATTTGCATGAATATCTCTAATTTGATCACTTTTTATAAATTTACCACTTCACCTACATGTACTAATGTATGTGAAACGTTTCCACTTGGTTATTATAATGCAATCAACCAGTTCAGTAAATCAATGCCATCTATTGGTTATGGTGTCATTCATTCAGTTTCAGAGCAGAAATACGTATGAACACATTATCAAGGTTTTTGATTGGTTAGATTAGGAAACATAATTTGCATTTTTATGTCACCACTTGTTGTGGCATATTGTTATGGTCTCAAACTTTTTTGTGGATGGTGTTTGGTGTTTGGCATTTGTAACAAATGGCAGGTGTTGACATTTTGCATGTTAATGCCTTGTATAGAACCTGATTTGGTTGTGTATATCTCAAGTATACATTTTTGATCTGATAGATAGTTCTGTAATGTCAGATCTGTTATATGAAGTATAAAAGCTTTGCTTCCTTTTCATTTTAAGTTGCAATTTAATTGTGTAAAGATTTAGTTTGATCAAACGATATGATCTGAGATTGAGTTGTTCAGTTGTCATATCATACTCCTATTTTCCTAAATAATTTTCATGTGTATATAGATTGTATGACAAAAAATCTTGGCCAGTCAGATTTATAACCTAAAATATACCCCCTGCTATGTTTGCCCTCCTATCCTGTGATGTATGCCCTCCTAACCTGTGATGTATGCCCTCCTTACCTGTGATGTATGCCCTCCTTTCCTCTGATGTATGCCCTCTTATTGAACTATTGTGTGATATTGATATTTCTTATTCATCATGATACCTCATACCAGGAGATATATGTCGTTGTATCTTGAGAGTTATGCTGTCATAAAAACTGTTTATTCCATACTTTGGGCAAAAACAAAATAAAATTTAAGATAATTTTTTTAGTGGAAATATTGAAAATGGCAAGAAATTCTAGTATAAATAATTTATTCAAATACTGTTTATCACTCTTTTTATGAAGAAATTATCAGAACTTAAGGTATCAAATAAAAAATCTTCAGGCATAACACGCTCGGTGAATTTCAATGTTATTGTGAACTTAATAACAAAGCATTTGTATAACCTTTTCTTTGTACATGTACAGTGAAACCTGTAAAGTGGAACACCTCTAGAAGTTGAAGACCTATGTTAGTAGAACACTTTTCAGAATCTCAAGACCACATGACTTAATGTTAAATGAACCTCTGTAAGTAGAACACCTTCAAAGTGGAACATATTTTAGAGGTACCAAAGTTGTTCCACTAAGACAGGTTTTACTGTATTTTAGTTTTTGCTGCTGCACGAACAATAATACCTCATTTAAAGCATCCACATTTTGAAAATCGACGTTTAATTTATACACTTGCATCGAATGTGAAAAACAGAGCTATTGTGTATATAAAAGTATAGTATAATTGTAGTGTACATATTGATAAACATGTACATAAAACATCTAGCATTTTATCCTTTTATAAATAGGTTTATTCATGTTATGATATGAAATATATATTTAAGTATTTATCTAAGTAAGAACTTTATCACAGGTCAGATCAGAGAGACTTTTTCTCAGTTTCGGTAATTTGTCTCCTATCATTCACATCGAACATGACTTAAAGGAGCAGTCTCTATCCTTAACCTAAAGTACCCGAATTTAAAGGGGTCATACTGTAGCTGTAATTTTGCTCCTAAATAACCCTTCTATTTTTGAGGCGAAATGATAATTTCAAACTTGCATTATCAATAAACATTGAAAGAAACCTTCTTTTCTTAGTTTTCAGTTTTACTAGTTTTATAATATAATTTTTTCATTAAAAATGTTTTCAAGCTTCGATAATTACAGAAAATAAGTTTATTTTCAAGTCTGATTGTGTAAATTGCATATCTTTATGAATTAGAAATATTTTTGGTTTATCAAGGAGGAAAATTATAGCTGATTGCCCATTTAAAAGATCCATAACAACATGCACTATCAACAGACTTTAATACAAATCTTACTTTCTCAAAGTATTAAAATTTGAAAAGAGTGCGTGACTTGAAGTGCCATGGCAAGTGCGTGCATTTTCAAGCAACACTATTTATTGAAAATAAAATTTGTTTTAAAGTCTATTGAAAGTTAAAGGTTATCAGGTTGTTCTGATTTTATTTAATTTGATACATTTTAAAAATAAGATCAGAAATAGACTCACTAATTATATGAGCATTTTTAAACTAGGCTATGATAGTCAGAAAAGAAGTCAGCTGCTGAAAGTGCAAAAAGTAGATTATTCTGATTTGTTTAAATTGGATATATTTGAAATAAGAGAAATAGAGAATTGGTCCCTTTAATTTTCAAAGACTTGAAAAATCACATCTTTAAATGACGAATGTATCATTTCATGCTTAAATGTGGATAGCATTTCGTGTATAAATAAAGGCAAAAATGTTCCATGTCGAAATGACTATTTGAAAAAATAACGTTTTAGGATGGCAAAACACGCTTGTACGCATTTTAAATTGTAAATATTGCTTCTCCGATTCAATCTTTAATGTTATGTGTAATATCAAAAAAATATTTGTAAACAAACTGAACATGAATACTGAATAGCTCCCTTTAAAGGTGCAACAATTAGTGCAGGGGGGCCATTCAACGATCATCGACCAGTGTCAAAATATGTTAAAGTTTGGATATTTCATCAAGACTACCATATATTATTATTATCTACAAAGAAACCCCTGAATGAACATTATTTCAGCTGATATTCCTCTTGAAACGTTGTGAATCTTAAAAATCTATAAGTGGGACTCCCTTTATAGAAGCTTTGAACTGAATTTACACTTCTTAATGCTGAACTTGAGAGTTTATCCATACATTTTAAGAAAATAGGTATGTCAAAGAAGATGTCAAGCCAAATATTGACCCGATAGCTCAGAAAAAATAAAAAATTTCGAATTTTCTCTTCACAGTCCTTGTTGCCCCTTTAAGAACAATTAAAAATATGTGTAACATTCAGCTATTTGTATCATTTTATCATAATGATAATGTAGCATGGGTAAAAATACCAAATTAGTAGAACGCATTGAACAAGTCATGATTATACACTTGTAACGTTGAATGCATAGGGTTCATGAATAAGAATATAGTTTTAATATTTCATGATCTTTATCATAACTGAAATATTTATTATTTGACTAGTAATTGGAGAGTGATCTGCTTTCTTATTTAATCATAGTTTTCAATGGCCTAAAAAAGAACGAACAAACAAATAAACAAATGAGCAAAAGTAAACAAGTACACCGTTGCCATGGAAAGGGCATTGCGTCACATACACGTGCATGTAAATTGATGTAAAGTGACAGCTAGTAGATGAGCATGATTTATAATATTATATAAACTTCTTGTAATATTTTATGGTTTTGTAATGGGGGCATTCTCCCATGATGCACTTCATTATCTGAATTGCTGATGCATCTTGGGATAATGTAATCCAGTATCTGTTGATTTATGAATATGTTTATGAAAGTAAAATATTTTATTAAGTTAAATGAATGATTTACAGGGTGTCCAATAATTAAAGTAATTAGTGCTTTTATGTGAACCCATAAGTGGATTGAGGGCAAATCCGAAGTAATATGATAATAGAGACGATAGACTCGGTTGCCATGGTAAATTTTAGTTGCAGAATCATACGGCAATTGACATATGATCCTTATATCTACGTGCGATGTCTTTCACCCCCCCCCCCCCAACATGGCCATCAAAGCGTCGTGACACATGGATCCGTGGATATGTCTGTCTTATACAATGACTTCTCATAGATCTTTATATTTTTGGAAATACTTCATTTGTGAACATTTGTATGACTTTAATAAGGTATCACATACTAGCTGTACAGGCCCGTAGCCAGGATTTGTCAAGGGGGGGGGGTAAGTTTCCAAAAATTTCCAAGGGGGTTCACTTTTGACAATTTTGGCCCAAATATGGCTAAAATCACTTGAGAAGTGCTCAAAATGGTGAAAAACTGCATGATTTTGAAAGAATTTTTGGCCAGGGAACCCCCCCCCCCGACTACGGGCCTGCTGTATGATTATGTAAACTACCGTTAAATAAGCCAATCGAGTCTATCGCCTCCACTGTATGATATGAATAAATTCTTGTTTTTATCAAACTGCTTTGAAATATATGTGTTATTTCATTTTCAAAACGATTTACAGCTTGTAATAGCTCTATTTTATTTTTATCAACTCTTGGATGCTATATTGTGATCAGTTTGCCGGGCGGGTGGGCAGGCGTCTCGATAAATCTTGTCTTCAGGTTTCCAGCCAAACCGTTATTTTTGGGTATGTTTCTACGTATGAAAGTTTAGAACCTATAGTTTTTGGGCATTCTGGGTAAATTTCAAGGTGGCCATTTCGGATTTTCCGTTCTAAAATTTTGTCTGCCGAGGCTTGTCTGCAGGTTTCAAGCCAAAACGTTTCATGGATTCTTCTAGCTGGTTAGTTTTTGGGCAGTCTGGGTAAATGTTAGGGTGGCCATCTTGGATTTTTGGTCCCGAAAACTGTATTCTATTCAATATATATTTGATCAAGATCTTTGCATTATTATTATATATACAGGGATGACAGAGTGCCATTCACCTAAGTCACAGACCTCGTATTATCATGTGCGTCTATTTCGCACCGGAATACCCTGTCAACGGTTAAGTCAGATACCGTTGTCACAAATGGCGGCCACAGGTTCCTATTCGATTCGATTTTCATTAACTGCATGTTTAATAGAGCACCTAAATTTAAATAAGGTCCAATAGAATGAAAACGAAGTGACTAAAGAGTTGAAGCGACTGTACGTCCGCCATTTGTGACAATGGTATCTGACTTTACCGTTGTCAGGGTATTCCGGTGTGTATTTAATCCAGAATTTGGAACAATCATTTGATTGAGAACTTGAACTCCATATTATTATGCATCGATCTATTCGACATAGAACTTAAACTTCTTATTCTGTACGTACAATGATTTGATCAAAGTTGGACCTTTTATTTTCAGTCTACATACAGTGTGGTCAAAAAACGGCAACCCTAGTTTTTTCTAATATCTTTGTCATTCTAAGAAATAACTCCCTGATATTTTACACATTTGTACATCATTCCATTTCCTACCAACCTATCATATTTCATGACCATCGGACTGATAGTCACAATATTACTGCATTTTAAACAACATGCCCAAGATGGTCACTTTCGGGCTGTCTGAGCTGGTCAGTTATTCAAATGAACTCCATTTAAAATTTGATGCACTGGTAAACTCTAACAATAATGTATTCTTGGGGAGCCAAGCACTCGATGAAGTAGTGGAGAGGCACCTTCACACAGACATATGCACAGTTTAGTGTGTTCTCAGAAGATACCTTTACCTTTGATGATATCAACGGATATGCAATAACTGTCAACATCAAACTCTATTTTGTGATCCCCATGGAGTTCTTGAGGATTTTAGGTAAACCCAGGGGGGTTGATAGGCAGCAACAGGGGTTCCAACAAGACAGAACCATACCCCATACACCCAATGATGCACAATAATGGCTTTGGGACCACTTCAATGACCACATTATCAGCAGTACAACAGACAATGAATGGGCACCCCATAGCCCAGGTATGGCCCCATTTAATCTTTACCAGTGGGGATACCCCAAAGTAAAGATAGAATGTAGGGTAATAACACCAGAAAAACAGTTGACCTCAAAATAAAGATCACATGTGTCGTTCAGGCCATACTTGCTGAGGAATGCAGTTATGTCATTGACAGGTTTGGAAAATGTGTGCAGGTTTGCCTACAGCACAATATTGGAAAATTGGGGCACCTTGTTTAAAGTGCAGTAACATTGCGACTATCAGTCCAATGTTCATGAAATAATACAGTCTAGTATGAAATTAAATGATGCACATGTGTGCCAAATCAAATATCAGGGCAAAATTTCTAAAAATGACAAAGATATGAGGAAAAATTAGGGTTGCCGTTTTTTTTATCACCCTGTATATTGGTCAAAGAACCCATACCTCATATTTTTATGCAAATGCTTTATAACTATCTACTGATCAGATTATAAGCCCCGGTATATTATACATGATTCATAATTCATTCCTTGATCAGGCCTTTGCTCATTTAAGGTTTATAATTAATTGTCCATTATTGTCCACGATCGAGACTCGTACATCATACAAGGTTTATAATTGTCCATTGGTCTAGCCTGGCACACCAAACAAGGTTTGTAATCGTCTGCTTTCCGGGTCTCACACATAATAAAAGGTTTACATTTGTGCATTGATCAGGCCTGGTACATCATATACGATTTACAGTTGTCCATTGATCGGGCATTGCACACATGCAAGGCTAGCGTATCGTACAAGGTTTATAATTGTCCATTGGTCAGCTGGTCTAGTACATCATAGAAGGTTTATAATTAATTGTCCAATGATTAAGTCTGGTACATCATGCAAGCTTTACGCGGGCATTGCAGACCATACAAGGTTTACAATTGCCCATTGATCGGGCATTGCACATCATTCACTCAAGTCTAGTATATCAAACACGTTTTAAAATTGCCCATTGGTCAGGCCAAGTACAAGGTTTACTAAGTTACATACAAGCTCCATCGATCGAGCATTGCTCACCATACTTGGTTTATTTTATGATTGGCAGTTGTTGTTCAGTGTTATAAGGCCTGGGACTATGCTAGGTTCACCAAGTCTGGGTAGCGCCATATTTGTTAGAAGATCATTTGGCTCAGCCTTCATGTGTTCTGTGATCTCTCTTCTTGCCCTGTCCGTTCCCATATAGCTCCCTCTCTGAGACATTTTCTTCATTGCTCTCACACCACGAGAGACAAATTCTGCAGAAATGTCACAGTATTTAAAGATGGCAGCACAAGATTGAGTCGGGTTATCCAAGAGGTCTTCGTACCTTATTGCAGCCATCTTGACTCCATTCTGGTGGTGGCGGATATAGATCAACATCACGATGCCCCATTCAAGTGTAAGATAGGACAGAGGTGACTTTTTAAACGTCTTTCCTTTGGTCCAGTGTGGGGCAAGGCTATTCATCATCATATTGCTGATTGTGTTGGGAAGAAAATATTGCTGAATTTCATTAAACGAGCCTGTTATGTTGTACATCGATTTGACAGTGTTCAGGCCATCCCTGTATAGGAATATCAGGTTAATATTGGGGAATGCATTCGCAATAAAGTCAATATCATTTGCGCAAACATTACGTGTTTTAATACAATATGCTGGTTGGAGCTGCACGTCATACCTTGGTTTACATAGAAATCGCACAAGATTTTTGTACATTTGTTTCCACATCCTTTTCTCTATTGTTTCCCTTAGGAGTGCAAGCTTTGTCATTGCATCAGGCTCAGCTATGGTGACAAATTTTCCAGTTGTTTCAAATATCTGCGTGAGGAGAGTTGAACCACACCGTCCCGTACTTGATATCAAAACCACTTGCATTCTTGGGTCTCCAATTTCATTAGCAATTTTCGTGAAACTTCCAAACGGCATTTTGATGACCCGAACCGCATGATTGAACTGCGCCACATAGAAAAATGGGTGTACATCTGAACTATATATGTTAATATCCGAAGGGGTCTCTACGAATAACGCTTCATTATTATCTGTAATGGTGTACAATGTGACGTCATTATCCAGAACGCAACGTGGATCAGCAAATTTATCGTGTGTAAACAAAAAGTCGGCCTCTTGAGATAGATTAAATTCAACGATTTTTTCTCGTAAACGGATTGTCCCAACTTGTGCTGACTTGTTGTAATGTTTCCCGTCATTAATTTCGTGCAAAAATGAAGAAATTCCAGTTATTTTCCAGTATATTCGTTGTAATGTTATAAAGATGTTCCTTACAATCGAGTACAGAAGGAATGATACGAGCCTCATGATTCACAATTTTTCAGAACTACTCTACAATCTCACTGGTCAATATCAAGCGAATGCAACGGCCGTAATCTTCGCATCTATGATGACGATATATGAACAAATGATCATACCCCAGAGTTTTCATGTCATATGAACCTGATTACGTTCAAATATCAAAGCATAGTCAACTTCGAGATAGTTAATTCGATGAAAATTAAAAATATGGAAATCGACACTTGTCGTCCGCCATCTTAGATAAGGACTCCGAGATTACGACTCTTGCCTTCGCTTATATTGACCAGTGTATCTGTTCTGATGCCTGCAAATTTGGAACTCTAGAGATTTAGAGAAAAATAGTATTTAAAAATCCAGTCCTTAGTTGTTCTTCTTCTCCTTCTTTATTTTCTACTTCTGCTTCTTAGATCATCTTTCAAAGCGTCAAGTCAAGCTATCTGGTTGATCGAAGCCTCGTAATAGCTCCCATTAACATTAAAAGGTCATGTAAGGTCACGCCACTGTGTTATCTGAATTATAGCCAGCGCCCAGCAGAAATATTTGATATTAATCTTTTAATGTTCTAGCAGCTGGACACCCAAACCCAAAAATCAATTGTCGCGGTGATTCGGCATTAACCTAAAAACTACGCGAAAATCGTACTTTTCTACAGAATATAGTCCCGCCTCCAAAACTCATATGAAATGACACCTGTGCATTTTATTGGATAAATCAGTGAACGTAGCCGTCCAACCTCGCTTTCAGAGTTGGCGTAACCGTCATGCTTTAACACCGTGGTATAGACTATGTGAGTCAGTCGTCTTATTTATTGACCAACCCTTGCATTTTAAAATGTTGAAAGTTACTTCTATAAATAAAATCAATCTAATGATAGTTTGGAGTGGCTTTGTTTTCAAATGAATAGAAAACCTACTGTGAACCGGACTGTGAACAGGTCAAGTGCATCAACACAAGGACATTTTTCAGCAATCATCGATTGTTTATTATGGTCAGTGACCATGTCCGACCACTTACACGAATCGTTTACCTAATTGGATAGAATTAATATGGTATCAAGCTTTAATGCATAGAGCTGATTAATAATCATTACATTTTTACCATGCCCATGTTGCACTTCAAAAGAGGGTAAAACAGTATCCGAAAATCTTGCTTTGATGTCTTGTACCGACTTTACTGGCAGATAAGAAGAGTTCATTGATGCCTTGGTCACATTTGCTCCGATTCATCGGCCAGCGCCCGGTCGATTGAATATTTTGTTTCAAATTGTATCAAGATTTTAACAAAATCCTCAATCGGCCGGGCGCCGGCAGATGAATCGGAGCAAATGTGACCTTGTATGAAGAAATATATAATTGTCCTAATTGGTCAGACCTACAGACCACATAATACAGTTAATTACATCATGGATATATTCAAGGTCCATCGATCGGGCATTGCTCACCATAAATGCAAGTCTAGCATATTCTATGAGGTTTTTAAATTCCAATTGGTCATGCCTAGCACATCATATACAGTTAATTACATGGTTACATACAAGGTCCATCGATCGGGCATTGCCCACCATAAATGCAAGTCTAGCAGATTCTATAAGGTTTATAAATTCCAATTGGTCAGGCCTAGCACATCATATACAGTTAATTACATGTTTTCATACAAGGTCCATCGATCGGGCATTGCTCAACATAAATGCAAGTCTAGCATATTCTACAAGGTTTGCAATTTTCCATTGGCCATGCCTAGCACATCATACAAGGTTTGGCCAAGACTTGTAAACATATTGAATGCAAAACAACACTAATTAAATTTCTTTTACTATACCACAGGTACATAATGTACTTCGCTACAGTATTGCACTTATATGCTTCTTTAAGTCCTTTGAATTTAAAAACCTACGCTATTTTTGTAATTTTTGTTTGTTTTTTCATGCAGAAACATGTCTCTGTTTCATGGTACGTCTTTTCTTGACCTGTATTCACCTAAATAGACCCTATTGAGTATTTGCATGGGCATTCAACTAGACTGATGTCTTTGAAATATTAAGTTTTCATGATTTGTTGCCAAAATGATTTTCAATACATGTTCATATTGAAAGACCTCCAAAAAAATTCACAAAAATTACTAATTGTCGCCTTAGCTGCTTTTATCATCACAACTCAATTGATTATTTAGTTTTTTCGACACATTCATGTGATTTTTTCTTAGTTTTGATCGAGCTATAGGCTTGCTAGTATAGGCTCGATACTGTTCTTCACAAATTTCATCTGAAAAGCAAAACCAGTTTCTTTAATTTGAAACGTATGGACAACATAAATAAGATACCGCCTTACGAAACTGCCATAAAATGCAGTCTTTGATTCAATTTAAATTGATGGGTTATTGTTTGATTTAGTCGAATCGAATGGAAGAATTGCGTGAAATAAAATAAACAAAAACACAGAATTATATTTGATGTGATGTAAATGTACTGATAAATCCAACCACTTGATACATTAATTGATAAGTTGTTGGGTAAGTTGATTAGATTAATCTTTGCCATAGCAACCAAAGTCAGGGTTCGAAATGGACACGTGCCAAACAGCCAATCACTTTTGACAATTACAACTCTTGACAATGAAAAATGAATGCCAATATGTCAAATTGGGCAATCATGTTTCCAACTTAAGTCGTGAACTCTGGCCAAACTTCGTCATTTTTTGAGTATATAAATCTAAGCAACTAGCCTGTTTCCAATTCCTCGTGCTATTTCCATATGAATCACTGTTTTTTACGCAGAACTACTATCAGTACGATGTTCGCACAAATACCAATCAAACAAATTACAAGTGTTACAATGAAAGTTAACTGTGAACATTGAAGTCCATAGCAATTGCGACTACCATCCACAGTATGAGCATCATACACAGCCCCAAATAAAAGAGGATAAATCGACATAAAGATTGCTGGCACAAATATCATTAATCCCCAATTTCGGCCAAAATTTCGAATCGGAAACAAATCACTTAAAATGATTGGGACTAGTGCCCAGACACTTGCGATTGATGATGATATTAAGATTGTACATATGAAAATAACTGTTAAATTGGTGGCCAAACCTATGAGCAGTCCTTGAGCAACGATGAAACCCATGTTGGTGATTAGTAAGATATTTGAGCGAGATGATACGCTCGGGAAGTAATCTGCGGCGAAGGAGATGATGACGCGAGAACCCATTCCAGCTAAAGGAAACAATATCGTCATTGTTGCACTGTACTCCTCATATCCGGCAGCCTTAAGGAGCGCAGTAATGTTGGTGTTGAAAACAATTGCTATGGGAGTGACAAACGACTTTATAAACAATAGGAACAAATATCTCTTGTCGAAAAGGGTTCCCTTGAAGTCGTTCCATTCCTCTTTTAGTTTATGGTACCAAGTCGTATTTGTGGTTGGTTCGATTGCTTCAGCATGGCTATCATCAGCTGGTTGTGCATCTGTCCCATCGTAGCGATTTGCAAGTTCGTCAGCTTTTACAAGTTCAGTATCTTCTCCATGTGATTTATCAGTTGCTGCTTCCAGCTCAACATCTGCTTCGCTATCAGTGTCAGGCTCACCAGGCCTCACACGCAGTAGTAAAAAAGCTGCAAAATTTGTAACAGTTGTTCCAACAATTAAGATCTCAATATATCCGGGCCAATTCTGATTTCCGTCATCTGTGACATGGCCATTCACGAAACAGGTAGCGTAGATAAGTGCAAACAAGGAAGGACTACCCCCAGAGAATGTATCCAGAAGCCCGACGATCTTACCGCGGTATTTACTGTCGAAGTTGCACAAGTTTGTCACAAAGGCTGTCATATATGCAAACGTTGTCCCTTGACCGATGAAAAAGAAATAAAGTTTCATTAACCATGCATTATTGCTATAAAACTCCACACTCTTGCTAGTACTCCATATCAAAATATATGCTGCAAATGTCACGACCAACCCAACAAAACTCGTCCATCTTGGCCCGTACTTATCATGAAGAATTCCAGCTGGGAAGCCAAAAGAAATACCCATATTTGTTAGAATGGATATCGTGTTCACGTCAGTCTGGGTATAATTAAATGTATCTCGTAGAGCCAAGGCGTATACATTGAAGTTGAATAAAGTTCCTTTCCATAGCTTCACGAAACATCCAACGATCAGTGACGTTACGAGCAAACACCTAAGCTGATTGAACTTGCAAATTGCCATGATGTTGCAATTACTGTGATGTTACAGGCTGTCCAATTTATAGCACAAATGCTAGCATAAGAAAATATCCTAAAGTGAATCAACTGTGTGTTGATTTAAGATCAGTTTCAAATGTACATGATACACAGTGTGATATAGTATATTATATGTATACCATGGTCTAGTGTGTAATGTGTATGATCTCCCGATTGAGATACAAGGAGCGTTCAATACTTTTTAAGAAGGATCTATTACATCCTTTGAATGTTATAACAGCTATGTCATTAAAATACAAGAAAACATAGGACAGACACCACTGATTGTGACAAGAGGCATCATCATGGATCGTCTACAAAATTTGCGTTTGAGATGCGTTAGCAATTTGGACATTTGCGGCGGCGCAACTCTTGCGTTGCGTCGCACCATGGATTTTTCGCAATGCAAGTCGCAACTCAAATGATAGTTTTACTATACATGCGTCTCGCAATGCAATAGACTTCAAATGAATTTTAATTGAAGGGAAATTCAAAACACTAATATCAGGTCTCGGTGTCAGTTACCGGCAGTTAAAGTTAATTTTAGTTAACATCGCCAAAATTCTTATATCTTATACTTTGCCAAATACCCGTAGATTTGAAAATCTCCATTGATGTAATGCTAAGATTCTTTAAAACCTTGGTTTATTCGTTTGACAACCAAAATGTCCACAATTAAACACAACATGTATATTGACAGGGCCATCCCATCGTATGCCATTTGAGTTTCAGACACATTCAACTAACACCTTTTCATAAATCATTAAATCAAGTGGCTATTCCAAGTTTATAACATGGGAGGCTATGTCAGTCTGGCCCAAGCAAAACAAGGGTGACATCTATTATGTCAGCTTTATTCAGCTATTTAGAATACGTTTCGTCTATTCCGATTGCTTGGTCCAAATTAATAGAATCAACATGTGATTAAATAGAGTGGACGAGGCATGACTGTCTATGACGTCTTAATTCAGATTTCTTATATTTCCTCTTGTTGTTGTTGTTGTTCTTGTTGTTGTTCTTGTTGTTGTTCTTGTTCTTCTTGTTCTTCTTGTTCTTGTTCTTCTTGTTATTCTTCTTTGTTCTTATTCTTCTTGTTATTATTCTTGTTATTCTCTTGTTATTTTGTTCTTATTATTGTTATTATTATGTTATTCTTATTTTTATTATTGTTATTATTATTGTTTATTGTTATTATTATTGTTTATTATTTTTTATGTTATTATTATTATTATTGTTATTTTATTCTTCTTATTATTATTATTTTATTGTGTTGTTGTTGTTGTTGTTGTTGTTATTGTTGTTGTTATTGTTATTATTGTATTGTTCTTATGTTATTGTTATTGTTCTTATTGTTATTATTGTATTGTTATTATTGTTTGTTATTATTTTATTGTTATTCTTCTTATTTTACTTATTATTATTGTTATTATTATTATGAATATTATTATTATTGTTATTATATATTGTTATTATTGTTATTGTTATTTATTGTTCTTATTATGTTATTATTCTATTGTTATTATATTGTTATTATTATTGTTATTCTTCTTGTTTATTCTTATTCTTATTTTATTCTTCTTTTATTTTCTTGTTCTTCTCTTGTGTTTTGTTATTTTGTTATTTGCTTATTATTATTATTATTTTCTTATTTATCTTTTTTCTTGTTCTTATTATTTTTGTTTTCTTCTTCTTGTTTTCTGCTTTCTTGTTATTTTCTTGTTCTATTATTGTTACTGTTCTTCTTGTTCTTATGCTTCTTCATTATTATTTGTTTTTTCTTGTTTTCTTCTCTTATTCTTATTTTCTTGTTCTTCTTCTTGTTTTCTTGTTCTTATTGTTGTTGTTCTTCTTCTTCTTGTTCTTGTTATTTGTGTTCTTTTCTGTTGTTGTTGTTTTTTCTTCTTCTTCTTCTTTTCTTGTCTTCTTCTTCTTCTTTTGTTCTTCTTCTTCTTGTTTTCTTGTTCTTCTTTTCTTGTTTCTTCTTTTCTTGTCTCTTCATCTATCCTTCTTTATCTTCTTCTTCTTCTTGTTCTTCTTCTTCTTGTTCTTCTTCTTGTTCTTCTTCTTGTTGTTCTTCTTCTTCTTCTTGTTCTTGTTCTTCTTGTTCTTCTTCTTCTTGTTCTTCTTGTTCTTCTTCTTGTTCTTCTTCTTGTTCTTCTTCTTCTTCTTGTTCTTCTTGTTCTTCTTCTTCTTGTTCTTCTTCTTGTTCTTCTTGTTCTTCTTCTTGTTCTTGTTCTTCTTCTTGTTCTTGTTCTTCTTCTTCTCTTCTTCTTCTTCTTCTTCATCTTCTCCTTCTTTATCTTCTTCTTCTTCTTCTTCTTCTTCTTCTTCTTTATCTTCTTCTTCTTTATCTTCTTCTTCTTCTTCTTCTTTATCTTCTTCCTTTTCTTCTTTATCTTCTTCTTCTTCTTCTTCTTCTTTATCTTCTTCTTCTTTATCTTCTTCTCCTTCTGCTTCTTAGATCATCTATGAGTTTTACAAAGCGTACACTATGAATGTCAATCGCCTGATTTATTGATCAACCCTTGTATTTTAAAATGTTGAAAGTTACTTCAAATTTAATAAAATCAATCTATTCAGAGTATGTAGTGACTTTGTTTTCAAATGAATAGAACCTACTGTGAACCGCGACTGTGAAGTGCATTTACACGAGGGCATTTTATTTTCAGCAATCATCGCTTGTTTATTATGGTCAGTGACCGTGTCCGACAAGTTCCACAAACATTTTACTTCACTGGACAGAATTTAGATAGTACCAAGCTTTACTGGAAAATACCACAGTGCTTTTACTCTATACAGCTCATTAACAATCATAACATTTTTATCATGCCCATGTTGCACTTAAAAAGAGGGTGATAACAGTGTCCGAAAGTTTTGTTTTGATGTATAGTACAAAGTTACACGTAGAAGAGTTTATTGATGCCTGTGTCACATTAGTTCAATAAGTTAAACCCAATACCACGGCTTTCATTTATTAATCTGAATGTTCTTGTTGCCGTGATTGGCCGGCCACAAAGTATGTCAGATAAGAAATAAAGCCCAGACTAGGTTTAACTTGTTGAACTAGTCTCACATTTGCTCTAATTCATCGACCGGCGCCAAGGCCGCCGATTGAATATTCATCTTCAAGACTGAATTCAATTTTGAACAAAATACTCAATCTGCCGGGCGCAGGCCGATGAATCGGAGCAAACGTGACTCGGGCATTACCAACACAAGACCAGGGACCCAACCGATCGAGGTCGTGAACTCTATCTTTTGTTAGCTGAGAATAGTCTTTTATTCAAGTAGTATTCCAATACAATGGCAGTTTTTATTTGAGCCTAGTATGGGAAATTATGAATTCTGCTTTGTACGAGCTAATATACACTTAAATGATGTTCAAACATTTGTTTTGATTGTAAATGCTTACACGACCTACTTGGCAGCTGTTTACAGAAAACGTATTACCCGTATGCTATATAGATCTGATTAACATTTTGTCATATAAAATTCATCATTTACTTGTGTATAATCTCGGTATGCAATATATAAAGAACGGAAAAAGGAACTCGTAAAAACAGAGCTGTTGCGTCTATCAATAATCGAGATGTGTGTGGGGTACTAAATAATCAAAATATGGACATTCTGCTATTTCTCCTGTATCACATTGTTAGAGGAGTGTTTATCACACTACGAAGACTGTACTGGAAAATAAATGGAGTTTCCTCATTTCTAGCAGAAATCAATCGTGGAAGACATTACAACAAATCGGCACAAGTCGGAACAATAATATGGCGAGGAAAAATCATTGAACATAATCTGGCAGATGAGGCTGACTTTCTGTTCGTCCATGAACGATTTGCTCATCCACGTTGCGTTCTGGATAATGACGTCACATTGTACACCATAACAGATAACAATGAAGCGATATTTGTAGAGACTCCTTCAAATATCAACATATATAGCTCAGATGTGCACCCATTTTTCTACGCGGCACAGTTCAAGCATGCGGTTCGAGTTATCAAATTGCCGTTTGAAAGTTTCACGATACTTGCTAATGAGATAGGGGATCCAAAAATGAAAATTGTTCTGATATCTAACACGGGGCGTTGTGGTTCAACTCTTCTCTTACAAATATTTGAATCAACGGGACAATTTATAACAATTTCAGAACCTGATGCAATGACGAAGTTAGCATTACTAAGAATGAAGTCTGGGAGAACTCCGATGGAGGAAAAAACATGGTGTCAGATGTATAAAAATCTTGTACGGCTTCAGTGTAAACCAAGGGCTGGTGTGGATATTCAGCCAGCGTATTGTATTAAAACACGTCATGTTTGCGTGAACGACATTGAAGTTCTGATGGCCGAATTCCCAGATGTTCATCAAATATTTCTTTACAGAAACATCTTGAACACCACCAAGTCCATGCACAGCATTACTAACTCCTATAATAAAATTCAGCAATATTATCTTCCTATCAACAAAGTCAGCAATACGATGGTGAATGCTCTTCTTCCAAACTGGGCTAAAGGAAAGAAGTTCACAAAGTCGCCTCTGTCCTGTTATATCCTTGAATGGGGGCTGGTTATGTCCATCTATCTTCACCACCAGCAGAATGGAGTCAGGGTAGCCGCAATACGGTACGAAGATATCCTTGATAGTCCAACCGAAGCATGTTCTACCATTTTTAAATATTGTAACATTTCCACAGAATTTGTCTCAAGTGGTGTGAAAGCATTGTGTAAAGAGTCTCAAAGAGGGAGTGCCATAATGAGAACAGACAAAGCAGCAAAGAGGATGGAGATTACAGTTCATATGAAGAAGGAACTCAATGAGATTCTATCAAAGATGGGGCTTCCTAAACTTGATGAGCCTTGCATTGTCTCAGGCCTAATAACTGGCCATGGACAATTATAATTGTATTGTTCCACGCCTGATTACTGGATGATTAAAAGCCTTGTATTGTCCAATGCCTAATTACTGGACAATTATAAGCCTTGTATTGTCCAATGCCTAATTACTGGATAATTGTAAGCCTTGTATTGTTCCATGCCTAATTACTGGATAATTATAAGCCTTGTATTGTCCAATGCCTAATTACTGGATAATTGTAAGCCTTGTACTGTTCCACACCTGATTACTGGATAATTATAAAAGCCTTGTATTGTCCCATGTCTATTTACTATATAATTATAAGCCTTGTCTTGTCCAATGCCTAATTACTGGATAATTATAAACCTTGTATTGTCCCATGCCTATTTACTATATAATTATAAGCCTTGTCTTGTCCAATGCCTAATTACTGGATAATTATAAACCTTGTATTGTCCCATGCCTATTTACTATATAATTATAAGTCTTGGCTTGTCCAATGCCTAATTACTGGATAATTAGAAGCCTTGTATTGTTCCACGCCTGATTACTGGATGATTAAAAGCCTTGTATTGTCCAATGCCTAATTACTGGACAATTATAAACCTTGTATTGTTCCACACCTGATTACTGGATAATTAAAAGCCTTGTATTGTCCCATGCCTATTTACTATATAATTATAAGCCTTGTCTTGTCCAATGCCTAATTACTGGATAATTATAAACCTTGTATTGTCCCATGCCTATTTACTATATAATTATAAGCCTTGTCTTGTCCAATGCCTAATTACTGGATAATTATAGACCTTGTTTTGTCCCATGCCTATTTACTATATAATTATAAGCCTTGTCTTGTCCAATGCCTAATTACTGGATAATTATAAGCCTTGTATTGTTCCACGCCTGATTACTGGATGATTAAAAGCCTTGTATTGTCCAATGCCTAATTACTGGACAATTATAAACCTTGTATTGTACCACGCCTGATTACATGATAATTAAAAGCCTTGTATTGTCCCATGCCTAATTACTGAAAAATTATAAGCCTTGTATTGTTCCACGCCTAATTACTGGACAATTATAAACCTTTTATTGTCCCATGCCTATTTACTATATAATTATAAGCCTTGTCTTGTCCCATGCCTAATTACTGGATAATTATAAGCCTTGTATTGTTCCACGCCTGATTGCTGACGATCATTAACATTGCATTTTCGCATTGTCCCACGTAAGATTACTGGACAATCTTACACGTACTACCTTGCATTGTCACACGACTTACATTGTTCCACGCCTAATTACGCCTAATTACTGGACAATTATAAACCTTTCATTGTCACGCTACAGACTACTGGAAAATTCTGAACCTTGCATTATCACACGCCTGATAAGTGGACAATTATAAACCTTGCATAGCCCCAGGTCTAATTCCTAGACGACAATTCTAAACAATACATTGTCCCATGATTACTGGGCAATTATAAACCTTGCATAGCCCCAGGTCTAATTCCTGGATGACAATTCTAAACAATACATTGTCCCATGATCACTGGGCAATTATAAACCTTGCATTGCCTCTTACCTCATTACTGGACAACTATAAACCTTTCATTGTCCAAGGCTCATGTGACGATTATAAATCTTACATTGTTCCATACAAGGCTTATTGCTGGACAATTATAACTTTTTCTCTACAAGAATGCAATGTCAATTTCTAATAAATCCTAGAACCCCTAGATACATGTAGGTACGACTATTAAGGAGATCTTTTAAAAAATGCTTAGGTACCATAAAACAGGTTAATTCACTTTGCAATGGCCTAATTATCGAATAGAGATATCTTACTGTACAAGGGCCGAGCAATATATTCGCTACTTTTTGCTTTATTTTATTTTATATTTGTTTATTTCCATTGAAATTTGGTACAGACATAGAGTGTAGAATTCTGCATCTTTTGATTCCATTTTCAAGCCCATTGCCAAATATGGCAAAAAATTATGGTTGTCATAGCAACGAAAGGAATGAGCAACCGGAGCTGCCCATAAGTTTACTGCAATTGCACATGCAACAATATCTTTATATGCCCATTTCTCATAACAAAAACATTCAGTTTGGGTATTTTTTATAAACATTGTTTACTGGACATTGATCCAATATTCAGAACAATGGTTGTGATGTCATATATGTTCTTTTCAAACAATAAAGAGGTCACAATTGATCCGCATATGCATCACAAAAGGGAGACTCTGCGAAAGAACTTCATGGATGCAGTTCGTAAAAAGCGCCCAGTATTGATCAACCATATGATATATCATCAAGATAATGCTCCATCACACAGGGCCCGTGAGGTAACTGATATATTAGCAGCTCTAAACATTGAAAAATTTGATCATGCACCATACTGTCCAGACCTTGCATTGTGCGACTTTGAAATTTTCGGCAAACTGAAGAATGAGCTACGCGGGCAGAGGTGAAGTGACCGTGAAGAAGTGGTTGAGGCCGTCTATAAGGCCCTAAAAGACCTATATGCAAATGGAAGCGGACTGCAACAGGCCTATCAAGACTGGTTTTCCCGATGTAGAAAATACATAGCTGCAGATGGACACTATTTTGAGAATGAGGCATGGAATGAGGAGTAACTGTCTTAATTAACAAAAAGGACATTTTGTATAAAAGTTGTTTTCTGAAACATTGTCACAAATGTCAGCTCCGGTGGTCACTATCAACCAATATCCAATGCCATGTAATATATTACGGATGTAACCAAATAAATGCACATTTGGTGATATTACAGAAAAATGTTTTTTCTATTATTTTGGAAAATTTCAGGTAAGATACTTTATTATTAACAATTTGAGAGCAAAAAGTAGCGAATATATTGCTCGGCCCTTGTATATTCTACATTTCATCTATTGGAACAAATTACAAATTACATGCATGGTTTTTGGCATTTATTTGTGGTGTTAACTTGTACACTGTGGTATATCTAGAAATAAACAAGGAATTATGATCCTGGTTACACTGTTTGAATTTCAACCTCTATCCATTATCCATTTAGGTATAATCGGATTAACATATCAGTGAAAGAATCCCTCCTGCTAAATCCTATCGAACATTAATAAAGCTACATCATATCCCGTTTATGTCTAATGCTTTTCTTCCTATTTCCTTATAAACCAAGTGTCAGTGGAGCCTTAATAGTACTATGGGTTTTGGCTGATGTAAAGATGGCAGTAATGGTGAAAATATGTTAAGACCAATAGATTGCACTGTCGTCTCTACCCCTACTATCACACCAAACTAGTTCTCATTGCGTTCTCGAAAACGGGCTTCAACTGTATACGAACGGACTGGACCTACTAAGAACCGTTTGGGATCTATTTACAAACTTCATCGAACGTACTCGAACGGGTAGGTCCTCTAGAACTTAGACAATGCTCAAAATGTTCTCGTGGTCGTCACGTTCTACAATTAGAACGAGTGACAACGTACTAACGACGAGCTGGACGTACTACGAACGGAACCGTCGTACTTCAATCCTACTAGGGACGTTTTAACAACGAGTTGAACTGTCTGCGGACGTGTTGAGAACGAGGTAGAACTAATTGCAAACGGGTTTAAACTGATTAAGAACGTATTTAACACTGCTTATGAACGAGTTAGCAAAAATATAGCTATCACAGCAAACAAGTTGCCACTGCGTTCTTCAAAACTGGTTTTAAACTGTGTGCGAACGGAATGAACGTAGCTGCAACTTTCTAAGGTCTATTTACGAACTTTATGAACGTTCTCAGACGGGAATGTGATTTTAGAATTTTGAATCGATTCAAAATTCGATGACGACCATACCGTTCTGTAATCAGGTCATGTTGACCTTCTAGACTAAGGGACGCGTTCTACGACGTTGCACTCTATGGTTGGCCTATTAGTATAAAGAATACATGCGTTGTTTACGGGTGTGTAGGCGTTAATTACGCTCGTGTAGATGTAAAATTACGCCCGTGCTGACGAAAAATTACGCCCGTGAAGAAGTAAATTCTACGGGCGTTCAGAATACATTTACAGGCGTGAACTTACGGCGTTAAAATTATTAATTACGGGCGTTAAGACTGTTATTTTACACGCGCTGAGAAACATCTTCACGCCCGTGGAGTTTATTTTTAGCGCCGTAAATTATGAACCAACCAGAACCTTACTTACATGATGATTTAATGCATCCTTGCTAAAAGAGCAACTCCGAGATACTTGCGCTAGTAAACAACAATCAGAAGCCTGCTTACATTTTAGTGTGTTGCATTGAGGTCCTTAAATATTCGTTCAAGATTGAACTAGATTTAACCAAAGAAGTATTCATTTTTTAGAGCAAATTATATTAAAAGGCAAATTGAAGAGACATGAACTGTGTTGGCAGTTATCAACACCCATTGTAGAAACGACAAAATTGCAGAGTATTTTGAGAAGGTATACATGTTTGGTTTCTAAATACGATGATTTTTGGATAATTCTCCAATCTAGGCGTCGGCTTCAGAGGTAGGCTAGGTAGGGACTTATTAAGCTCACACGCATTGCAGCTTACAGTCTCATTATACAGTCAGATCGCTAATGTATCCCTCTAAAGGATGTGTCCAGATACTAGAATTATAGTATCTGATCAACTGCAAATTGACTCTAGACTAAAGCTATATCCTGCAGATCTGGCATTTTTTGAAAATGTACTGAAAATGTCAAAGGAGCCTATATACCTAGTATACCTAGCCAACATATGTTCAAATTTGGTGTTAGGGAGATGTGTACTTTTTGGAATCTTTATGCAGCCGTCTTTATATGTCACATGTTATTTCCAGGAATACATAACTCATTTAATATACGATGTAAATCTTTCACATTTGCACAAATAGTGCACCGAGATACCCAGAAAAGAAATAATATTTCATATGCCTCCAATTGCAACAGTTGTTCCTGGCACAATCATGAGTATGTTATTAACTTGCACAAGGATCTTGGAGTTGTACTTTTAGCTATAATGCATCGTATCATAATGTAAGCAAGATGCTGATTGGTTCATAATTCACGGCGCTAAAATGAACTCGCGTGTAAAATAACAGTCTTAACGCCCGTAATTAATAATTTTAACGCCGTAAGTTCACGCCTGTAAATGTATTCTGAACGCCCGTAGAATTTACTTCTTCACGGGCGTAATTTACGCCTACACAGGCGTAATTTTTCGTCAGCACGGGCGTAATTTTACATCTACACGAGCGTAATTAACGCCTACACACCCGTAAACAACGCATGCATTCTTTATACTAATAGGCCAACCATTATAAGCACTCCGACGTGGTACGACCTGAACGAACTGCGAACGAGATGGACGTATTGAAGACTGTTTAAGAACGAAGAAGCTAATTATATCAGACATATTTCCCCACCACAGCCAGATTGAGCCCGTTTGACGACGTTTTCGTAGGACTGGGAAGAACGGGTAAGAACTAGTTTGGTGTGATAGGGGGGTACAGTGTATCTAAAAATTATTTCTATCGCGATTTACTGTACCCTTATTCTGCAGATCTACAGGAGGGTTTATTCACTCTAGCACCCCTACCTAGGTGGATTTCCGCCTACCCACCCATCCTAATGGTGTGGTAGGTAGGTAGAAATCCACCTACGTGGGGTGTCAGATTAAACAAACAAACCCTCACAGAATATACATGTAGTGATAAATACGGAGATGGAGTCCATACGTCCATTTCATTTCATTTCAGACGGAGTCAACCTATCCTTGAGTATAAAGGTTTTTAATGATGTTAGGATAATCCTTATTTTCGGTGTAATGTAGCATTTATAAACACAATGACCTCTCTAAACTGCATGAATCATTATTCGGAAAAAAGACCATCATTTAACATGTAAATGTTATCATTGAGGGCAGCCTTCTGGCATTATAGTTAAGCTGGTCGCATTCCCAGTTATAACTGTCAATTTTAGACAGCGTTGCATAACGTCACCTAACCTTCTGTCCACACAAGCCCCTGAAAAACATCAGATGATTCAGAAATGTTATGTGACATGCTTCAATAAGGTAAAATTGCTCAAGATGATTCCAAATTGGTACCTTTGGTCCGTTGACATTCACCATAAAAGTATGTCAAAGCTGAAAACTATGATTGATTTTCATTCTATTTCTTTACATGTATAAAGTATGATCAAGAAATATTATGGGCAATTCTGAATCTGCGATGCCGTTGCTATGGTAACCAAGTAAATATGCCATGCCAATTTTTAGGGGCTCTTTTCAGTGTTTGGCCCCCATCTCCACCATTATTGCTCAGATTTTGATGAAATTCAGACCAAATTGAAGGTAATAGATAATGCAATCAGAAGATATTTAGTTGATAATTCTGAATCAACAATGGCGTTGCTATGGTAACAATGTGAATATGCCCCACCCACTTTTAGGGTCAGTTTTTCGCCCTTATCTTCTTCATTATTGCTCAGATTTAGATGAAATTTGCATCAAATTAAAGGTAATAGATAGAGTAATCAGACAGTTAGTACATGTACATGTAAACTTTGCAAATAGGATGATTTGCATATTGATTATGACGTCATAACTGTTTGTTCTTGCATATTTTGTCTTAATCATGATGTTCTAATCTGTGAAATTATTGTCTTTAAAATAGTCAGTAATGCTTCTAACTAGTTAATTAGTTTATTTCTTTTAGTTGAGTTTATAATTTTATTTCATTCATACTTGCATGGTCATAAAAACTGAATAAAACTGAATAAATCTAAAAATGTAATGAAAATCTCCAATTTATGCTGTTGCTATAGTTACAGCACATAACAAAACTATCTGATGTAAAAAGAATTCTTTAGGAAATTTTACATTTTGACGGGTTGACTGACACATGTATTCTTTTTAAAATATGATGACAGAAAATAATCTTATAACTAAAGAAAATTATTCAATTTAAATTGTGTTATATTATGATGCCATAATGGCAATTATTAATCAGGGGTGCAGCCAGCATTCAGTCAGGAGAGGGGGGGGGGATTGCGATTGAACAAGCAACCCAAAAATGTTTTATTTTACAAAAATTGATGCAACTTCCTTCAAAACTGAGCTAGAATCTTCAAGTCAAAATGATTTTAAAGCTCTTCTTCTATTTAATGGTTCTATATTTTTGTTCATAGGGGCGCACCCATCGCACCCCCTGGTAATGCCTGTTAATCCAATATGATGTTGCTATGGTAACTAGGTGAATATGCCATCCCTGCTGTTCAGGGCTTTTCCAAAGTTTTGCTTCTATCTTTGTCATGATTACAGCTTGAGTGTATATGAAATATTCACCAAACTGAAGCTAAAGATGCATGGATTATGTCAATTGACTGACTGGCATACCCATTGTCGCATTAATAGCTGCTAATGGTTTTGAAATCCGAAAAATATGTTCAATGTCAATTTACACAAAAAATAATATCATTTTATGGTATAGGTCAATACTTTAGTCTATTTCATCTTTTAGGTCATGTAGACATAACTGTACCAATTTTGAACCGAATGGTCGGATGTCGGATTTCAAAACCAACAGCATATCTGAAATCAGGGGCTTCCATACTTCATACTTGTAAAGAAATGGAATCAATCATAGTTTTCAGCTTTGGCCTCATTTTATGGTGAATGTCAAAGGACAAGGTTCCAATTTGGAACCATTTTGAGCAATTTTACCTTATTTCAAGAGATAATCACAAAAAGCAGCTATGATACCATAACAGGTACTGTACTCCTGGTATTTTTCGCCTGCTATTTAGTTTCGTGCTTGGTAAAATCGCAAAAATTAATCTTAGCGAAATTGTCAATTAAATCCCGGGGATTTGTGAAATTTATTATTACATTTCGTGTTTTGTAAAATGTTGTCAAGTGTTTTTAGGCGATTGGTGGAATAGTTAGTACCAATGTCTATTACAGTGGAATCATTTTGAGCAATTTTACTTTATTTCAAGAAAATAATCACAAAAAGGAGCTATGATACCATAACAGGTACTTAGTATGTCAGTCAGCCAATCTACATTATTCATGTATTGTCTGATTCACCTAGCATATTCACCTAATGGTTACCATAGCAACATCATATTGGATTAACATAGGGAGTGCTTAGAGGAATGGGGGTGCGCTGGGTTCACTCACCCCCTAATAACCAATAAAAATAGAACCATTAGATAAAAGAAGACTTTCAACTTGAAGCTTTTTGCTCAATTTTGAAGAAAGTTGCATCAATCTTTGTAATATTCAAAACCTATCTTATAAATACTTTTGGGTTGCCTGTGCCACGATCGCAGGTCCCCTTCTGACCGAAGCTGGCTGCGCCCCTTATTAAAAATTGCCATTATGGCATCATAATATAACACAATCCAAATTTGATAACTATGGTTATTACATTATTTTCTGTCACCAAATTTTAAAAAGAATACATGTCAGTCAACTGGTCAAAATGTAACATTTCCTAAAGAATTCTAAACTAATTAAAAGCATTATACTGACCATTTTAAAGACAATGATTTCCCAGATTTATACATTATGATTAAAATAAAATATGCAAGAACAAACAGTTATGACGTCATAGTTGAAAGGCAAATCACCATATTTGCATATTCTAAAAATTGTTTGATTGCTCTATCTATTACCTTTAATTTGGTGCAAATTTCATCTAAATCTGAGCAATAATGACAAAGTTAGGGGCCAAACACTGAAAATAGCTCTGAAAAGTGGGCGTGGCATATTTAATTTGTTACCACAGCAACGCCATATCGGATTCAGAATTGCCAACTCAACATTTCTTGATTGCATTATCCATTACCTTCCATTTGGTGTGAATTTCATCTAAATCTGAGCAATAATGACAGAGATAGGGGCCATGCACTGAAAAGAGACCCTAATAGTGGGCGTGGCATATTTACTTGGTTACCATAGCAACCCCGTCGCGGATTCAGAATTGCCAACATCATTTTTCTTGGTAAGTATCACGTATAGTTCATGAAAACATATGTCGCTTAGCTCGCCTCTAAAAAGGAAACGGAATGACCTTTGCCCCCATACTAAAACCCTTTATAGCCTTTATAAACGTCGCCAAAATAATTCAGTAACTGAGTAAGGATTCGTAAGATGAGAAGATTTGCAAGATAAGAAAGGCGTTAACAAGTAAAAATGTCACAACCTGCCATTTGTTACAGACGCCGACCATCGAACAACGAACACCCATAACCGTAAACTAACCGCCGAACGCCGTCCTCAAAAACAGTTGAAGACAATATGTGATCACCACCATGGATGTGCCATAAAAAGGGTTACAGGGCGTTCAGCTGTCCTGCAATTTGCATATTTGTCCTGTTCCCGCATCTGATGAAGAAACTGAAGTCACGCTCGTCTTCTGCGTGATAGAATATGTCAGGAAAATATGTATTTTTCTCGGATCATTGTCAAGCAAAATTATTTCAGGGGAAGAACATTAAAAAAATGAACGCCAAAAAACAAACGCCGAAAAAACGAAGGCAGTTCATTCGGAATTTTCACGCGAATTGCGAATGTCACGCAGTTGCTTCGAAATTAACGTATTCTTAGTTATTGGAAATGGATTCTACCAATACTCTCCAAGATGAATCTATGTTGTTGAGATTTGATAAACTTGAGTCAAGTTTTCAATAGTAAGAATAGGGCCGTTCTTAACAGCCATTGGACTTGCTTTTTAGAACTTCTTGTTCACTTGGCTCCAATACTATCTGAATTTCAGGGCCTCATGTTCACCTCAAGGATGATTGACTCCCATCGATATTTTCTAACAATGAAAATGTCAGATAGTCGTTATTTTCTGAAACTATAACGGACTGTAAATTCATAATCACCACTCCAAAAGATTCGAAACGATATCTCGATCACTTCTTGTGTGTTTTGGAATTTTTTGTTTGGAAATTAGACCAAAATTAGCGATTCAAATTCTGAAGTGAACAAAATGGCGGCTGTTTGATTTTGAATTTTGTAATACGTGTACTTGAATAGTTATCCAATGATTAGTTTGGAGGTTATTTAATGGGAGGGATGGAATGTGAATTTTATTCCGATGGAAAATATGACATTGACCAAGGAATAGAATCCATACTGAAAATCAACCATAAAATGACCTTTTTTATTCCATTATTTCATTTCATGGCCCTATTACAAGTTAATAGACTATAAATACAGAACCCATGCTTTTATGTAACAATAACAATAAACAAGAATGAATCTTGTTTTCAATGTCATATTGTTCATATTAAATAACAACAAATACATAAATGTTTATTCAAGGTAGCTTCTCTGAAGAGCTACATGAATACAAAACACCGCCTTTTTAATGGTTTTACAGATCAATAACTGAGACAACGACTTTTTCGAGTGAATACGATTTTAGGAGGGAAAATACGGTTTTATTTCCCTGGGAAATTATTCGTTTTAAGTCCGTTTCACTGTTCAATCAGTAAAATACAAAAAGAAATCAAAAGACTAATGTGCAATAATAATTGGATTACTATTGTACATAAATGACATTTGAATATTTCAGATTATTTAGTTTTATGAGCAATAACCCCGTGGCCTCTTGTATTTTAACGAACTTCAGTCATTTTGATTTCTTCGAAAATAACAAGGCAGAGAAACATCAAAATATAATAGGCAACTCATTGTATTAATCTAACCAGAAGCAATCTAAGGTATACAAATGTCATTAATGTACAATATGAATATATTTTCGATATATTATAAATTGCACAACTGTCTTTTGATTCTTAGTTTTAGGTTTTACCATGGGCTTTCAATTAGAGTTGAAAGCCCATGGTTTACTAAACGCAATTTAACAGTAAATGGACTATAGTACAGCAGACACACTGATACCATGAGCATTAAGGATCCACTTTGGATAGGGCTTCAGACTTCGTGATAACCCACTCACAATCAATACCATAGAATAGATCATAAATATGTGTGAAATATATCAGAAAGATTCACAGATATTCACCTCGATAGAATAAACTATTTATTTCATATCTGTGCAGTAGTTGTCGTGTCATTTATACATTTACTTATAACAAGTATACCTTGCTATTGTTTGGTTAAGAATATCTCCAAATGTCTGTTCCAGAAATTTCTCAGGTTTTAATTTACATTTCGTCCCATTATATGCGTTAACTGCCTTCCTGAATTGCCTTCTTGTACTACCTTAAGTAAATAACAAATTTTTCAGACTCGTGTTAGAGCTTCATACATTTTACTAGTGCGTGATCTAACTTCAAAATTATAAATTTGCAAGGGAACGTCATCACGCCTAACCATCGACAAGGTACAGTGAGAACATATACCGATACATTTTGTCAGAGTACCTTGTCGATGGTTAGGCGTGGTCATGAAAAAGAAATTCTTTGTTCTTCATTTCCCTTAGCTTTTTCCTAAAATAACATTAATATCGTTTTAGAGTATTCCTCTAAAATAGAGTCAATTTCACCGTTCTTATAAGCTTATTTTTCGCCTCGTATATTCAAAACAATTCTTGCAATCAAATACTTACTTGAACTAATCACGTCGGTTTTTCTAAACTTATGAAGAATCAATCCGATGTTTGCATTTGAGTTATTTATGGACTTGGTCTGTCTTATTACGTAATTTGTTACGTTTTTCGCCCTCTCCAAGTCTTCAGTGTCCATAAAACAGGAAACGTCAAGGATGATCTGCATGTTGAAAGAAGCTGAAAGAACAAATAGCCAATGAATGGTCTTTCCAAATCGCATTTCAACAATATAATGCAATACTCTAAAAGGTATATTATCTTTATCTTTCCAAATAAACATAATAATTTGCAAGTATTTTCTTTAACACTTTATACGATATAGACAGGTTACAAAAATAAGCATAATATAAAGCTTTCAAAATCTGTAAAAACAAAAAAGAGATCATATCAAATTAAATGATACACCAAAACTAGATCACAAAGATCGTTGCTTTAAATCAGGAACATTGGCCACTTCACAAAAAATCAGTGCAAATTCTTAACTATAGCAGCGACCTCTATTTCTGGAGAGAAGTCCATGCTAGTTGCAGTATAGTTAATAAAGGTTCTTAATGCATAAACGTCTGCAATTTTGGTTTTCTAATATACTCCTCAAAAAAAGGTAAGGACCAGTGGTTTTCCTCATAGGTTTACATGTTAACCCCCATATTTGTTTGAACCACTATTTTCTAAGCGGGGAACAAAAGAAATCCCAATAAAGTAAATAAATCTGTATCTTGATTCTATTCCCTATAAAGTCCGCAACGTTTCAATGTTATATCTCCATTACATTGGGTCAAAAATTGATGTCAAAATTGATCAATTTCATGAAATTTAACAAAAATGGCAGATTCCATGTTAAACAAATGGGGAATGGTGGCTTAGGGGCAACTCAGATTTTGGAATATCTATTCACTAAAACATTTATTAAAAATACTTTCTAAGTAGAAAATTGAATGATTTTACATTGTAAATGCTAAATGTCTCGCTTATGTTGTCAAAATTAGCGATACGGAGCGTTAACGTAATTTTGACCACCTCACTGAACCACCTGTGTTATTTCAATGAGAGGATCATTAAAAAATCATTGAATTTGAAACCATTAACTTTTGTAAAGCCTGGACAATTAAATCATATTTTTGTCGAGTGGACAATTTAGCAAATTTAATTATCTCTTATAATTTCAATTTTGAGAGCAATTGAATGGATGGATCGTTCCTCATATGACTTATGGCAACCCAACCATTCCCCATTTGTTTAACATTGGATCTGCCATTTTTGTTAAATTTCATGAGATTCATCAATTTTGACATCAAATTTTGACCCAATGTAATGGATATATAACATTGAAATGTTGCGGACTTTAGAATCAAGATACAGATTTATTTACTTTATTGGGCACTTAAAGTCTCAAAATATTCCAAATTGGTACCAGAATATTCTCTAGTGATGTTTCGGTTTCCATGGTATAATTATGAGTGTTTGATTTTTGTTTCCATAAAGCTTGATTATATGATTTCATTTATTGAACACCCCTTTAATTTGTCTTCAAAGGATTGTTTTACGTATTGAATCAGCTATTACAGTAGTGAAACAGAGTGACCTTGACATTGAACACTAGATACACTTTTTATGTATTTTATTAACAGCTCGTGGATGGCCATATTAATCAATTTACTTTGCCTATAGTACTTATAATATCAGCTTCAGTATTGTTTTACTTTAAAGATGATTTAATAATGTTGTTATTCAAGGTGGTATTGACCTGTAAAGTGCAGTCAGCCGTGAATGAGCAGATATGTACGTAGAACGGCTGAAACAAATTAAATCGAACTTATCTATTTGTCTATTTTCCTATTTTGTATGGCTTTCTCAAATCCAAGTTTAAAAATGTTAGATGATACCGACTGGATTTCAAACGTGGATTTCAAAATTAGGCATAAGTTATGTCCAGGTTTAGTCAAGTAAATTCAATCAAATTTTCATTTTCAAAGAAATAATTACTATTATATACAAGGTGGCGCAAAAATAAAAGCTTGCTTTAAATTGACCAATTATTTTTCAAAATCATCTATAAGTTCTCAAAAGTTCAAACCTAACTCAAAATTTGAGCAACTAGGTGGTGACATTTTGTCATGTAACTAATGCCTTGTCATGAATTTGAATTCGTGATATTTTTTAAACGAAGCCATGTTTGGGATTCAGTTATATCATAGGTTATATTCACATATTTGTAGTTGATACCCAGTAAAAAAGGAAATTGTGGAAGTAATATAGATTCTATTGCGACCCAATGGGCAATAAACACTGAGTTGTTTGAATGAGGAAAAAAATTATACTTATGATTTACTATTGTTTTGTTTTCTTTCCGCGGATACACTTGTCAGAAACCTCTGTGTGAGACTTTGGATATCATATAAAGCATTATATAAGTATGTTTTTGAAAACATCGTCAGTCACATTAATTTCCTATTATAGAATTAGTTCAATTGTGTTAAATTAATCCATATGTAACTTTTTAACCTCTAAATCAACACTTAATCAAGTGTGTGTACCTACAGGTGCAAAATATTAATTCAGTCACACAAAAACAAACAAATTATACATTCATATAACATAAGAGATGTACACAAGCAATAGCCATATAGATGAAAACATATCATGTACATATGTAGCACCTTATAGTAAGATTTTTGAGGAGTATCAAAATGTCCCGGATCATAATACCAACTTGATGTTAAGTGCTGAAATATTTAGAAAGACATTCCAATGTTTTTCTACCATCCCTGAATTTATTATACGAAAAGGATTATCCTAAAATTACCAAATCGTACTCGTATGTTTCAAAGAGCAGGCTCGCATCGAATGAAAACAGCAAAAATATTGTGAAATTGTAAAAATTCCTTTGGAGTCCGTTCCAATCTCCTATCCAGTCGGTGTTGCCCCTTTAACAAAGATAATACTATATTGTACTTACGAGGGTCTCCATATGCGCCTCCGTTGTCATATAGGGGAATAAGTGATGGCGTGACTACAGAATCAATATCTCCCGCCACCACCCCTATAAAAACTACAATCAGTACATGTAGTTCATATAACATAATGCTGATCCTGAATTCTAAAGGTATTAAAATATGTATTCCAATGTCCAATCAATATTTCGGAATCAATTCTATTAACAGTTATCATGTGATTTTTATGCATTACCAATCACCTGTAATTGTGTTGTATCATTGTGTTTCCATGTTGTTGTGTATTTTATTAAGTTCTTCTTATATTGTACTTACAATATATTATCTTCTTGCAGCAAATGGACGTAGTCTAAGCACAAACATATTTGCAAAGTAGACAGCCTGTCCAATTGATAACTGTGAGGCCCTAGGAATATACCCCCATCACCGAGACAGCAATATGTAACGATCCAGAAACATTATGTATCTGGATTATCTAGATTATTTATATGGTACATCTTATATGACATTCTCTTTATATGACATTTATCTTTTCATGACTTCAGTATGAATAAAACGCTTAAGTCACATATATATGGTCTTTTGGTTCTGGAATCTTTGTCTGTGATTATTATTTCTGCATAGACACTAGAGGTGTATTTGTTTTGGGATTAAATACAAAGAAATCAGTGTGATAAGTTGCATTTTTTTATTTGAAAAAAAATGTGATCCTGCACTTTCAATAATTGCAAACAATGCATGATTTTGTTCCAAATTCCAAATTATTGCAAGCTTTACCCACTGAGAGTTGCTCACGTGATAAGTAGGACAACAAAATCTTGCCTACAATACCAACTGCTTATGCCCGAGTCACATTTTCTCCGACTAATCGGCCGGCGTCCGGCCGATTGAGTTTTTGTTTAAAACTGAATTCAATTTTGAACAGATTTCGGGCGCCGGCCGATGAATCGGGGCAAATGTGACCCAGGCATTAGTAAAGTTTAGTGTGCACATTATGCATGCCTAGCTCCCATTTGCCCCGATTCCTCGCCCGGCACCCGGCTGATTGCAATAGTTTGTTCAAAACTGATTTCAAATTGCTTCAAATTTACCAAACATCTCAAATATGAAATTTGACCTTCGATTCTGAACAAGATGCTCAATCGGCCGGGCGTCGGCCGATGAATCGGAGCAAATGTGACCGATGCATTAAGATACAATATTTTAGCATACGGCTCTTTCAAAAATGTTCACTATTGTAATTCTGAGTTTTTACACACATACATATGTGTTAACAAACAGTTTTTGATATACCAATTACAAATTAAGCCAAAGCAAACATATGCATATGCAAATTAGCCATAATCTACTTTGGCTGTTATTGGTATACACAGTGTATCATTAAATATTTTGATATAACGATTTAATAGCTAACAATTTTACAGTTGAATTGACTGATTTTAAATTATGCTTTTCAATACAATACTCATACAATTGGATATAATAGGCAAACAAGTTGTATTGATTTCGTCATCACTGTTTACACTAAAATAATTACTGTCCTTTTTAATACAAGGGTTGCTTCAAAAGTCCTGAACGTAGTTCTCTGATTGCATCTCATGTTTATAACCCCACTGGGCTCAGTTCGGTAAGGATAAAGATAGACCATCCGTTCATTAGTCCGTCCGTTGAACGATAACTCAAATACCGGTTGACAGATTTGGTTATCAACTTTATTATGTTAGTGCTTCATGATAACTTAAATATCGGCTGTCGAATATTATTCAAAATAATATACTGGTGTCTCTTTGGCACAGGACCATTGCTTTTGATGGTATTTTCAATGGTCGCTTGATTCAAAATGGCTGCCATTTTTCGTAAGATGCAAATTATGATAACTTAAGTCTTTTGTCGAACTCAGTTTAAATTCCATACACCATGTTCGCAGAGAATCATTGCTTGTGATCACTGCCCATTTTAAGCGAGATATTTTACAAAAGATGATTTTTGGCTCAAAACTCTATGCTATATTCATAATATCCGTTCAAGAGAAAAATTTCAAAATAGACTCCAAATGCAAAATGGCTCCATTTCCTGGTTTTTACGTTAACGTATGCGATAGACTACATAATTTTGTTTGTTTTGCTCTGAATATGTATACTAGGGAGTTTACCTGACAATTTTTTCAAAAAGTGAGTCTTTATCTAAATTTAGGCATCATATTCAATTTTCCTTTCCACGGTAGAATTCTCTAATCGGAAGGAGCGAATCTCTTTCCTTGTAAGGTCAATCACATGTACATTTATTTCTTAAAAATGTATTTATTTGGGTTATCTTAATTAAAATTTAGAGTCACATGGCGTGGTGGCTGATTGATTCTTTGGCTTAATTTTTGTGGATCTCAATTTCTGGCGGCAGAGAGAGGGGGTAGTGTCACAATTACCGATTATTTCAAACAGTAGATGTTTGACCCCTATTGAGTTTAGTGTCAAAATGTAGCTGAGACAAATCCATAACTTGAATTAAAAAATAAGGCACTTGGCCTTTTGCCCATTGACTAGTATGGTGACATGAATTAGAGCTGTTTTGCCAGAGTCTCAACTGTTTTTTCGACAGATTCATACTAGGTTCTAGATTTATATAATGACGATATTTATTCTTTGAAAATGTTATGTCAAACAATAGTTCTTTGATCCTGGTACAATATATATACAAAATAGGGATTGATCAAACCGGTTAAAATTCAAGATAAGATGTAAAATGAGATCAATAATAAGAATCAAAATTTGTAGCTTCTGAATATGTGGAAAGTTTTTGACAAAAATAGGAAAATCGTCCAAGGCACTACTCATAAAGTAAATATATCAGTCTTTATGAAGAACGCATTACTTTGGACAAGATTCTGTCATGACAGAAATGTTTGAGTCGGGTGGTCTTCCGGTTAAAACGGTGATCTTTAGACTACGAAGCATGACGTCACCTAGCATTCTGTCCCGGCAATCTCCTGAAAAACACAGCATTCGATATAGTGTAAGAAATTGCTGCACAAAAATAATCGAATATGAACACTATTTTGCAAACTATGGATTGAAATATTGGTAAGCAACATACCCTACCACCATATGATTTGAGAGCGAAAGATGTATTTCGCTATCTACATGTAAGTGGTTATTTTCAGTATATCAAGGGTATGGAAACGCGTAGAGTTCGAAATCAGGTAGGTAGTTGTAATTTAATTTGGTTGTCCGTTAACGTTTTGATATGTTTCTTCACCTCATACGCTCATCATGTTCCAAATACATTGGGGGAGCATTCAAGTGTGGTAAATTACAGTCACCCATCTAGTTTTGCCAGAATATTGGTTTAACCAAAGACTTATATTTGGATTTTTAGAAATAATTATGTGTTTAACCTCACATTAATGAAAAACCAGTTTTGGTTGTCAATTTGTAATAATCGAATGTTTTCCCGTTTTACCGGGAGCATGGACGTATTGCAAGGTGAAGATGCTCCGTGGCGACGACAAAATAAAATGATAAAAAATCATAATAAAAGACGTTTTTCGGACGTGTATTTCCTATTTTACTCGAAGAAAATACTCAACGCGTTTCAAACCCCTGATATTAGGGAGTTTAAGCTTGCATATGAAATCGAAACGTCAACCTATACGTATGACCAATCGCCCATACAAATGCATCGCTTAAATATTTTCCGTTCACGTTAAGGTTGTGAATAACATTGCAAGCTTAAACTCCCTATTGTTCTTGAAATGCAGTAATATGTCTTACCTGGATTGTTAAGATATGGATTGGGGACATCATACCCATGGCTTGAGGAAGGCAAGCAGGAATACCTGGCTGTCAAATCATTCACGATTCTTCTCTCGGTGAAGGTATTATTAGAGTCATACAAACGATAGTCAGCTGCCAATGAATCGAGTTCTTCTGTGGACCTGTTGAAAAAATAAAGGGAAACTGACCGAGATGCTACGATTTTTGATTTTTGCACATTATTAGACTCCAGATGTCAATCTGGAGTCTATTGTTTTTGTCAGTATTCTTCTTTATTATTATTCTTTTTCTTATTATTCTTTCCCAGTTTTCTCGTTAACTAGAAGATATTGAGTCTAGTCTTATATATGGGTCATTTAGGTCCTAGATCTAGTTTCTCGGAAATTGGGTCAAATTTTTATGTAGGTCAAAGGTCAAGAACTAGGTCAAATCTTACATTTTCAACATTCTGTCATTTATCTTCGTCGTTGTTTATCGTAACTCCTAAATCTTTTTTTCATCATGTAGCTTAGAAATAGCCAAAGCAAAGATATGACATTAGATTTTTGATTACGCTTACCGATTTTGAAATATGGCGTCCAGAAAGTAGGTCACAATAAAAAGTTCTCCGAATTTATCATACGAGTTATGAATTGAGGGTAGAATTTTCTCAGGAATCCGAATCTGCAAACCAAATTTCGATCCGACTTCCGGTTCGAAAGTTATGGCGTTTTGAAATTTCGAGAAAAATCGATCTGATGATATCCTTATAGAAAGTCAAGAGTAGCGAAGAAAATATAGAAAAAATCATCCATCCTTCCTTCCTATCCTGTCTGATCATATCCTTCCTATCTATCCTTCCTTCCTATTCTATATCCTATCCTATATCCTATCCTATATCTATCCTATATCCTATCCTATATCCTATTGTATATCCTATCCAATCCTATCCTTCTTTCCTATCCTTCCTATCCTATACTATCCTATCGTTTCTTCCTATTCTATCCTATCCTTCCTTCCTATTCTGGAAGGAAGGATAGGATAGGATAGGGAGGAAGGATAGGATAAGAAGGATAGGAAAGAGGGATAGGACTGGACGACTTGGCTTATTCTGGACGACTCGGCTATATCCATCCCACCTATCCTATTCAATCCTATCCTTCTTTCCTATCCTTCCTATCTATCCTGCCTTCCTTCCTTCCTATCCCATCCTTCCTATTCTGTCCTATCTTATTCTTTCTTCGGATTCTATCATATCCTATTCTATCCTTCCTATCCTATCCTATACTATACTATCCTTTCTTCCTATTCTGTCCTATCCTATGAATTCATCCATTCATCCATCAATCCATCCATCCATCCATCGGCTTATTCTGGATGACTCGGCTTATTCTGGATGACTCGGCTTATTCTGGATGACTCAGCCTATTCTGGATGACTTGGCTATTTTTGATGACTCGACTATAATATCCATCCCACCTATCCTATCCAATCCTATCCTTCTTTCCTATCCTATCCTTCCTATCCTATCCTACCCTTCCTATTCTGTCCTATCTTATTCTTTCTTCGGATTCTATCGTATACTATTCTATCCTTCCTATCCTATACTATCCTATCCTTCCTATTCTATCCTATCCTTCCTCCCTATTCTGTCCTATCCTTCCTATCCTATCAATCCATCCATCAATCCATCGGCTTATTATGGATGACTCAGCTTATTCTGGATGACTTGGCTTATTCTGGAATACTCGGCTATATCCATCCCACCTATCCTATCCAATCCTATCCTTCTTTCCTATCCTTCCTATCCTATCCTATCCTATCCTTCCTATTCTGTCCTATCTTATTCTTTCTTCGGATTCTATCGTATCCTATTCTATCCTTCATACCCTATACTATCCTATCCTTTCTTCCTATTCTATCCTATCCTTCCTTCCTATTCTGTCCTATCCTTCCTCCTATCAATCCATCCATTCATCCATCGGTCCAGCCATCCACCTGCTTATTCTGGATGACTCGGCTTATGCTGGATGACTCAGCTTATTCTGGATGACTTGGCTTATTCTGGATGACTCGGCTTATTGTGGATGACTCAGCTTAAAAAGTCTAAATCTGGAGTCTGAAATTGAACTCGTTCAATTTCCAAAGTCTAGTTTATATTTATGGCTTCTAGCATGGCCATTGTTGTGTTAGACCGAAGTTGTGAATTCGAAGCAATTTGGGCCTTTAGCTATGGACTGGATAGAGCTACCAATGGACTTCCATAAAGATCTCAATTAAGCCAAAATCAAAGGGTAACCCTTATGAAAGTTCTGATGATATAACTGATAAATATTTACTCAGACATCTACATGGTTTGAGTCGTTAAAATTAAGAAGTTTGGCCAAGGGCAGAATAAAAGCTAATGTAAAACCGTAGATTATAGATCTTTCCACTGGCTAAGAACAGCAATAGTTTGCCTCTTTAAATGAGCCAAACTATTTCGACTTCCGGTGATCTAGAGGGCAGCACCTGTACCTAGACTGTGATAACAAGACTTTGGCAAAACTGCCCTAATTCACGTCACCATACTAGTCAATGGGCAAAAGGGCAAACGCCTGACTTTTTATCTCGAGTTATGGATTTATGTGGCCTCACTGGCCTATCTGAGGTTCTAAAGCTATGTCTAAGCTACATCTTGACACTAAACTCAATAGGGGCCAATCATCTACTTTTTGAAATAATTGGTCAATTGTGACACTACCCCCTCTCTCTGCAGACACAAATTGAAATTCACAAAAATGAAGGCAAAATTAATACGCCACTTGACTCGAAATTTTCCTTCAGATAACCCAAATAAACGCATTTTCAGAAGAAATGGCATGTTGCCATTGCAAAAAGATTACAACTGTGCCTACATACTAGCTTACTGACTCGTCATGATCACAATTGTGTTGGGACTACATTTATTTTTGAATACTACTTTTTTCTATTCAGCGGAAGTGACGTATTAGGGCATTTTGGCCTAATAGCCACATGGTTGGATGATTTCTGGCTTTAAATTGCGTTTTTCCAATTTACTAGAGTTTTTCAAGTAGTTTTGTGCAGTTTAAGAATATTCTGACAGCAATTATGAAAAATATGGCTACTTCATTACCCCTGGGGTCATTTTTCCAAGAACCCAATGGGTTTCCTTTAAATTTGACTAGTTTTTCATTTACATCATGAAATCCACTGCCTGATGGTGACATTTTTCAGTATCGTGTCAAGAAATTGAGTATTGTATTGCATATTGCGATTTTTAGCCAAAATCACTGAACCGTGAACCAGAAAATTGGACAAATTTGGCCCACTTTTTGGCAAAATCTTACTAAAATCATCACTTTTTCATACTTTATTCCATTCAACAACCTCCTGATTTGAAAATGATGACAAATTTGATCAGTTTTGACTCTGGCCTAGAGAATTGGGACTTTTGAGATATTTTTTAGCTCAAATGTAGTCATTCAGAGTGAACAAATACATCAAAAATTGACACTTAACTCACCAATTTCTGACTGCACCCCCGATATGTACCTTCTTTCTATACTGGAAACCATAAGATGGAAAATTCAATCTTTATGATGAATAGCAACTCGTTGGCTTCCCCATTTACGACAACAAATGACATTTAGGGGTCACTAAGGACAAAATTGTAGCCAAATATCGCCAAAATCAGTGGTTTTTGGGGTAAAAAGCGAAAACTGCTGATTCAGCAAAGACGTTAAATTTGTTCATGAAAATTCCCCTTTTTGCCTCCGTCCAAAATATGTTTCACACTAATAAACTTCAATTCTGGGCGATTCTGAGTAGTTTTAAAAAATTTTGGTCACTTTCACATGTGACTAATAGGCAAAACTGCCCTAATTCACGTCACCATACTAGTCAATGGGCAAAAGGGCAAACGCCTGACTTTTTATCTCGAGTTATGGATTTATGTGGCCTCACTGGCCTATCTGAGGTTCTAAAGCTATGTCTAAGCTACATCTTGACACTAAACTCAATAGGGGCCAATCATCTACTTTTTGAAATAATTGGTCAATTGTGACACTACCCCCTCTCTCTGCAGACACAAATTGAAATTCACAAAAATGAAGGCAAAATTAATACGCCACTTGACTCGAAATTTTCCTTCAGATAACCCAAATAAACGCATTTTCAGAAGAAATGGCATGTTGCCATTGCAAAAAGATTACAACTGTGCCTACATACTAGCTTACTGACTCGTCATGATCACAATTGTGTTGGGACTACATTTATTTTTGAATACTACTTTTTTCTATTCAGCGGAAGTGACGTATTAGGGCATTTTGGCCTTTGTTGAAGAGGAGGGAAAGCTCCAGAGCTTTAGCGATGACTGACATGTTACATCTCTTGCGTGCCACCTTCGTTTGCGCAAATTCTCGAATTCTTGAAATTTTCGAACATAACGCGTCGTTGTGATGTTTTAATCGATTTAAGCATATTCTTTTCTTAGAAAATTTTGAATCCGCGATTTTTGTTTGTCGATTTTGACCAATCAGAGACGTGGGTTATCTCAATACAGGTTTACATCATAAACGTACGTCATCTTTGAACTCTTTGGGGTTAATCCTCCGCTTACTTTTTTTGTGTTGGCGAAGTAGATAGGGGTACATAGATAAAAACGATAACATAAAAACAAACAAACAAATAAAAACAACACAGCTATTTCAAATACCCATTATATTGTCGAGGTCATTGCTTAAATTGTTTCTTGAAGACCTAACGAGTCGTACATGATTCAATTGTTCAATTTATTGCGACACTATTTATAATACTTGAATAAAAACAGGTTCGAGAAATTAAAGTCTAATTTGATAATGGTGATTGTTTGTCTCATACCATATTTACGAAATAACGAAAATAACGCTTTCGAACATATTTTGGAGAGTCAACTTACATCATAAAAGGTGTATAATATTATTTACACAATGGATCATAGTTTGGGATATTTGGGATTTGTTTTCTTCATGACTTGTAGGGCTTTTAAATGCTTCATTTACTTGCTCTGTTTTGTAACGCTTTCATTGTCTCCCTTTGGTCATTGTGCATACATACTTAATTCCTAAAATATATCCTCCGACTCAGTTTCCAAGCAAGATCAAAATGTAACATGAACCAATTAAGCCTACAAAGTACATAAATCTTTAACATTATACATGGTTCTCACCTATTTGGCACTGCTATAACATTAATTTCAACGCCATTTTCTTTCAGTTCATCAACTACAATGTCCACGTGTTCGAGATTTCGTAAATATCCATGTTTGTGGCCATCCGTAATAATAAGTATAACATCGGGTATAACAGTGTCGTTTCTAGAGGAGATGAATATTCAACAAAGAAATAATTTTGAAATTATAGGAGATGAATATAGTTTGTTAAAAAAATTATCTTCACCAACTTTGCGAGGCCTGTTCTCGGGGTATTAGAACTTAAGTCCTCAGTTTTCAATTATGTGGTGATTGTACCAATAACATAATTTCAGCGGGCAATATTAAGCAAATATTTCATTCTATGGAGGGCAATACCTGTTCATCTTTAAATGATTTTTGCAGTATGTATTGAAGGGCGAGGGAAAAACATGCTGCAAAAATCATTGAAAGTGCAACAGGTATTGCCCGAACAAAGAATGAAATATTTGTTTTATTATATCATTGCTAGACATTCTCTATGATCTATTTTAATTAATCAATAAATATGTCATAAACCCATAAATTAACATAATTACGTACAATTATCACATATAGTACACTTTATGTTCGTCCATTGCAGTTGTCAGAATTCCCGGGCGGGCAATACGCCGGGCAATACGTCTTTTATTATCCTTAAATTGAAGAAGCTGTGAAATACGCTATGGTATTTTTGATCACATGGTACTGAATCAGCCAATCAAATGACACAATTTCTAGCAATGATAAAATAAAGTAAATTCTTGCCTTTTGAAATGAGTTTAATGAAATGAGTTTATATCAAACATTTAAAGGTATCCATACGTCGAAAAGTTAACAAAACAAAAAGGAGGTCTGAGATATCCTTTCAATATTTTATCGAAACATTTTTTTACAGTCTTCTATAACGTACAAATATAACCACATAATGGAGAGATTTCGCAATTCACTTATAACGCATAACTTGCGAAGCGTTTGATTACGTCATCATTTATTGCGCAGCTCTATACGGACTCCATAAGGGTGATATTCTTATAGATCGTCGTCTATACGTAAGAATATCACACTTATGAACGTACAGTATAGAGCTGCCCAATAAATTACGACGTTATCAAACGCTTCGTAAGTTAAACATTATACGGGAATAATACAATGCAATAAACATGCTATAAGTGAGTTGCAAAAGTTCTCTATTATGTGGAAATATTACACATTTCGTGAACAGTATGGTGATTATTATCGCTAATTAACATTTTTCTTATTCGGTTTATTATACAGGGTGATCAATAAATAAGGTAAGTAAATCGGTTTATAATAAGCAGCATGTAATATAAAACATTATAAATTAATTTCCATGTGGCTTACAATTAGTATTTAGAGTGTAGTATTGTATACCTTATGACTTTTTTATACAAAATTTGCTTCAAAATCTGCTCTAGATATAAAACCTCCAATGTTTCTTCAAGATATGTGTCAGGTCTAAGTTTACATATTGCGCCTTCATAAGCGTCAATTATCTTCTTGAACCTCCATAATGAAATAGCTAGAATGAGAAATTTAAAAACATATGAGCGGTAACTCAGTGATTGAAACTTTTCAATTTGTAATCCGCTGGGGAAATATTTTTAGGGAGACATTCATGTGCTTTGCTCGTCGCTTTTCGTAGCCTAGAGGTTAAGACTCGAAACGAAACAAAGTGAAGAAATCCCCTGAGACTAAACTCGTATACTTTGTCAATATGTATATGGATATATAATAAGCTTCGTCTTCAGAGTTGTAACTGTAAGGATTCATTTATCCCACATTCTCTAATTAACACTAAAATAAAAATTGTAATGTGTTTGTTTCACTTAAATACAATTGATACTTCGATAATGCCATCTATTGCCAATTAAACAGCTTATTTTTACCTGAGCTTATTTCTTGAGAACCTTTTAATGATTTACGAAGAGTCAGTTCAATATTAGCTTCTGAGTCGTGGATTGACTTGATTTCTTTAACTATGTATTTTGTTATGTTTTTCGCACGATTCAAATCTTCAGCTGACATGAAACAGGACACGTCTAGGATGATCTGCATGTTGAAGCAAGCTGAGAAAAAAGGACAATAAATCATTACGGGAAAACTAACTAGTGATATATTCGGAAATCGGCAAATTAAATGTCTCGGGGAATTAATTTCTTATACAAGAGGCCGTTTCTCGAAAGTTTCTTTATCAACGAATCGTTAATTCAATTGTAAATAACAATTTTTCTTTTCTCAAAAGTTAACGATTTGCGATGACGTCATGGGTTTTATCGATTTATTCGTTATCCATGATTGATTTTACGAGTACAAATGGGGGTCTCGTTATTCCATTAGCGATGCGGTGTCCATAGAAACAATCCACGATTCGTTAATAACGACAAGTTTCGAGAAACGGCCTCCAGTATATGATTGAACAGTGATAAGCATTCTGATTTTTCAGAGCCCCCTGTTATCCAAGGGATCGCAAAGGGTGTGGATGCCACATTGAACGACAAGTGATTCATAGTTTGTGTATCAAGTACTAGTAATGTTTCTGGGAAGTACATGTACATGTTCACTGAATTTTACTGATTTTACTGGTACTTTGCCAAACTGCCATTTTTGAATGGGGAGTTTACGCTTGCATATAAAATTGAAACGCCAACCTATACGTACGACCAATCGCCCATACAAATGCATCATTTAAATATTTGCCGTTCACGTTTAGGTTGTGAAAAACATTGTAAGCTTAAACTCCCTAATATCTGTCCATTTGGGCGTCATGCCCTAGCTTCAGATGATAAGATTGATGCATATTGTCGAGAGATGTACTTTTAGATAGAAACACATCTGTATTTGCATGCACTATATATTTATCAAAATATAATGTCCATTAGCGGGATTTGGTTGCAAGCGGTTCTATATGAATATGAGCCTTTAAAACTTCTATGAACATCTCTGAAAGTACCCTTGAAAGATTTTGAACAAATCGGCTTGGCAAGATAAAAGACATGGAATATTGAAAATAAATTGAGCAATGAGTCGTTAATTAATCTTAATCAACCGTGCCAATGCTGCAAAAAATGATAATTGGTAATAAAGGAGATTTTTATTCTGAGGTATATTATAGAGCAAATATGCTCCTTTTATTCCCATTCAGTTAATATTGTGTAACTTCTCTGATGGTCGATTTTGAAGAAATCATCGCGGCATTTATTTACGAGTATCAAATCACCTTTGCTAATGGTAAAAACACTGATGAATATTATACAAATAGTGACTGCCATTGAGGGCAATAGTGTAAATTATTTTCCCGAGGGAATATCCTCTAAAATGTACTATTCCCGAAGCCGCAGGCTCGAAATCCTCAGTTTTTCTGTTTTTCGTCTGCGCAGTGATTATGTGCAGATCATTCCGAGGGTAATAGAAGTTGCAATCGTGACGTCAGCGGGCAATAGTTCAAATGCATATTCCGCTTCTTTCATTTTAGGGAATATAACTTTCGAAGGGAAATAGTAAATCTATTTCGGCACACGTGACTAGGTATTGACCAATCAGGATTAGTGTTACATATTGGGTATATAATAAAGTAAATTATTTCAAGTTTCTTCTATGGAGCGGTTGTGTTCCTTTTATTCCTGCTCAATTACGGAGATGCGAGTAGTAGCAGTTACCAGTTTCACCACCAGGTGGCTCGGTCGGGTCAGATAACATGGCGGATAAAGCAGAAAGTTCCCTTTAACTTAGATTTCATCTGTTTTAGTGGCTCAATTTTCAAATAACCCTTATGTTTGTAATAGTGATACAAATTAAAATTTGTCCAGTAAAGGAAAAGGTTATCTGTCCAATACAAGGAAAGATATTTCACTTTTTGTGATTTTGTAACATGGGGTATAGGGGGGGATCTCCCCGAACTAGAAGTCACATTTTCCAAAGTTTTCAAAGTTGATAAACGATTTTCAAAACCATATTTCAAAATGTACTTTTAAATGTAGATGCCAAATACGATGACATCACTTTGACTGAATTTTGAATATATAATGACGTAAATCAAGATTATTTCTACTCGCATCTAGTCATTGTGTATGTACCAGTAGTTCTCGACTTACCAGGATCTCGATAGGCGCCTCCATTGTCTTGTATTGGTATGAGCACTGGGTTTATAGCATGTGGATGTGACATAACGCTTGTATACATCGACACCAGTACACATAATCCATATACCATTAACATGGCGTTGATCCTTCTTTGTTTTCAATTATTTTAAATCAATTTCAATTTTCCACTTTTATAATTTTTGTCTTAAATGTTATATAAGTTTATATTTTACTACTTTTATGCAGATGCTTTTATCTTGCATCATTTTAATTTTTAATCCCTTCGTATTGTAATCATATTCTTTTTTTGCAATTCAAAATATGTTGTGTATTTGCTACTGTTTATTTCAATTCATATTTCTTAATTATTACCTTATAAATGATATTTCAACAATATCTGACAAAATTATAAATTATCTTTAAACATAAAATTGACATACTTTGTTAAATTTGACATCAATACATCATTTGGCCATCAATATTACGTTTGATGTGTATTCAATCCTCTGTGTGTTTTTCATACAACAATGAGAGCTGCATGTATTAATACTTACATACATTATATGCGTATAATGACCTAAAATTGATGTATTTATATGTTGTGTGTTGTGGCACATCTGAAACCATGACAACAGAGAACGATTTTGGTGGATCCCAGAGGGGGAGAAACACCAGGGTTCAAAGATGACATACGCTTATAATGTAAATCTGTATTGAGATGACATCGTCGCTGATTGGTCAAAGTCGACAAACAAATGACGTCATCAATGGCGGTTTCAAAATTTTCGAAATACGCTTCGAATAATATTATGTTCATTTCTGGCGTGTTAACCAATATCATAGCTTCTCATTTCACAACAAGATATAGAAAGGTGTAGGGAATATGCCTATGTCAATTAAAACATCCCATCGAAGTGTAGTATTTGATAACTAGCCGATGAAAATTCGAACGAACAAAGGTGGTAAGCAAGAGAGGTAATTATGTCTGTCATCTTTAAACTCTGGGACTTTCCCTCCTCTTGGTGGATCCAAGAGGAGGGAAAACCCCATGATTCAATTGATGACATACGATTTCCTCCTTCGCGCATCTCCTTTCCCGAAAGTTCTTACCCTCCATCTTTGTTTTCAAAGTTTTCAAATTGACCTAGTTTTAAACCAATCAACGATCGACTCGCTAAACCAATCAGCGACGGTGTCATCTCAATACAGATTTACATTATAAGCGTATGTCATCTTTGAACCCTGGGGTTTCTCCTCCTCTTGGTGGATCCGTTATTATTTGTCAGGTGATGCAAATAGAAAACAACGAACTTAGCAACAATCAAACATGAAAAGAAAGTTCATAAATTATGCCGTGATTACTACATACGCAAGAGGCAAAGAAAAGAATAGATAACTTTCGCCATCATTGAAAATACAAATATACTGCTGCCACGCGTGACTGCATTACACACTGTGATTTAACAATTTAAACATGGTATTTTTCAAGTAAATGTTTTTTTAAGTGGAGCTATTGAAATGGTAGAATACATTGTTCAAAATCAAAATATTTCGATTAAATGTTCGAATGATATTATCCAATTTTTTGTTTTCGTTTTCAACTTTATTGTGAATGAGAGGAGCTACTGTATTGTACATTATACCTTACACTTTTTCATTGTAACTAAATTCAATACTCAAAAACACTTTAAAAATTATCTGTACATGTACCAAGTTCAGTGAGTTCATGTAAGTAAATCATTGTATTTTGTATAAAATGTTATCAAAGGATAGGTATCGATATGGTGAACTGAATTCAACAATGTTTTTCTCTTGAACCAATTATTGAAAACATTCTGTAAAAAGCACGGTCCTTTATGTAATGTTGACTGATTGGCAACAATTTTGTTCCTTTCTACCAATTCTTGAGAATAAAATAAAATAACTTTCCGAACCTTGTTGGACCAAAATAGCATATACAACATTTTCCTAGACCTCTCAATATTACAATAATTATTATACAAAGGAAATGTTGGTTGATTTTACAAAAAGTATACAAAAACTTAAAACAAAACCCCCCAAAATAGATAAAAATGAAGATAAACATTGTATTTCATTAACAAGATACTTTTTTAAAATCAACCAAACTTTTCTTTGTACAATTACAATATTGAGAGACCTAAACACATTTTGTTTATGTCGTTTTGTTCCAATGAGGTTCGGAAAGATGTTTCTTTTCACTCCGAACATATGATATTAAGAAAAAAAGAAGTGTCTGATGTGTTTTCTAAAACAATATAGAGAAACGGATATATATATATATATGTTTCAAATTATAATGTTACCATCCAAAAGATGACCATTAAATTCACCATGGGTAAAAGTTTCTGGTTTAAGAGAAACGCGTGTTCAAAAAGTTCACCATATCGATACCACTCCTTTAAAGCTAAAACCATAATTTCAAGTAGATTTTGATGATTAAGACAATTATGAAAACTTCAAAGAAGTCCAACTATTCAAAAGATTGAATCTCGAACAAGTCAGTTATCCAATACAGGTGAGAGTCACCATTAATTTGTGTTGATAGAGTCGCGTTCATCTCGAGAACTCTCGTCTCATCCGAGACGAGATTAAACGAGTCTTCATTTTGAGTAAGTTCATCATCTATGACTAGGTTGCAACCTTTTGTAGAGTAACTCTGTCATCGTTTTGGACAGGATCCTGTTGTGATTGCAATGTTGGAAGCTTCCCCAGTAACTGTTGTTATCTGAAGGCAACGTAGCATGACGTCACCTAACTTCCTGACAACACAATCTCCTGAAAATAACGTTAAGATAGCAGAAAAAGTAGTGTGTAGCACAATAAACAATTTATTAATAAAAGGTGAGAATCGTGAACTGACGGGTAAACAACCCTTTAGTCTTATTTCAAAGAAAATGTTTTGTAATGATAGTTGTTTGATATCTTTGCAATTTATGACTTTTTCTATTAATAATGACTGACGTCCGATTCCTAGATCTTATGCAAGAAATATTGGTCCCCTTGCAGTTATAGCTTACTCTGTTATTTAATATTTAACAGTAAAACCTGTGTCAGTGGAACACCGTTAGCACCTCTAAAGGGTGTTCCACTAACAGAGGTTCATTACAATAAGTCACAGAATAGATTGCAGGACTTTGAAAAAAGTTCCACTTCCTGTACCTCCTACAAAGGTGTTTCACTTTACAGGTTTTACTATATTAGCATTTGTTCTATTAATTTCGATCCAGCAATCAGTTTGACTTATGGATCGACTCTGGAAACGCATATACCCTATTCCCGATCGCGATGGGACCATGCTCACCCTTTTCTTTAGCTCTTACCCGGTTTATGTAGATATGGATTGTGCTCATCGCCGTTTGTCGTTGACAAACATGAATACCTCGACGTCAAATCATTTACGATATTCCTCTCGGTTTCTGCATTGTTAGAGTCATATAAACGGTATGAAGACGCTATTGAATCTAGTTCTTCTGTAGTCCTGTTACAAAATAAATACAATAGAATAAAATAAAATAAAATAGGCTTTTCTAGGAGGACCAAGAAGGAATTGATCTCTTTATGCGTCGCTCTTTGATACCTCGAAGATGAATGATACATTCGTTTTGAAAGTATCCATGGTTGTTGGATGACGAATGAGTGACTCGTCTTATCAAGAAAGTATTTATATTTACGTAGCGAGTGAACCCAGGCCCGTAGCCATGGGCCAAAAGTTCTTTCAAAATCATGCAGTTTTTCACCGTTCTGAGCACTTTTCAAGTGATTTTGGCTATATTTGGACCAAAGTCGCGGATCGTCTAATGTAAACCCACTTGGGATTTTTAAAAAGTGAGTACCAATTCTATGGTATCACTGGTACTCGCTTAGTTATGCTGACGATATGGAAGAACTTCAGGGCTTCGGTTTCGGTAAGATAAGATATTTTTATTTCTCGATTCTACACCACTTATAAGTCAAGTTGTGGACAATTATTATGCTCAAAGTTAAGAAAGATAGTCTAGTTTGAGAATATGCGGTTCTATGTTTGGTATATTAACGAAGACGCAATTCATGTCACATATTTAGTCCCTCGCTTTTGTTACGTTGACTTTCTTCATGAATATTGTCACATTGGCAATATCCGAGGGATATAGCGAGGGATTTAAACATGTGAATTGCGTCTTCGTTAATATACCAAACATAGAACCGCCTGCATATTCTCAAACTAGACTATCTTTCTTAACTTTGAGTCAAATTATTGTCCACAACTTGACTTATAAGTGGTGTAGAATCGAGAAATAAAAATATCTTACCGAAAACGAAGCCCGGAAGTTCTTCTATCTTGTTACGCTGATCGAAGTATCGTCAGCATAACTAAGTGAGTACCAGTGATACCATAGAATTGGTACTTTCCAAGTGTCAAAAGTATAGAACTTCTTAATTAACGGGCTATTCACTAGTTCTGTCCGTTCTTTACAGAAAATGCATGTACACCTACTTGTATATTGTGTAGCATACTATATTGATATGGTATAAGTTGCAGATTTCTACGATTTGAAATTTGAAGATTTAATGTTGAACCACTTTAAAATCAGGCATTCCAAACTTAAAAAAGAAGTAAATAAAATGGATGGTTTGTGTAAAGGAATACGAATTTATCAGAATATTAATAATGCGTCTCACCTACTTGGCACTGATATAACATTGATTTCCACGCCAATTTGCCGTAGTTCTCCGGCGATTCTGCTGGCTTCATCAAGTTGTCTCAAATACCCACTTTTGTGGCCATCCGTAAAGATCAGTAACACATCAGGATTGTCATTTGTGTCATTTCTAGAATATTGACGTCAGACTTCAGGCATATATTACGATTTGAACATGAAAACTCACCAAAATGTTTCGAATATTCATTATTGTCCGCCATTACTCAGACTACGGCCCACCGTTATGACGTCACACATTACACGTATCACCAGGGGCATTATTCGCGAATATACCCCGGTTGAAATGTTGACTTTGTTTACAGTTTATAGAAGGCGTGAATACAGTCATGTTCGAATCAATGATATGGACATAATGGCTATGGGGATTAATATATATATTATGTATATCAAGTAGTTAAAAATATTGATTTTTATTTGCCGCTCTGGTTTTAAGCTGCATAAAAGAATCACATGCCATAAATCAAACAACAAATTAGTGGATCCTTGGATCAAATCATTAATGCTTGCTATTAAATATATTGTTGTAATCCCGTATACCTCAATATTGTTTTTTGAATATCTCCAAGCGTCTCTTCCAGATATCTATCTTTTACTTGAGACCCCTCTGGTTTTATTGTACATTTTGTCCCAGTGTACGCGTCAATGGCGTTCTCGAGTCTTTTCGAACTCGCTAAAAGCACGAAATTAAAAAGGACGAGAGTTTTACATACATCCAAATGGATATAATTGATATATCAAGAAATTGGGTGACTTTCAGCCAGGATTGTCTATACTTTCAATAATATTCTGGCCCTACCAACATACGTGCTGCCATCTTTTTATCCATCTCTATATATATACAGAAAATGGCTAATTGATGAAAGTATGTGCATTTTTACTTTTAGCTCACATGGAGCTATTGTCATCGCCCACTTGTTAATCTTTTCGCCATCTATTAACAATCTCCTTTAATATTAAACATAATTAAATCATTATCTTACCTGTACTGACAACAGCGGAGGATTTCAATTTATGAAGAATCAATCCAATATTTGCGCTGGAGTTATTAACAGATTCAATTTCTTTAATAATGTACTTTGTAACGTTTTTTGCCCGCTCAAAGTCTTCTAATGAAAGAAAACAGGATATGTCGAGGATGATCTGCATGTTAAGACAGGCTGAAAGAGCAGAATGACAATAGATCGAATCATAATTATTTATTAATTATTTATCAGAGCAAGATCCGGGGTGAAAAGGTTGCTTCAATTCACCAACCAACATGAAACGTCTTTGAACTATAATAAAACTCGGAGATGGAATTTATTAAATTTGATAATATGATATAATTTGCGACAATGTTACAGTTTTAGCAGACCTCTCAAACAGTACCTAACTACCCTGCGTGCAGAGTCTAGTTAAAGACGAAGCTCTCTTTTAAGAAGTGAAGTTAAACGAATGCAATGGGTATACCTTAACATCACTGATTCACGCATTAAATACTTTATTTATGCTTTATTTATGGCGTGGTCACATTTGCTCCGATTTTCAGCACCAGCGCCCGGCGATGAGTATTTTGTTTAAAATTGAATACAATTTTTCACATTTGGAACACCTACCAGGGTCACCATATGCACCACCATTGTCGTAGAGGAGAGTGGGTGATGGCGGAATCTTTGGCGGCAGATCATGCATGTGATCCCCATCTACTGCCACGGCCCCTAGATAAATTGAGATGAGAACATATGCGTGAAAAATATGGCGTGAGCGTGAGAGATCACGCCCTATTAATGGTTCACGAAGCTGGTTTAATGTTTTCAAGGGGGGTGCTACAGATTATTTTTTTTCACGTTAGATCAGGGATTTGGGATATATAGGGTTTATTTTCTTATGACAGGTTTACACTTAAAGTTTGCTTTTCTTCCTAGGTTTCTTAACAATTTTTTGTCTTCCCTTTGGTATCTGTGGTGAGATATTGAGCAACAGAAAATGCGATGAGTACCAGGATGAAAGAACGTTGACTCTAAGTATGTGGGATTGTGGGATATGTAAACTCATTTTGTAATAAGTTTGAAATACTGCAAAGGAATCGATTATATTTTGTCATTCATCATCTTTAAATGCTTTTACAGGCTGTATGGCATGGACTTCTTGTTGTTTACAGTTCATCTTAACTTAATAAATATCAAAACAATACTCTGAATGACGTATTTACTTCAAATCCACAAACAATTAGCTATAGTACATAGAATAACGAACATTATCCTATTCCAAGTAGTTTTAGGGAGATAAGTTAGTAAGATATATCCCGTATCCTGATTTTGAGGTTTCCATATCCTGAACCTCCATATCTCCCGCCATATCTCCCGCTCCAGGGCATATCTTCTCGCTTCGAAAAAAAAATGTGAAAAAATAAGAAAAAAATTGAAAAAAAGAAAAAATGGGAAAAAATTGAAAAAAATAAAAAATTGAAAAAATGAAAAAATTGAAAGAAAATTAGAAAACTCTACTTGGTATAGGATAAAGCAGTTATGTACGGTCGGTTTGGATATTGGGTTCATCCCTCGTGAGATATGCACATCTATCTTCGGTCCCTACGGTCCCTCAGGTAGATATGCATATCTCCCTCTGGATAAACCCCATATCCAAAACGGCCTCCTCGTACATAACCCTTATGTACTATACACCCTTATGTAGGTCCAGCATACGGTGTATATCAGGCCCGCACCCAGAGCGAGAGTTGGAGAGTGAAGGCATCTCCCCCCGACCAGAAATTCTTTCAAATCAGTTTTTCACAATTCAAAGCACTCAAAGCACTGCATAATTTTTTAGCCAAATCTGTCAAAAAGCTCTCCCTCCTGGAAAAAGCTCTCCCCAGCTTGGTGAAAGCTGTCAACGGGCAAGTTTAGAGAATAAGATATTGTCTAGTTCTGTAAATAGAAGCATCTTAAATTATCGACCTGTGGTCGCGGCGAGTCAAGTACAAACATTTTAATTCAGCTAATGACTGCACTAACGTCCAAAACAAATGTAATTGACAGGTAACAATCCACTTGTAACTGGTAAGACATCCCAAATGAAGGACTCTCGGATGTTTGATTTTAGTGTGTATTCTCCTGAAGGCCAAATGAGAATTTTAACACCAAATAATAAGCTTTCACTGATAGAATGTTTTACCAGAATCTGAATGTACTATTGATCATTTTAATATATTCGTTTCTCGCAGTTTCGAATACGTTAGGACTCGCAGTTTCAAGGCCTATCGCCTGCAGTCATGTATCAGAAAAAGTCCCCAACTAGCTTTAAAACCAGCCAAATACAAGTAAGAATCGCACTAGTTCGATTTAAATAGGCTTACTTAGGTAGAAACACAACATAATGAACTGTAGTTTATCTTAAAGAATGTACAGTTGTAACGAAGAAGAGTGCATTCGTTTTCTATTGTTTTTAAAGAATTGACACTTACTTGCACAGCGAAAAATGGCTTGGTATCCAATAGTTTTTATAGATATCCCAAATCCCGAATATTTGTCGTATTCTGGAACATCCTTAAATATACCGATACTTCAAATATCCAGAAATATATTTAAAAGGATATTTCTGGATACTCCAAGTTTCCAAATTTCAACATAGCCGAATTAAGGATATTCCAGGATACTTGACTTCCATAGTATTCAGAAATATTTTTGAGTATCCGGAATAATTAATATAATTAACGTTCAATTTACAACTTAAGTGTATTTAAAACGTTTGTTTGGCGTTTCACCAAATATAGAATGTGAAATATATTGTATCTTCTGCTGAAACAGCATTCTCTTCGTGATACCTAAACCACTCGAAACGATGGCTGCCATAGAAAAACTTGTGTTAGTTTGGGAAATTCAATGGACGATTACATCAACAATAAGCCGCTCTACGATGAAAACTTTTCTTCTAAGCACGGAAGATGTATTAAAGTTAAAAACGACTCGAGTAGAAATACCATTTCCTTCATGTCGACTGATTTATTTGAATAATACTGTGAATCTGTCGGATTTTAGCGTGTGCATTTCGTAGTTTTCTCATTTTATCTGGCTTCGGTCGAACTTTCAAGATATAAACGTGAATTCGTCTTGTAGAGGATTTTATGCACTTTACTAACAAGCTTTTGTTGACTACATTTTGATATTCGAAGACACTGAAAAATGGCTTCGAAATAAGGTAACAAACACAAATATTAGACGCCATTGTATACTTCCTGGCTGAGTCGATTAAACCGGAAGTTTGTTCTCTGACGTCGGCGCGATATCAATAAATTGAGAAGAAATAACTACACAGCTCAGAACGTTATTTTGGACTCCTAGGATAAACTTCGGAGCATTTTCAAAGTTGAAATATATAGTATTAGTATGCAATGACCGCTTAAAGCGAAAAGGTCGTCAATACTGTACATTATTAAATCTCTTTGTGTTTAGTTTGTGCTAAGAGAGCTTTTCACATATTAATGCTCGAAATATATCAACGTATTCTCAGCTTGAAATTACATAGGTATTTGGACATGTTATATATGCAAATAGGTCTCCGAGCTTTAGAGTCAATGTGAACGAAAATATCCTTGCTGTATGTATAGAATCCCGACCGTATTTACCAATATTCCAAAAGTACCCCTAAATATCCCGAAAATATAATTGAATATTCAGCCGTATTTCTGAGTATCCGAATGATATAACAGTTGAATCCCGAAGTATCCGTGAATAAACGAGACATATATCAGTAGTTTCCAGAACTACGGATATTTCTGGATATTAGTGTTCCGTCTCTCAATGATATCCATGCATCTCCGAAATCGTGATACCTAGAGTATTTATCACGGATTCTTAAAGGCTGAGAGCGGGTATAAAAGGCAGATGGAACAGCCCACAACAGCCAAATATGGCAGTTTAAATGTCCAGTTCAAACAAAATGAGAAAATTTTCAAACTTTCTACTATAACCACATTGTTACCATGAGTTCCAAGCTCTTTTTTGTTACAGAGGTTTGTGAAACTATCATGACTATAAATCTCAAATCAAATTCTAAAGTGTTTTTTTAGTTTTTGTGAAATAAGACAATTTCCTTTTTGTAAATATGCTCATTAGTATAACTGAAAATTTAAATTTCAACCAATGGTCATCTCTTATCTGTTTAGAAGTGAACAAACATAGCATAAGCCTGTAGCTCTCTTGTAGCAGACCATGTGTTTCTGTATATGCTGGACATTTAAACTGGCCACATTAGCACTGATTGGCTGAACAGTGACAGCTTGATTAATAGCTTCACCCGGGTCCAAATCTCTGGGCCTTTAAGGATGTGTTCCATATTCATATAATATCCCAAAAGTATCCAGGCAGGATACTTTATCATTTTTCGCTGTGTTGGCAAGCTTTCCAAAACCAGTGTGGCACAAAAGACGATTGACTGTCTTATGCAGAGCACTAAAGATGAACAATAACACCCTATTCACTTATTCGATAGTTAAATAGTTAACACAAAAGAAATCAAATGTTAAACTAATTATAGCCCACTCACTCACTCACTCACTCATATGTATCAACTCAGATTTTGTTGAACAGTCGATACAAAAGAAATCAAATGTTCAAGATTAGATCATGGACCATTTACCTTTCATAAGAGTGTGGGGTTTAAGTTAGATAAACGATAAGCCTTGGTCTTACGAGAAAAGAATAGCCGCTGGCCCATCGGCACTTGGATATTATTTCACATACTACCCAAGACTCATTGTTTATCCTTTCCAGAAAAAATGACGTTACTGACCTCCTTTAATAGCTCCTAGTATCCTATAGCCCCCTATTGTGCTTACATCATGAGATCGAGCACAAGAGACCAACCATAGTTGAATGCATCCATATCTAAAAGCGTATTTCATAAAAATATCAATATATCAAATCAAAATAGCCTCGAGTGATGAATTGTATTTTAATATTTAATAAAGTATATTATGATATCTAACAGTCACTATGACATTGGCTTCAAAGGATTGCTCGAAATATGTCTTTATTTTTACCATTTTGCTTTTATAGTGGTTTCAAATATTATTTTAAATTTCTATGATTTATAACAAACCTATTGATGTGAAACATATTTCAAACAAATATTTTTTAAATATAATATATAGATTAATTAAAGGCCAAGGCCAAGTGAATAAACAGATTAGAACAATAACAGCAAATTGCAACACAATAAATAAATAAGTATACGTACTCAACTTCTATTCGCGAATGTAAATAATGGCTGAAGGCTAGCGGTTTGATTGCCCTTCGATAGCAAACTCATTTAAATGTGAATTTATGGAAATTAATAGGTTAATCCGGTAGTCGGCAGTCGAAAGTCGCATTCGCGAATGCAAGCTCAATCCAAGAATGACAAACAAAATCTAATAGATAACCTTTATTCTGGCAAAGATATCAGCTGAAAATAGAATTTTAATTTTTAATAAGTTTAGCAAAACATTAAATAAGAGAATACTTACACTGTGGTTAGGTGTATTAAACATAAGCTAAATTCCATGTCATATGTAGTAGAATAATAGTAGATAGTGATATCATCAGATAGTGCATGCTTACAGTACGTGTGCCATTGGTCTTTCTCAGAGGCTAATGTTTTCATCGGGTCAATATAGAAGTTAGAAAAAACACAAACAATGTAATTATAATTTAGGTATTGCATTAACTCTTTATTCCTTTTTACATAGCAACGAGATGCGGTTGCTTGCGAGTAGACTGAAGCGAAACAAATATTGCAAGAAATATTTTACATCGTATTACCTAGTATATTAAGATATTAGTCGATGATACCACACGTAAATAGAAACGTCGCCAGGTGTATGGCACAACCTCCGAACGTAGGGATCCGGAGATCGTCCACTCTACCCCTTCCTTCTTTCCAGTTTAAATCAGCTTATTAGACTACATCGTAAGTGGAAAAAGGAATAGAATGAATGATGTCTTGAGCACTGCGTTCGGGAGTACTACGACAGCGACGTTATGGGGCGATTCACAAGTTATTTAGACACGCTGTGTGTTGTTTTAACGTTATGGGGTGCACCGTGTCTGTCAATGCGTATATGATGACTGTGTGGGGATGTTTTTTACAACCTCGCGAATGACACACTGGAAAAGGGGCAACAAGGACTGTAGAGAGAAAATTTGAAAATTTTTACTTTTTCTGAGCTATCGGGTCAATATTTGGCTCAACATTTCTTTGACGTACCTATTTTCTTAAAATGTATGGATAAACTATCAATTTCAGCAAACTGTAAATTCAGTTCAAAGCTTCTATAAAGGGAGTCCCACTTATAGATTTTTAAGATCCACCACGTTTCAAGAGGAATATCAGCTGAAATAATGTTCATCCAGGGGGTTTCTTTGGAGATAATAAAAATATATGATAGTCTTGATGAAATATCCAAACTTAAATATATTTTGACACTGGTCCATGAACGTTGAATGGCCCCTCTGCAATAATTGTTGCACCTTCAACGGTGGGGAAGGGCTTTGCTTCGTTTGTAAATTAGATCATTGCTTTGGATATTGGGACTTATTTTATAATGACCATTTACTTTCAGTATCCTTTCCAAGTCTTTAATAACCTCTTTGGGCTAACTTTATTCAACCAATATTGCACTGGCTAGTTACAGTCGTGTCGAGTCGTGACTAACAACCTTTTTACTCTAGTGAATATTTGATTCCGTTTTCCCTGTCCATATTTTATTTGTTATCAAAAACCATATGTACAATAAAATCACAAATATTCTCCACAAATCATTGGTGTCTCGATCTAACATTCAGTTTCTATATTCAGACCATAACTGTACTATTAACTTATTATTGGGCACCGCTTGAAATACAAATCAATGTATTCAGTAACATATTTCACAACATTTGCATCATTGTGATCAAAAGCTAAAAGTTGATTGGTATATATATTCTCACTAGCAGTCACATATATTTGTTCGTCTATGCCACGTTTACGAATTTGTTCCTTTCTCTTAGATGTTAAGATAATCCAAATTATGGCGCCGCCATCTTGTTTAAGTCGTTTCGCAGCAGCGATCGCCCATCCGTTTTCCCTCCAGGGAGATTCTAAGCCATCGCCAAAAATAATGAGAATTTTACCTCGTTGGTTCGGAGCATTTTCAAAGTAGTTCTTATTTGCAAAATTGATGGCTCTATTTGTGCGTGTTTTCCGTGTACAAATGTCTGGTCGTTTCAGCTCCGATATTTTGTTGCCAGCTTCATAAGCGTCTGTTGGAGGGAAGCTGTCAACAGTGTTATTGTCGTATGAGAACCCGCAGTATTTGGAGCTGTTCCCAAGGGCACGTGTTATTTCATTTGCAATGTTCATTGCAGATGTGGCATTACCATAATCTATGGAGCAACTTACATCAAACGCATATACGACCTCTGCACAAGCTGAAAATAGTGAACGAACTAGTTATCAGTTTTATTTGAATCAAAAATATAAAAGTAGCTGCACCCCATCAAAAATATGGGAATGATAGGGGGTATAATAAGTGTTGCTATCTCACTGACGTTTTTCTCATTCGTTGAACACCATTCCTTAATATAAAACATCTGGTGGTTTTTCCCATCATGCTCTGCTACCCCGCCCAGGTATGTTACATGACATTATTGTACCTCGTCCCGAAGAGCGAATATTTACTACAGCCGTTTTCGATACCCCTTCTCCCGTACGAGGCCTCTTAACATGATATATCTGAGATTGAGATTAAATCGTATGCTATGAATACTAAAACAAAAAGCAATTCCTTCTAGTATTGGAGAAAACTTGTTTGACATGTTCAAATATTTCCCTTGCCCACCTTTTCTCATTTTTTCAAAAATCTCTTAAATCACTTTTAAAGTTATGAAACATAGTAAATTAATGTTTTGTTAATATAATTGTTGTAATAATACCCTTCTTTATTGATCCACCACAGAAGTATCTGGAAGATAGGTCATCAGTAAGATCGCCAATATGATCGATGTTGTCAACTTCATAGACCAGCTCCGGACTTGATGGTAAGTCATCCAACAAACTGATATGTGTATTATCTTCCTTTCTACAAAATCAGTCCTACGTTTAGTCTTATACATTACAGCGGTATCCTGTGACTTACAGTATCTAAGACTAATTCAAGATCAATTCATTTCGAATGTTACCAAACTAAAATCTCCCTGCAGGTGATTTTCAAGCTTCACTCACTTACGTCCATAGATATTAAATGTCCACCATGGTGTCATACAAATTAAGATTCACTTACTCTTCTGTTATGGTGACAATATTAATCTCAACTCCTGTTGCTTTTGCACGTGACGCCGCCGTCTTGATAGTATTGGCGGCATCTGTCTTTACAGTATTCCCCGTAAATAGAACTGCCACGTTTCTCTTATCTTTCCTTTTAATAGAAATCATTGGTGCTTTGAATTAATTAGTAGATGATAAGTTATTACCAATGTAAAACGTCTGTTCCACAAAGATGCATGTCACAAAAGTAAATCGTAAAAACTTTAAAAAGAATGTCTAGTAACAGATGAAGAGTACGTGTAAATCAGCATACAGTTTTTAAATGATTAAAACTATCAAAAACTGACAATCGTCTTTTGTGCCACAGTGGTGATTGATAGCTTGTCAAGTGTCCATTCTTTAAAAACAATAGAAAAGGAATGTACTCCTCTTTTGTAACAACTATAATTCTTTGAAATAAGTTTCAGTTCATTTTGTTGTGTTGCTACCTAAGTGGGGTTAAGGGAGATTTGGGTAGTCTTTAAAATGATTTTTAAACGGTTTGAATCCCGTAGTGTAGTATTATTTTGCATACCTAGCTCCGTTGTCAGATGTGAAGTATGACGTAGTTAAATCATACAACGCCTTTTCAGTGTTTGCATCATTACAACCAATGTCCAAGTCCATGTTTACAATGGCGTCAACAATAGCACTTCTGGTGGTAATACTACCTGAGATACAGATAAGAAGAATATATCATGAACATTGGAAACGAACAAAATAGATTGTTAATGTTCTCTTTGCTGAAGTAACCCATGTTCAAGTTTGACATGTCTCGGTTGCCAATGAGTACAGTGTACGTACGTAAAATAAACTAAAAAGAACCCTTACTTTTGATAATATTACACCGTTGGTATTATTAGAAACTGCGTTTTCAAGAATTCCTTAGTCTATTATTATGACATTGTATTCATGGTTATACCAATTTATTTGGGTCAATTCTTCAGTTTATGAAATTTCAATAACAAAAAAATAATTGTTACGTTTTACAAACCTAAATTGAAGAGTAATTCATTCTGGATACCATAGAGCGCAACTCCCACTTGGATGTCGGATCCTGGTATACTCATCAAACGCTCAACAAGTTCGGCAGCAAACAATCGTACTTTTTGTAAATCATCCTCATCGGCAGAACACGTAACATCGACCACAATCATCAAATCCATACATGCTACGAAAGACGCCATTTTGTGAATGTACAATATATTAAAAGAGGTCACTGATATCTGCAATCAGTAAAGCCTCACTAATCAACTCGGTAACTCATTGAAACAGTAATACATATAATTATGTAAAAAGTAAAGCTATTTTCATTTTCTAAAACTATAAGTGGCAATTATCTAACAATCAAACTTTTTTCTACCTCCAGTATATTTCGTTAGAGAATGACATCATACCTGGATCCCCTGGGTTTCCAAAGTTATCAAACAGAGTTGGTGGGACTACATCCTCAGGTGGTGACGTTATTGGGCACTGTTTGAAATACAGTTCAATGTATTCAGTAACGTATTCTACAACGTTGGCTTCATTGTGGTCAAATGCTAAACGCTGATTAGTATATATATTCTCACTCGCAGTCACATATATTTGTTCGTCTATGCCCCGTTTAGCAATTTGTTCCTTTCTCTTAGATGTTAAGATAATCCAGATTATGGCGCCACCATTTTGTTTAAGTCGGTCCGCAGCAGCTATCGCCAACTCGTTTTCTCTCCATGGAGATTCCAAGCCATCACCGAAAATAATAAGAATTGTGCCTCGATGGTTTACTTCGTTCTCAGTGTTCTTCTTATTTGCAAAACTGATTGCTCTATTTGTGCGTGTTTTTTGTGTACATATCTCTGGTCTTTTCAGTTCTGATATTTTGTTAGCAGCTTCATAAGCGTCTGTTGGAGGGAAGCTGTCAACAGTGTTATTGTCGTATGTGAATCCCCAGTACTTGGAGCTGTTCCCGAGGCTTAGTGTAATTTCCTTTGCAATGTTCATTGCAGATGATATATTTCCATCATCTATGGAGCAACTGACGTCAAACGCAAATACGATCTCTGCACAATCTGAAAATTTTTAGCTGTACTTGTTATTACTTAATATATGTGAATCGACAATGTAAGAGAAAATTCTGCACCTCACCAAACAAAATATCCACAGGGTGGACGAGATGAGTAGCTCTCATAATTATCAGCTATTACTTGGTATCAGAAGCGTCCCCTTAGCTTTCCCTAAATTGTCTTATTAGCATTATACGGATCACTTGACATTCAAAATGGCGGACAACGGTGAGTTGGATTTCTATTCCTATGGTCCTATAAGTTTTATATGGATCTATCGCATGGATACTACGTGACCCAATACCAACTCTGAACTTTGGAAATCCGATCCCATGTACACACGTTGTTTTTAAGCATTTTGATTTATTATCGTCCGTCATGCTTCTCATTCTGTGGTTGGTTGGTTGTCAAAATATCAAACATAATATGAAATAGAAGAATTATAAATCCATCAAGAGTATTGAAAATATATGTCAGAAATAGCATATATCATATGTTGACAAAAAAGTCGAATTATGAATTGATCAAAAGTATTGAAATATATGTTAGAAATCATTTATCATATATTGCACTGATATGTCAAAATGACATATTATGAAAAAGAAGAATTATAAATTAATCAAGAGTATTGAAAACATATGTCAGAAATATCATTTACAGAATCATATGTTGCACCGAGTCATTATGTCAGAATGACATTATATGAAAATGAGGTATTATGAATCCATCAAGAGTATTAAAAACATATTTCAGAAATATCGTTTACAGAATCATATGTTGCACTGAGTCATTTTGTCAGAGTAACTTAATATGAAAATGAGGAATTATAAATTAATCAAGAGTATTGAGAATATATGTCAGAAGTATCATTTACAGAATCATATATTGCACGGAGTCATTATGTCGGAATGACATAATATGAAAATGAGGAATTAAAAATTAATCAAGAGTATTGAAAACATATGTCAGAAATAGCATTTACAGAATCATATGTTGCACCGAGTCACTATGTCAAAATGACATTATATGAAAAAGAAGAATTATAAATCCATCAAGAGTATTGAAAATATATGTCAGAAATAGCATATATCATATGTTGACGAAAAAGTAGAATTATGAATTGATCAAAAGTATTGAAATATATGTTAGAAATCATTTATCATATATTGCACTGAGTCATCATGTCAAAATGACATATTATGAAAAAGAAGAATTATAAATTAATCAAGATTATTTAAAACATTTGTCAGAAATAGCATTTGTCATATGTTGAATCATGTCAAATTGACATAATATTGAAACAGAAAAATTAATAGTTTTCTCAATCAATTATTAATAAATTTATTTTTTTAAATTAATTCAATTGGTGAAATAAATGATTGAATTTTATATTTCTCTAATGTTTCATGTTCAGTTGTGTTTTCTACATCTAACCCAAAGTGTACTAATTGCTGAAAATCTGTGATATACTTTTCAAATATTATTTCAGAAGTTGAAACTAATAATGTATAGTCATGTTATATTCAAGTCTCTGTATGAGTTGTCTTGGGATGATCAGGAGTTATCTTGGGTAGAAATGCCTTTGGAATAAGTTGTTCTGAGATGAGATATCATGGGATGAGTTGTCTTGGAAAGAAATGTCTTTAGAATAAGTTGTCCTTAAATGAGATATCATGGGACGAGTTGTCTTGGAAAGAGATAGATGTCTTTGGGATGAGTTATCTTGGGATGAGATGTCTTTGAGATAAGGTATCTTGGAATGAGATATCATGGGATGAATTGTCTTAAGAAGAGATAGATGTCTTTGGGATGAGTTATCTTGGGATTAGATGTCTTGGGATAAGTTGTCTTGGGATGAGATGTCATGTTACCATTCGTTATATACATAAGAAATCGTTGTACATGTATACATATCTTATATAATGAGTACCCTGGACGTCAGAACGTTGAAACATGTTTATAATATAATTGTTGCATAATACCCTTCTCCACTGATTCACCGCAGAAGTATCTGGATGAAAGGTCATCGGTAAGATCGCCAATATGCTCGATGTTATCGACTTCATAGACCATCTCAGGACTTGATGGTAAATCATCCAGCAAACTGATACGTGTATCATCTTCTGTTCTACAAAATCACTGCTAGATTTATAAAATATGTTTGTAAGGTTTAGCATTACATCTAAAAGGGTGTTTCAATTTATTACTCCCCAACAGTACCTCAGACTATTTAAAGCGTCCTCTTCAATACTATATTTTACATAAAATTTCTAAGGTCTATGGACCAATGTTAGGTTCATTTCAAGATCGCGTCCATGAGCTATATCGTAAATTAACTAAGGGAACAAAATAAATGACCTAAACTGTGGTTTAGATCATTATGATCATGACACGGGGATATTTATTTATTTAGCCTCCAATACTGAAGAATAGTTTGACAATTAAAACAATCTTACACTATACCGTATGCTAATTGAACAATTACAATATCATGAATTTTACATGACTACATGAGCAAAATATAGACCCAAAATAACAATGATAACAATGGATACATTGATAATTCAGCCAAGAAATCTTCTTTGGTACATAATTGAGACATTCCTACATGAAATAATCATAACATTCAAGCTTCAATAACCTCTGGTTCCTATATATTAGGTAAACACCCTGATGTCTAGCGACGAATAAGATTCACTTACTCTTCTGTAATGGTGACAATGTTTATCTCAACTCCGTTTGCTTTTGCACTTAAAGCCTCTGTCCTGATAGCATTTGAAGCAGCTGTTGTTACAGTTTTCCCCGTGAATAGTATGGCCACGTTTCTCTTATCTTCCCTTTAAGGTAAAATGGTAGTATTGCTATTAATTAGTTGATCATAACTTTAAGCCAATATGAAACTAAGATTTTCAAACGTTTGTCACCGAAAGCCGTGTAAAATCATCCCTTTGGGTAAAAATGGTATTATTGCTATAAGTTGATCATCACATTAAGCCAATTTAAAACTAAGGTTTCTCAAACGTTTTTTACCGAAAGCAGGGTCAATTGTAACATCAGGCCAATTTAAAAAGGCCAATCCATATATGATGTACAGGGTGACCCAATAAAAATGCAACCCTCCATTTCGTCAATATTTTTCTTAAATGGAGGTAAATTGCTCTGAGATTTGGCACACAAGGACTTCATTCTATGTGGGATCCTTTGGCAAAGTTTTAATAATCATAGTCTTATATTGATAGAGTTATGGTTGTTTCAAAATATGCTCCAGATGTCGTCAATTTCGCTGAAAACAAACTTGCAATGTTCAAGGAAAACTGTTCATAACACGTATGCATTCTTCACCATGGGTGGGTATAGCTCAAATTTTTGCAGCCATTGCTTATTGGAGTTCTGCAATTGCGGTAGGGTTATTTTCATACACATTATCCTTTAAATAACCCCGTATATAGAAGTCAGGGGCATTGAGATCAAGACTGTGGGATGACCATGGGTCCTCCGTCCTAGGAGAGATAATCTTCTCATAGAAATGACTAGTGAGCCGGGCTATGCTATCATTAGAAGTGTGAAGAGTAGCTCCATCCTTCTAGAACCACTGTTCTTGTCTATTGAAGCCTCTATGTCACTCTAGAACTGCCTAGAACTTCCTGGGAACGCCAATATTGCGCTGTGTGTTAACAGTAACAGTGTTGCCATTATCAACCTCAAACCAAAAGGGGCAGATGATTTCATGTTTGGAAATTGGCAGCCCAAGCTGTGCATTTAACAGAATGTAGGGGCCTGTGAAGCACTTTATCTGGAATTTGTGATCCCAGAACACATTATTTCTTGAGTTTACATGTTCAGAAAGAAGGGAATGTGATTCATCCGAAAACCTGACATTGGAAATGGACGACATTTGGAGCATAATTGTGAACGACCATAACTCTATCAAGATAAGACTATGATTATTGAAACTTTGCCAGAGGATCCCACAATGAATGAAGTCCTTGTGTGCCAAATTTCAGATCAATTAACCTCCATTTAAGAAAAATATTCGAAAAATTGAGGGTTGCATTTTTTTGGGGTCACCCTGTATATGATATACCTATCTCCGTTGTCCACTGTGAAGTATGATGTAGCTAAGTTACGGAACGCTTTTTCAGTGTTTTCATCATTACAACCAATGTCCAATTCCATGTTTAGAATTGCGTCAACTATAGAACTTCTGGTAGTAAAAGTACCTACAGTACAAATAAGAGGAATTATGAACATCGCCATAGAAACAACAATCATGAACATTGCCATGGGAACGAACATAAAAGTATATATGAAGTTAAAGATCTTCGCCACGGTATTCCTTCAGCAAAGGTTGACGATCAAAACAAGTAGAACTAATAAACTAATTTAAAAAGGAACCTTTATATATTTTACGGATTATTTTGCACCTATGTCATTAACAGAAACTCGGTAAATGTTAAAAAGTCCTAGGCCAATTGTTTTCTTGTTATGACGTCATTATATCCATGGTTAGAACAATTTATTTAGGCAGTCTTAACCTACCGGTAATGGAATTTCTGTTACGTCTTACGAACCTAGATTGAAGAGTAATTCACTCTCGGTTCCATGAAGCGCAACTCCCACTTGGATGTCGGATCCTGGTATACTCATTAAACGGTCAACAAGTTCGGCGGTAAACATTCGCACATTTTGTAAATCACTCTCGTCGGCGGAACAAGTAACATCGACCACAATCATCAAATCCATACATGCTACGAAAGTAAATTTTATTTTAAAACGCAATTTTGTCAATGTGCAATATATGAAAATAGCGGGGCAATGGTATCAATGGCATTATTGAAGCCAGTTGCATCGTATTGAAACAGTATGACAAAAGTATAGCTATTTCATATTTCCATTTTCGTCCGATTGTCCAACTTTTTCCTACCACCAATATATTTTGTAAAAGAATGGCGTCATACCTGGATCCCCGGGATCTCCAAAATTATCAAACAGAGTGGGTGGAAGTATATCTTCTGGTGGTGGTAGCGTTGTTGTAGGGAAAATACTTATTCCCTCCAGTACTGAAATTTTTGCCTGCAGTTCAAATCTGTTTCGCTTGTTTGCCGTGTGTGAATAGGATTTAGACACTGAACTCAATGCTTTGGTTAAAGCTAGGTTCACACCAACGGCGCTTTAATTCGGCGTACAAAGCTGCTTTGCACGCCGCATTAAAGCGCCATCAAAGCGTCGTTGGTGTGAACTTAGCTTTAAAGGATTCAAGCCATGGACTCAGTTGCATTGTATGCTGAATCATTCCATTGAAGGCGTTGTTTCAAAATCTTTGCTTGACCCAGCAGCGGGAAAGGAAAGTTTAAAAAACAACGCCTGGTTGGAATGAAGCAGCCACAATCAGCCATCTGGTCTTAAATTCTTTTCACACTTTGTAAAATATTTTCTACAAAATCACTTAAACGGTACAAAATCACTAAAATAACATATTTTCAATTAAACTTTTTGTAAGGGTCGAGTTAGAGTTAGAGATGCAGAGTCAGTGGCTTACACCCCAGTCACATTTGTCGCACGGCGGCCGCAAGTCGACCGCAGATCAATTAAATCGGTGAATTTCTGCGGCGAGCGTAGAAAAACTACGCTCGCCTTGCGGCCTCCGTACGGCGAATGCAGATTTTTACAGGCCGCAGGGAAGGCGTAGAAATTATAACTCGGAGTTATAATATTTGTTCATTTCTGAGGTCCCCGTAGAAATCAACTGGCTCAACAAGATTGAATCATTATTTGTCAATGTTTCACGATCACTTTTCATTTGATATTACATCCTAGCACTATGAATAACATTTATAAATTGTCCCGATGAAAATAAAATGGAAAAAAGTATTATTTATCAACAGAAAATTAAAATTCACCGTGCGGCTGCCGTGGGAAATGTGACTGCAAAAGTATGAGAGCGCAGAAATTCTACGGCGAGCGTAGAAATGTTACTGGCCGCAGAAATGATAGACCGCAAGGTCGCCGTAGGAAATGTGACTGGGGTGTTAGTCATTTAAATTAAGTTAATGGCTTAGTCATTTTAATTAAGTTAAAATGTATGCTGAAACTGTCAGCAATGACTTACTGCCAGAAAGTCCCCCTCCTCCTATTTTGACTCCGCGCACGTTTCCACCAAAGCCGGCCGAATTGACGGTATTGCACAGAAATGTACACAATACCAGTAACAGATATGGCACAGGAGTACGTGCAGCAAGCATAGTTGTACGTTGTTGCAGCAGTTATATTTGTCAATCACCTCAGTTCAAGAACTTGGATTCATGAATATCCCATAATAAGAATCTAGAAATTGCATACATTTCTTTAAACATGTATATCCAATTATGGTACGTACTTTTATATATTCATTATTAAGTGATTTTAGACGGACGTTTTATTTGATCATTTGTAAATGTATTTAAATAAAATATTAGATTTCACACATATCTATACATTTGCAATAAATTATACCATTGCATCTATGTATATAGTCGAATAATAAATAGGATGCACTAGCATAAGATTGAATTTGAATCCGTTCTTCCATATTAGTTTATTTATATATATGGCAAATATTTATATCATCTGAGGACAGTGATAATACACCTACATGAAATGATCCATGTTCAGATGCAGCTAATTAGAGTACTACTATTAAAATATTATCCTACACTTAGTGTACTAAATGTATAATAACATTAGAAAATAAATTTGATATTTATTGGCAAAATGAATAACCGGAGGATATCGTAACGATATATTCCGGGCAGAGGATATCGTGACGATATACTCAGGAAAACCCAATATGCGGAGGATATTGTGACGATATACTACGCTGGTTGATTTCCCGCCAAATTGATTCTATTTGGCATGAAATTCATTTTACAATGATATTATACATTTAGTACACTCCTTGTAAGTGTAGGATAATAAGAACATCCTATTTTTTCAGAATATCATTTTAATCTACTCGGTGATATTGATATATGAACTCGTTCGCTTTGCTCTCTCGTGCAGAAATAGTAGAAATAAATAGTAGAAATAGTAGAAATATCTCGTAGAAATATCCAACTTTACTTAAATTAATAAATCGCCACAGAATTTACATGAAACTGACTCACCTTCATACGGTTGTACAGTTCATGGGCGATGTCCCCGGGGTATCTTTCTCGTTTTCTCGATAGTTTTTTCAACTCGTTATATACCCCGTCTTCTAGTAACGCAATATCCGTAATTACAAGAACAAATCTATGAATTAACAACAATCTATATTCTTTAATCTCTTGATTATCAAGAAATACAACCCCCAAAATAAATTGTGAATGTAAAAGTGTTATCGCGCGCACTATGTGCTAAATCCGTTTTAAGCAAGTGCTACGGTGGCCCTCATTCAATACTTAGGAAATATAGACTGAAGACCATGTATTATATCGGCGAATAAATACCACAGGACTGGGCACAAACGTTTTCTGTACCCCGAACGACCTAAGGTATTTATTACTAGATATAATACCTGATCTGAGGTCTATATTACAATTCTCACCAAAATTTTGCCATCGTGTGATTCATCAGTTTTTTCAAAAAAAATTCTGCCTTGTTGCTGAGCCGTGTCTTTAAATTTAAAAAAAATATTATCATTATTTAAACAAATAATTTCTATCCTTAATTCGGGATGTGTGATACAAAACAAATTGATAGCAAAAGTTTAATAAAGTTACTCTGTTGATAGCTTCCTAATGACATTGTTCAAATAAAACTAATTGAACGGATGTCAACAAATCGGAATCATTTCCCTGAAAGTAAAATGTCGTCTATGCTATTGTGGTTATTCGATAACAAAGCGAAATTGGTCAAGCGGGACGTTCGTAATTCTTAGTCAATCTTCAACTAACAATGGAATCAAGTCAGAGATAAATGCTACAGATCGTCACAGTAACCCTGCTATATTTGGTCCATACTTGGTTGGGTGTATCCCAAGGGGTTGGGATATTTATTTTCTAGAAGGAATCAGAACCTGACATTTTACCAAGAAATATCAAGAATTTCACAAAATCTGACATTTTACCAAGAAATATCAAGAATTTCACAAAATCTATCTATTAAGAAGATTTAAAGAAAAAATCAGGAAAAATGCTTTATCTGAGATTCTTGCTATTTCTCGGTAAATTGTCATGCTCTGGTTCCTTCCCAAAATTAAACGTCCAGACCCTATGTGTCCTGTTCAGAATGGCCCGTCTGTAGATTTTTCGAACAACTTTATCCTTATATTCAAAATGATTTTTAATGACGTCAAAATCCAAAATAACAATCTGTCTGGTTGCCATGCTCCTGCCAATCATCCCAGTCCACATTCACAAGGCCATGGTATCATTCGCTCTATAATTGGAAATATACATAGTCTTGTGATTTTGGACCGTGATAATTGGTAGGAGCATTGAAACCATATCAGATTGTTGTTTGGGATTTTAGGGTTTGTTTTCAATGGCTTGTTGTATCATTCAGTAATCTTTTTTAGTTTTCCCCATTCTGCTAACATATTAATACATGAAGTTGAAATGATAATGCATTGTATACTCTATGACCTTGGACTTCCCCCATTCATTTCATACTGCTTTACACAACAATTAAAGTTACTAACCCTATAAAAACCAACAATATAGAGCAATTAATTTAGTTATCTTACAATGCTTTTTCTCATTCGACTATATTCATTTGAAAGTCAAAGCTAAATACATGTGTAGTACTTTGACTGGCAATGACTTTATCGCGATTGTATACGTGCATGAATATGTCACGAACCAGACGATTTCAGCAATGCACTCAAATCATATCCACGGTTTAATGCCACCAAACAAAAAATAATCACCGATCTCGTGATATCTGTATTTGTTCGGCTCTTTTAATCACTATAATAAAATTAGCATGATGCATTCGAATGGACAAAGACCTATCTCTCCTATTATTTTCAAAATATCATCCAGGTGGAATCTGCTAGGTACAAGGATAAACAGTGAGCAAAATCGTGGCTACTAGGCACGTAACGGCACATATATAAAGCATGTCCTGTGATGTGTGGTTGGTGCCCACAGTGTTGGAGATAAACGGCCATCACTGTTGCAGCGACCGTGACAACCATTGAACAAGCATTGTAAAGATCGCGACAACCATTGAACAAGCATTGTAACGATCGCGACAACCATTGAACAAGCATTGTAACGATCGCGACAACCATTGAACAAGCATTGTAACGATCGCGACAACCATTGCACATCACGGCAATGAGGATGCAGGTTGTGTTTGCTTTAGTTCTTATAAGCCTGTTTGCTTCAGGCACATCTGCAAATGGAGATGAGGTAAGAGCAGTTGAGTCTTTGATTTCCATTTATTCATGCATATGAAAATATAAAGACATTGTCGAGAGAATTGATTAAAGTCATAAGAGAGGTTTCGTTGTTCCATAATCTAGGTGTTAATACTACTTTTCGGCATTTTTCTGTCTTTTTCTTTTCGCAGTTTCAATATGTCACACACTTTCCAACCAAAAGTTAAACAATAATCTACAATTCTGAGAGGCAGCTTAAATCTCAGTTTTGGAAGCATTTCTGTGCACCTGTATATTATGATAATGTTATCCCTTTTCTTTGTTCTGTTTAAAGCCAAATACTATCCAAAAAGTATATCTGAATTCGGACACATAATTCGAAAAGGCAGACTCATGATTAACGGCCAACGGCGCTTTGATGGCGCTTTAAAGCAGCGTGCAAAGCAGCTTTGCACGCCGCATTAAAGCGCCATCTTCAAAGCGCCGTTGGTGTGAACTTAGCTTTAGCGTTGTTTTTGTAGGTGGTAACAGTAACATACAGGTATACAGCTAATGTAAAACTTGAGAACACTACCATCAGCCTTCAAGCAACTGTTGAGATAACTGAACTTGGTGGTAAGTCAAATGTGCAACTTGATATACTGTTACATACAAATACACAGCTAATGTAAAACTTGAGAACACTACCATCAGCCTTCAAGCAACTGTTGAGATTACTGAACTTGGTGGTAAGTCAAATGTGCAACTTGATATCTGTTACATACAAATACACAGCTAATGTAAAACTTGAGAACACTACCATCAGCCTTCAAGCAACTGTTGAGATAACTGAACTTGGTGGTAAGTCAAATGTGCAACTTGATATACTGGTACATACAAATACACAGCCAATGTAAAACTTGAGAACACTACCATCAGCCTTCAAGCAACTGTTGAGATTACTGAACTTGGTGGTAAGTCAAATGTGCAACTTGATATACTGTTACATACAAATACACAGCTAATGTAAAACTTGAGAACACTACCATCAGCCTTCAAGCAACTGTTGAGATTACTGAACTTGGTGGTAAGTCAAATGTGCAACTTGATATACTGGTACATACAAATACACAGCTAATGTAAAACTTGAGAACACTACCATCAGCCTTTAAGCAACTGTTGAGATTACTGAACTTGGAAGTAAGTCATTTTAAACTAATTTGGAATATGAAAATGAAACTTGACATAACTGAATTTGTAATTAATTCATGTTAATTTTCTCAATATGGAAGGTAAAATTTGTGTCATATGTAACTTGATATCACTGAACCTGGAAGGAAGTCACTCTCGGATTGTAAATAAAAGGGGTTTTAAGCTGCACGTTTCAAGGAGAACTTGCTTTGTGTAGAACTATCACCCTCTAGGGATAGATTCTCCTTTTCGAAGTATTAATTTGCCGGAGTGAGTACAAAGGTAAAGGAAATTAGTAATGTGGTCACTAGAAAAAAACAATTTAGAAATTATATCGTAATATTTTACTTTCTAGATGCAGGTGGCGATTATAGAAAGACAGACGCTAAAGAGTTCCTAGCCCGCGTTTATCACCTTGTTTCGTTGGACGTTCCAGATGATCAGAGGTATGCAAGACTGTATAGAGTCGCATTAGGCACAAAATGAACTTTCTTGTTTTTACTTAAGTAAATATTTGACTGGTAATTTGCGTCTACTTGTCTTAGACAGTCACAAACTTCCAGAATTAAAAAGTATATATAAATACTTAATTTGATCAACTTGATATTAATACTTTCAAATAGGGCAACTTTTGACAAAACTAGGATTACATTTTAGAAAATAACTCATAACATAGTATTATATAATAGGTACAGTGTTACCTCCTCAGGAATCGAAAGCATTGGATATCAAAAATAGACAGCATATTACATCAAATTACGAAAATATCATTACCGCTTTTTATAGTGAAGATGAGAAAGAAGACGATAAAGAGGAAATTGATCCAAAAGATAAATATCCACTTGATAAACGATATGGAAATCCATTTAAGTTCATCCAAAGGGCAGATGGGAGTATAGCAGAGATTCTGTTCCACCAGAAAGATCTATGTAAGAAGTTAGCTTTGGTTTTTTATGCTTCCTTTATTTAAATAAAGATCAATATACATAGTACATTGTCAGGCAAAGCCAAGGCATTATGGCCCTTTGTAACTTATTAAATCACTATTATGTACCATCTCTTGTTTAAATGCACTGTGTCTCTACTGTAATTGCAATGCTGCTAACCTGAAATAAAAACTTATTTAAAAGTCTTCTTACTTATGATAATGCTTCAATAGAAATAGAATAGAATGGGTCTTTACAGAATGCCAAGATGGGCAGATCGAAACGACATTCACATTTCAAATAATCAGTATACCTATAGCTGCTTGGCCTTCGCGATTATCTCATAATCATTTATTGAATAGTAAATACACCACATAGGATTGGTGTTACATATAGTGAAGAACCCTGACCTTATTAAAATTGAGTGAACTGTGATGAATAGCGTCATTAGTTTCTTTGCTATTATGGTTGTTTTAAAATATATTGCACATATTTTTTATTTGTAGCCAAAACAAACGTCCTTAACTTCAAACGAGGTATAGTTTCAGCGTTCCAAACAAGTACATCTGACGAGGATGCTGTGGTTGAGGAAACCGATCAGATGGGGTCGCATAAAACAAAATATAAGTGAGTAACATATTAAGTGATAGATGGGAGACTAAAACAAAGGATTGTTTTGTGGATAAAATTATGTAACTATCTAAAGTAAATATTTGTGTAATTTGTTTAATTCAAAGAGCAATGCATTTATAAGTAGTACATTTTTTATAGGCTGACACAACCCACTATTTTAGCTGATCTGACTTTTATTCTGAGTTTTCATTTTTATTTTAGTAATCATAGACTCAAAATATGCTCTCTGTACCGGAATAATTCGCAAAATTTCAGTGATTTCTGACGAAATAATTCCTAAAAAATGAAATATGTTGTATTGCAATCGTTTTGTTCATTTTTACGGTCCAGACCGTATGGGAAATATTTAAAAAATCCTTATTGATTTAAATTTAATAGTACATTAAAATCAACGATAACTTTGAAAATATTAGTATACCGGTATATCATTTACACTCTGTAGGGTTCTATCCGGGAAAGGTAAATCAAAAAAGCTTCAAAAACAGTTTGCTGCGTCTGATATTAAAGTAGAAGGTGCGGAAATAGAAGGTGATGAGGAACAAGATGTTGAGGACGGCAAAGTAGTCAATGGAAAGGGGACCGTCAAGATCAAATCTGGAACTGTAAGTCAGAGATATTGTAACATTAAATATAATACAAGCAGGTCCCATGGTGTACCATAACTCCGTATATTCCCGTCAGACCGTCCTGAGCTGCTACGGCGACGAAAATTGTTAGCGCTATAAGGTCGCCATAAGCACGGTAAAACATGGTGGAAACGCCAAACATAGTGCTTTTTATATTTAGTATTTCTTTATTTCAAATTATTACAATAAACACAAATACATTAGCGGCTTTGTAAGGTACATTAAAAGCCTTTTTTAGGTGATGATTCACAAAACTAGGTCTGAAAATGATCTGATAGTAATGATACTATAAGCACAATAGGTCTCTAGATTGCCTGGGGTCCCTCAACACAGTTCCTGATAAACATATTGTACTCAACTTCAAAATGTCAATGTTTTGCTCTTTAAAGAATAAAGTTAGCCTGTTCTTACATAAATTCCTGTATCCAATATTAAGATCACAGAGTTGTTGTTCAAAAGTAATAAAATGATTCTGTTGAATGGGACAGGAGAAAAACACATGACTTGTGGATTCATTTGTGTGGCCACAAGCACATAGTGCTGTGGTCTCCATGGTCGCCAATGATCTCCGAGTCACGGCATTTGTTTTGAGCATTTTTAAATCAAGAAGGGTTTTACGGTCTGACCGTCGTGAGGCAAGCTTCGTGGCATCTTTATTAACGTTGTACACGCGCAAAGACGCTGCCAAAAATACAACATTTGCAACGCTTTTACCACGCTTATGGTGATTTCGACGTGCTTTGAGGGCATTTTCCGACGCAGTAGCAGCGCAGTAAGGATGCAACTCCAGTGTGGCGGGAGAATCGCGTTGTGTTCACGTTTGCCCTGGCCTTGCCCATTTTCTGGTCGCCGTATGGTCTCAGCAACGCAGTAAGGACACCATCCCGGTCTGACAACTGGGTCGTTTTGACAAGTCCCTTCTTCATTTTCAGACTGGCAAGACAGATATGGACAATCTTGGAAATGAAGAAAATATCTCCCCCTTGAGTTCCCATGTTCCTGTGGAGACGTCTGGCTTGGAGGCAGAAGTCACTGCAACATATACTTTAGAACGGTTGGAGACCAGGAAACGTTCCCTGGGGAGGGAGAAACGAGGAAAGAAGAATAAAGATGAATTTGTATCGTCCACTTTGCAATCTGAGGAAGATGAAGGTATAGTGTAATTGTTTAATTTGAAATAAGTGTAACACTATATATTGTCAAGATTAAAATTTAGTTGTCTAGTTTTACAAAGTATGTCTCGATAGAGGACAAATAGACTTGTGGTAGGCAATATGGGTATTACAAATTTTGCACGTTCAGGCTAGGCAATTGAGCGCCGTTACCACGAGGTTGCGAGTTCGAGACGCGTGTGTTCCTTGTGTTTATTCATTAAAGTACTTCTAAAAACCTAAAACACAAGACATTAATTCAGCCTTTTATATGAATAATTTTGCAGACGAGATTCTCTTAGAAAGCTACCAAAAAGCAGTTGAAAATCTACTAAAAATCGATATGGAGAAGGTCCTCTCCAATTACCTGAAGGGCAAAGGGGACGTAGATGATCGTAAGTTTATCCTCTTTGTTGTACCTTTTGTCCTTTTAACATGAACTTCATATCATCAGATCGGTGCATTTTCGAGAGAAAGTGACCAATTGATCATTGCCAAATGTCAGATGATTTAAATACGTGAACCTGGGAGTTTATTGCACGTTGATTATTTGATTTTCTGTATCTTTCTCCTTTTCTGTCCCGTCGCAGCGCCATCTAGTGTTTGATAAATGAATCAAGGTTTATTCTCGATAGGGTAAGTACTAATCTATCAGGAAACATTTACAAGTTTGGTTAGAAACAGAATTTTTAGAGATGGCGGAGTGATTTTTGAGACCGTGGAGCAGAATAATTTTCTGAAACCGGTAGCTTTACAGTGGTAGCTCTCTCCAGATTCAGTTATCTCAAAAACGGTGTGGTCACCGTATGTTTATTTTGTAACGGCAAGCTAGACAAGACTCCAATGAACACTGGGCACTGTTTCGCTTAGCTAGATCTGTGCCCATGAATATATTATGAAATGAAACGTTATAATGGTCGTCAATGGGATTTTTACTGCAATCTTGACCCTTATTCACGCTAAATACTCGACTTATTTCAATCTAATCCCATGATGCATCTGTTATCTATCTTATTCGAGTTATCCCTATCAATTATGTTAATTTTCAATGATTCATTATGTCCCATAATCCATCTAAACGAGCAGATAAACGTGTTTTTCTATTTCAGTTATCCCTATCAAGGATGTCTTGCTTCTTGAGAACAAACTTGGTTATACTAGAGCGTCTAAGAAAGAAATCAGCGAAAAGGAAATCAATCTTTTGACAGCATATGTTATTTCTAAAACCAAAAAGGTAGTTTCACAATGCATCATAACATCTTAATTATTTCCAACCATGTCCTTGAAAACATAAAATTGTCTACTTGGTTTGGTTATTTAAACAGCAATGGTGTTACAGAACAATTTATCGTTTACATTAACATTAATTTTCAAAATAGAAAGATGATTCAATTATATTACCTGATCATTGATTTTAGCTCGTGAAGAAGTGTGACTTTGCAAAAGAGGAATGTATGGAAATTGTCCAGTGTTATACCCTGGGAGGGGGTAAAGTTGCTGAAAAGGTAAAAACACGAAATCATTGCACTCTTATACACCGTATCTGATAGTTAAGCGCTGTTATATGTATTGTGCAACTAGAAAAGAAGTCCTTCACTGGCACTTAATAAAACCAAAATATAATATGAATAGAAAACTAGTAAATAAAAATAATCTTACTTTCTAATTGTGATAAAGGTAGGCGTGGCATATTTTTCTTATATCCTCCAGTTTTCATTCATTTTAGTTATTGATGAAAATGCTGAAGAACAAAGGCACTGAAAAGTCTGCACGAATTAAGATGATTAGCATCGTGTCGACAATGATCAATCCATCGGATGCACTGGTGAAATTCGTAAAAAAGCTTTATGAATCTGAGAAGAAAGATGGCGATATCAAATCGGCTTTCCTTCTTTGTCTTGCTGCCTTGGGCGGAAATGACTCTGTTGGTGCCTCTCAAAAGTCTGGTTTAGTGGAACTGTTAATCAAAATTTTGAAACTCATAATTGAATATTTGGAAAGCTTAAAAGAAACCGACGATGACTTCCCTGCTTACTTACAAGACGCTCTCGATACTCTTGAGGCTATTGGTAACATGGGAGATGAGAGACTTGTTGATAAAGTTATCGAGGTTGCTGAAAAGTTCCCAGACAACCCATCGATCCAAACTGCAGCGATACATGCTCTCAGAGCCCAATTTGGGCTTTTGCGTGTGCAACAATGGCTGAAGAAAGCGATGCAGAACGGAGATTGTGACCTAAAAGAAAATGCCATGAACACTCTCAGAGATAGAATCTCGATTGATTTCCTCAATGGTGTGAAGGGCAAGTGGCCTCTTTATCACTTTACAGCTTTTGATGAATGGCTAGAGGATCTTTTCTTAGATGGAAATGACACGGAATTCGAGTGTATCTTCTCAGATATGGAGAAATATTTCCAGGACAAGCTTGATCCTGAGGCGAAAAAAGTACTGCTGAAATATAAAGGAATCATTCCGAGAAAGGTGGAGCATTCATCGTGTAGCTACTGGAATGATTTTGGTGGAAGATACAATGGAATCCAATCAGCAGGTACATTTCTCTCTGACAACCAAAGATATAATCACAATGCCCATTGCCTGGCTCATTTCAGCGTTGGTGGGAGCAAAGCAATTGCGCATTTAAAGACAGGAGCATTTGCAGGACGCCATTGTTGTGCTTGCAATTTCAAGGTGTTTGCCAAAGCCTATGGATACGGTTACGTCTACGGAAAATACTTGTCAATCGGTACTGTGGAGTTCTATGCATACAAATACTATTCCACTTTCGAATTGCGAGGATATGTTCGAGTAGGGGGTAAAACATTCCTCGACTACAGGAACAGGTGTTGCCTAAATGGGTTGGTATATTCAAGAACCTGGACAACACCAAGCTTTGGATGGCGGATCACTGTCTACAGGATCCAAGTATTCATATTGAAAATCGACTTGGGCGTTGATATTAGGCCTTATTTCTCCTTTACACTTAGGACGTCACTGTGGACAAGTTGTGGTATTGATGCTTATGCAAAACCAAAGGCTCATCTAAGGATATCTGGTGGTGTATCTGTCAGTCTTTGGGTAAGTGATGGTAAATTCATTTAATGATATCTATGACCTAAAATAAGAACTTCCCAAAAAAAACACAAACACACTATGTATCGTTTTATATGTTTCAAATAGCTTATCCGAGGAGGTATAGATCTTGGAGTGAACCTCAACTATTACATCAGGGCTAATGCTAAGGCTGCATATCCTAACCAAGCATGTGCTGGACTTTACCACGGCTACGATAGTCAATCAATAAGCGTCAGAGCCTGGTACCAGAGAAAGTATTTGAATAAACACGGTACCTGGAGACCATGGAAATGGGTATGTTCCCTGTCTTTATAACCAATATTTTTAAAACCGGTATGAGAGACAAATCCCGACATGTAATCGAGAGGTTCTGGGTTCGATTCCCACCAAGATGGAGTGACTTTTTTACATCAGCCCTTACCATAAGTTTTGATCTTATGTTTAAATAAAGTCATATTATTGCTTGAATTTATTCAACTGCTAATTAAGGGTCCCCCACTGTGTTCTATTTTTGCAGAGTTGGGACTGGACATCGAGAAGGTATTTGACCTTAGCATCGTGGAATGTAGGAGGTGTGTCAGAGAACAAGATTTGGTATGGATGTGTGAACTAAGCAACAATTGAAACAGGACCAAGAATGATTACATTGCTGACATTTCATGTTCAGATTATTGACATATATCAGAAATAAATGCTACACGCTTTTAAACTGTTTAGCTTATCGTTATAAACTATGTATGTCATTTCTTCTCAGTCACCGAGATTCCGACTGTTTCATATTTACCGTTCAGTATCAAGCGAAGGTAACGGCCGTCACCGTCGCATTTAAAATGGCGGACGGGAAGTGTCGATTTCGATACTTTTAGTTTTCATTGAATTCAACTTTGCTATTAAAATTTGATATCAAAGCATAAAGTCAACTATATAGTAGTTGTGACATTGGGACAGAAATCCATAATTCCTCAATCACTCGAACCCTTGGCCTCTTACCACAGAAACATGATCAAAATTACACCTGGATTTAAAGAATTTGTTTTGTTAACTTGCCTTCATTTGGCCAAACATATATGAGCGGGAAGACTTCTGTATCAAAAGTAATTTCCAATATTTTGGTGAGATCGACGAAAAGTATGATTGTATTGTTCAATGGACTACATACAGTAGCAATAATTAATCATTTTATGGTATATAAATATCTATGAACAAAAGACGTACATTTATCACCGTAATCTTCATTCATTTTAATACAAGAGGTAGCAATGTAGATGCATTGTACTTTTAGCGGTTCGCGTATCGCATCATCAGTTATGACATAATATTAAATACTTGATAAATGATATATTTGTATTTGATACTCACGATCACGCGGTACGGTTGTCGTGACTTTTGAATTATCACGAAAAATGGATTTTTCTTAATATAGATTAAATACACGTGCACGTGACTCGCTTGAAGAATTACAAGAGTGAACAAAACGAGTGGGCGATAACAATAGCGCACCCATATGAGCTAAAAACTAAAAAGTGAGAGGTATCAAAAAGAGCATGCTCTTGCCAATCGAAAAATAACCCGAAATCGTTAAGTGTATAAAAAATAATCATCATTCAAAATGTTTATTGCAATATTGACAATAGTTTTTTCAATTTATTTATTCACATTTATTGATATAGCAACGTTACAATAAACGGGTGGCACGTAATGTGTATATCCGTGGTTCATAACAATACATGAAATTAACAGCGGGAATCTGGTCGTGTGATCAACCATGGGCTTTCAACTAGTTGAAAGCCCATGGATCAACCGAGCAATTTCTGATACTTATCTCATGATAAATGAATGTCTCGCCAAACAACTAACCTGATACGAGCTTTTTATTATCCTATTAGATTTCAACCAAATCAGACAATGGTATTAGAACGAGAGGTAAATCATAGGAAATCACATTTCACGAAAATGGCAGCCATTTTCAATTGAGAATCCATATTGACATTTCTTCTCGAGTAGAGATCCTTTGCCAATTTGAATTGAGGTTTTCATTAAATCAAACCACTCTGGATTGCCAGTTTTGACATTTCAACCACACCACCAAGCGTGTATGATATTGCAGTCACGTGTATATCATGTGTGGACTCCACGATTCAACGATATTCCACGGCTTTAATGCAAAGTTGCGTAAATTATTCTTTCGTCAATTCACGTTGGAAACAAAAAAACGTCAAAACCGACACTTATCGGACGCCATTTTGAAAGAAAATGTAACAGCAGTTACCTTCTGACACTGTCCTATCAAGTCCTATTCAGGGAAGATTTTCTAAGGATTAGAAACGTGAAATGTGAATTTTGAAACGATGCTCTTTAATAGATGTCACTAGCAAATGAATAGGGTAATATACGGTATAAAAGTAAACCATTGTGAAAAAAATTATGGTTCCCCAGAGATTATGGTCCCCTTCTTAAACGGCATACTGGCCCTGATTGTGTATAATATAATAAGGGAAAGATGTCACCATATAAATCAATGGGAGTAGGACAATAATTTGATAGGACCTCCTACCCTTTTACACCTGGGTACAATCACCGGCGGACTTCCTTCGGACTGTGACTACTATTAAATATGCTATTGAGCTATCACATATTGTGAAAACATTGAGAATGGATCCACTGAAAATATTTAAAACGTGATATGAGGTTTTGTATCCACGGACTTGCAGAAAGAATTCAAGACCTTATCTATTAACTCTTAGACATTTTTATGTCACCACCAAAAAGTTGTGACTATAATGTTATGGTCTCTGTTTTTTGTGACGGCGGTTGGCGATCGGCGATTGGCGTCTGTATCAAATGGTGGTGACATTTTGCATGTCAATGCCTCGTTAACGATTGTTTTAACAACCTCTAATGATATAATCAAATGTCCGGGAATGCAGTTAATAGAATATATTAAACTCACAATTCTCGTGTTATGATCATTATTTATCACTCGTTTCCAGCTTTAATCATGAAAAGAGAACGTGCAAATCTATAGTAATCATATTGTACACTAACTTACACTAGAGACGAAACATTTTTGTCTTATTCCCGGGCATTGGAACCGGATAGTTTGTACTGAAATAAACATTCCTTTGATCAAAAGCATGAATTGAAAACTTATTTAGATGGCGTAACATCCCAATGAGTTCTAACTGTCAACAGGATTAACAGCAAACCAACACTGACTCAGCGTTAATGCAATTCGATCTCAAAAATCGGATTTCGTGTTTGAATAGTGCTAAAAGGACTACGGGATATGTTTAAATGAACGTGGTCTTAATAACAATACGCGCCATAGCAACCGAGGTAAACGAATGGCTCTGAATGGTCTAAGGTAAAAGTGTACGATAACATTGGATCGAACATGGCTACCTGTCTATTACTGGAATATTTTAATACCATGATTTTTACGCGATAAGCCATCATTAAGGAGAATATTGGATAGTCATTAGACGGATTAAAAGCACAGGTAGGTTCCTAATTACTTTTTAATGATAATAAACATATATACAGCAATAAATTTCATCAAAAGGAAGTATAAATAAGTGAAAAATCAAAACAAACTGAAATGCTACTTCATTTTTGATCTCATAGGGCACACACCGTCGCTTTCCACGGAGTCTAGTTATTTCTAATTGTGTTTGAAATCCATAAGATACTTATATTAAGACTCTGTTAGGAGTAAATACAAAAAGGTGACACGCACTTATTTAAAAAAAATCGTCATATTGGCATGTCCCCACTGAAAAATAAACCAAAATGTACTATAAACGATTGGTAACTAATTGTATATCAACATAATAACTGTTGGCCGTATGGTTATTTCTAATATGGTATTACTATATATTATCTGAACGTTAGACGATTGTGGTATTTTTAAACAAACTTTATCTTATATTTCAATTTGAGAGTATTAAATGTAAATAGCTTTATTGTCTTATGTTGTGATAGTGCTCTTAAATCTTTCATATCGTCTGTCAGTCAATTTTTAATTAAAGCCAAAAGATTGTCTTGGCCCTGTCTGGCTCTGTCTGTTTGCTTGCTTGATTTTTTGTTTACTCGTATATATAAACTGTTTATTTTATGTGTGTTTTTTTGTTCTGACTCACTCACTTAGCTTTGTACTTTGTAGTTGTTTTCTAGAGCAAATGGGGTTACATATTACCTTTAAGTTTAATTTCTCCTTGAAACAGGGCTTCGTTTAGTTTTTACCAGGCTCTCTGTCCACGGGTAGCTAGACATATGCCCTGTCTGCTCGTTTTTGTTCAAGGCCAAAATTTCATAAATAATATTCACCCTGGTACAGTTTATTAGATCATAAACGAAGTCCACAATATAGGAATGTGTCCCATTTGAGTGACTCACCCTCAACTTGTTCAAGTTCAGTGGCAACCATGGCACAAGTGAATATATTTACCCCCAAATTCAATCACGTATTAAGCTGTGAGATTGTCTTGCATTTTGTAACTAAATATTTTTAACATTGTCATGTTCCCTATCAGTGACATTGTTATAATATCTAGCAAGCAATATGTCAACTTGACAAATGTTTCAATATCACGTCAATCTTAAAATACAATAGAACTTAACGAGAATATTAAAGCATTTTATTGTAATGTATTTTAATCATTCTGAATGAAAGGATGCCCTTTCAATAATGTATACTGTGTCTCGTGACATTTTTGATGAGAGTTGAGAACAATATAGCAGATATGGTGCGCCCCTATAGCAGTCCCATTTCTCCATTGACATCGAAACAGCATTTGAAACGATAAATTTCATAATCGAAAATTTAAATAATTATTACATTTAAGAAGTAGTTTAACTGAGTTTAAATGCAAGGTAAACTTAATCAAAGACTTTATCAAAAGGTCAGAGCTGTCACCATAAAGACTCCTATGTTTTAATTCTCCCCACTGTATTCGTGTTATGGCAACCGTTAATTTGTATAAGTTCGTATATTTAAGGCAGTGCGTTTCTAATAAAACAAGGAAGTATCTTAAGATGACAACTGGTAAGTTGTATACAGTTGATTCTCGTTTTTATGACTTCAACTTCGTATATTTAAGCCAGTGAGTTTCTAATAAAACAAGGAACTATCTTAAGATGACAACTGGTAATTTGGATAGAGTTCATTCTCGTTTTATAGACTCCAAGTTCGTATATCTAAGTCTTAATAGTACAGTGGTGTTTCTAATAAAACAGAATTTCTCATTACAATGTCCCTACCTTTGGAAAATCTTGACTTACACAAATCATATATTAAGCTGTAATTACAGCTTTCACTGACTAATATCACCAAATCGAACACCAACGATTACTTTAAAGATAATAAAGTGGCTAAAACTGGCAACAAATTAAGATGCTAAATGGTATTCAAGGGGTTAACGATGGTCGTTGTTCAATGTTATGTTTATCCTGGTCATTTAGTGACCGATTTGAAAGTTTCCTAAATATTTACATCAATAACGCCAAATAAATTTGAAATAACGCTCACAATTGTATTGAATTGCATACATCCGATCGCATGCTGTTGGTGAAGAAAACGATCATAGCTTGTGTTTGATTTAGAATTTAAAATAAACATTTTCTCTTGTTTGGAACGCTATTAATATGTTATGGATTTACGGAGAGAATAACAGAAAAATGTAAAGGTTGAATAACGGATAAATCACTCAAAAACAGCTCTGGGAAATAGAAATCTTGTACTTCTTCGGTAAGATTATAAAAGTTTAATGATAATCTTATCTTTGCATTTTTATGTGTTGGCATTGAAAAAGGAAGGTGTATCTCTAATGGATATGAGCATGATATGTCTGCAGTATTACATAAGGGGGGGGGGCAAAAATCATTCTCCAAATGCAGGGCTCTAGATAGCATCCACTCTGTGCCTTCCACCTTCTCCAGATGCTGTTTGGAGCTCTGTGTTCGGAGACTGGTCATCATTCCCTTAGCCCACGCCCTCTACAGTTTACTAATAATATATTAACATACTTTCAACATGCAAGTGTTATAAAATGTTTGTAAATTATACTATAGTGTTAAATGGCAGGTTATCAGTGTGTAATGCATTAATAAACCATGGTCTTGTGTCAAGCCTCTGGTCCACGTATACCATTTTACATTTTGCAGACAATTCTGGGGTAACACCAGGACTAATGCAAGTCGGGGAGATGCAAGTCTACCGTCACTATACGGTAGAGGTGTCAAGTATTAACCGGTTAACCGGTTAACCGCCGATAATGCCTTGACCGGTCTGTGTTTTTATGGGCGGTTAGTTGACCGTGTATAATTCTGTGATTTCCCGCGCTTATTTTGCATGCTAATCCGTTTGGTTTTATAGTGTCAGTTTCACGTAAGCTACTCATACATGTCATAAGTCCTATAACTCCTTACAAACATCCAATCAACAACTTTAATCCCTGCCATATTGCTTTCCCGCGCTTTTTCCTGCATTTAAATCTGTTTGTTTTTCAAGCGTCAGTTTCATGTGAGCTACTCATACATGTGATAGGTCCGATAATTCCTTACAAACATCCAATCAGCAACTTTAATCCCTGCCACATTGCTTTCCCGCGCTTACTTACATAGAATAGAGTAAAGCTTGACGAACGTAAAAAATAAACGCCGATATATCATTTTTCCAATTTGTTTCAACTTTCAAGATCGAAGATGAAGATTTCATTTGAAATTATCAGTTCAAATTTCCCGCCGGTTAACCGACTTTAACCGGTAAAAACCCCCGGTTAACCGGTTAATGCTCAAGCGGTTAATTGACACCACTACTATACGGTTGTGCCTTGTTTCAAACTATTTCGTAACTTAATCGGGGTGTAGGCCTATATGTATGTCTTAAGTATTATGTTAGATATTGAAATGCTTGACTTTTATCAGGGATTCTCTAAATTAAACCAATTGTCTTTGTTTATAGGGTTATCAGCTAATCATAATAACAACGTTCGAACATGAAGCTTTTACCAGCTCAAGAACGCACATACGGGCACTACCCGGCACAGTATGACATTTACAGCAAGAACAAGACGCAAGTTGGATACCGTAAGTAGCTTTTAATTTCAATAGAGGAGTTTCTATATAGCTTTGAAGTCTCGCTATTTCTCGTTTTTCGCGGGATTTCAAGACATTCGCAAGTCAAACGATTTTGAACGACTGTTATGTGTGACAGAAGTTGAAAGCAAAGAACTGAGAATGTAAAATATTGGCAGTATTTTCCTTTAAAATCTCAAAATGAAAATGTTTCTTGAATAGTTTCAACCTTAATTTTGAATATTGCCAGATACTTAGTATAACCGTGAAAGTTATTGAAGATGAACATGCAGGAATATAAAAGTTCTTAGAATTGAAAAGAGGATAGTTATAGCCAAATGACCTTCAGAAAATTAATTTTGGTGAACAAAACAAATACGTAATATTCATCTTAAAATCGACAGTGGAAAGGTTAATTTTTTATCGTTTATTCAAGTTGTCGAATTTATCAGGATTATGATGGATATAGTTCAATTAACCGAATAAAATCGTATCATTGAATAAGCCCCATGAATATTTAATTCCAATATGAAGCCCGACATATAAGAACAATTCTTTAAGAAATAAAAGAATTCCATTGCGCCCTGTGTGAGCTGCGCATTCAAGTTCATATATTGATAATGGATGTGGATTCGACTTATCCATTAGTTCAATAGCTTTCAAAGCTGTACCATTTCTTTACTATTGAATAATAAATGCTAGAGATATTTATATACAATTATTGAAACTATTATTATATGAGCGAATCGATGAAAGCATTTGTCAAGCGCTTTGCATTATGTATAAGTGTCTAGTGAGTATTATCAATATTCAGATACCCTTGAAATCGTCGTGGCCCTTGGTTTCCATTTCAAACATTAGATATTAAGAGATCTGGGATGTAATCCAGGCCGGAGGGAATGTATTGAGCGTAAGGTTATCTTACTCTTCGGGGATCTGACAGAGGATCCGATATGTTTTGTACCTATTACAGACGCTAAATGCCGCAGGTCTAATTATCTGAGAGAATCAATGCAGCTTTTGTATTTTATTCTTCCGCATTTAACTCGTAACTAATGGCAACGAGGACTTTACGACAACAACATGTAAATAGATCTATCACCTCAGATCGACAATTTAATAAAAGTTATCATTATCTCAATGAAGGAGTAGGGTGTCGTACATTTTGAGACATATGGATATAAAAAATTGATAGACAGAGCAAAGGTGAGAGTCAGGCAGAATTAGAGGGAATTATTTATATGTCTAGTCGGGTTTGTTAAATTATACGTTTTAGCAGGAAACTTGAATAAATCTGCGCTTATTAATTATTAGCATCAGCTGTTATACAATATTATACAAAAATGAAAAAAAATTAATTGTCATTTCGTCACTGGTAAATAAAATAATTTATTTATGGTTTCTGAATATCAGAATGCTCGAACTAAATCTGCGCTTATTAATCTTTAGCATCAGCTGTAATACAATATTATACAAAAATGAAAAAAAATTAGTTGTTATTTCGTCACGAGTAAATAAAATAATTTATTTATGGTTTCTGAATATCATAATGCTCGAATTAAATCTGCCCTTATTAATTTTTAGCATCAGCTGTTATACAATATTATACAAAAAATGAAAAAAAGAATTGTCATTTCGTCACTTGTAAATAAATTAATTAATTTATGGTTTCTGGATATCAGAATTCTCAAGCTCATTCTTTTAAATACTCTAAGAAAAGAGCTCTCTTGTTTCTTAAAATACGTTATCAATAGTTAAATCAATGCTCTCTGCAGATAGTGTTAAGAGATAGTGTTAACGACGATAATTTGCAATAAAAACAGAATGATAAAGCGAATGAAGATATCAAGAGTAATACCATCATAATATGTTTTATTTATGAGATATGGATTGCAATACCTGGTCGATCAATTGTAGATTTACTCACACTTTATTCACAAGAAGGAAATGAGTGTGATAATGAAATTGTTCTTTGTAAGTTGTTTTTCAAGATTAATTCTAATATGGTTTCAGATTGTTCCGCACTTTCAGAAAATATTGAAAACACGATTAACACAATTATTAACAAAATTAATTTATTCACAAATTGTTTTTTAAAAATTGAAATACGTTTCCACCTAAAACTTTAAAAAATCTTCACAGTTTTATTAATATATGTTTTGGCCATGTTTGATAAATGGTGACAGAATTCAATTTTGGTTTTTGAAACGTTTGATGAAGGGTTTATATCATTCTGATACTCATAGCATCTCTCTCTGTTGCATCGCAATTGCATCTCCAGAAGGATAGAGATGGAAAGGGCGTGGCTTACCACGATGGGTTTATATCTTATTTAAGATAATATTTTTTAATATTTCCACTCGTATGCTTGCAGATAAAGAGTGCCTATACAAACACACAAGAAGTGCCTACAGTGGGAAATGCACCACAGATAAAAATGACTTGAGGGTGTCAATTAAGAAACAATCTCTCTCTCCGCGCCACCCTGCGCCTAGGAGTCAACATTCTAGGGCGTCCAAATACTCACCTCATCAAGCTACAAAGGTGAGAGTTAAAAGTGCAGCGTCAATACGATATATGACCCCAGCTGCAACGTCAATATCGGCGGAGTATGACGTAAACGGAAATACAAACACGACACCAAAAGAAGCCTGGTCAACGCAGGCTGAACGCACCCCAACCGTTCCAGATACAACAGAAATAGAGCGACATTGTGCACCCTCTCCTGACGGAAGCAATAAATATAGCATGGAGGAATCAGCTTACATCCCTCCTACTCCGAAAGAGGCATTGAAAATCCCTACTCCGTATTTTTCTGATGATGACGAAGAGCCTCCCGTTATCCCATCACACCCTGGTCGTTCATTACGGCGGGAACGAATCAAAAGTGCGACAATACACAGAGCAAAGGTCAACATCCCTCAACGACCCGTCCAGTCGGCTGGTCCAACACGACCTCCTATCGAGGCGAGAGTTGGGCCTCAAACTCCGACAACAGTCAGCAAAAAGCCCCTCCCAGCACAAGCCATAGCGAGGCAAGGAATTCTCTCCAAGAGTTGTGATGTCACGGGCTATCGAGCGCACGTAGCAACGCCACCGACGAATCACAGCTACGACGCAACTAATCCGCCAAAGTATATAATGCGAGATGAGTACGATGTTCGGCTGAAAAAATATGGCTGGAGAATGGAAGTCCATGGAGATCCTTTAAAACTAAAGTAAGTTTTATAACGTGTCACTGAAACACATTATTTAATTTCTCAAAGTAACCTATGAGTTCTGTAAAAATTTTAATATTATGAAAAATGCAATTGAATAAACACACAGTGAGCCAAATAACAAGGGGTAGGAGCATTTTAAAATGTGGATGAACAAAACTGCCTTCTCACAGATTTATCCAGCCTTTAACACAATGAACTTCTTTTTTTCAGGGATGCCGTTCGAAGACCAAGATTAGCCTATACTGTAGAATGCGCCGAACCTGTTATTCCACCTAACCCTCCCAAGGCGCGATCGGAAAATTTTGACACTTACTTCTTGAACACAATTCCTCGGCGAAAGGCCACTTATGACATTGCAGCCGACTGGGCCTCCGAAACCTTACACGCCAAGAGAATGGCCTTACATCAAAGGGAAGTCAAAGAGTTTGGACCGAAATATCTGTACAGAAATACTGACTATGGGTTTATATATTAGGATGGCAGAATTATGAAGTTAAGGATTGTGGATTTCTTTAAGCCGGATTGATATAGGCGTGGGATTCGGTCTGGGAGAGGGGGAATCTCCTGTTTTCGCAGGAACTTTTCGTGGCCAAAGTAATGCATTTTGCCAAAATTGCATAAAAGTCTAATTTTGCCAACATTGCTTTGCCAAACACTTATTTTCGCATGACTCCTAGAATCCCATATCAATCCCTGCATTTATCTGATAATTATGGGATAACACAGTCATGAATTGGAGGCTTCATCTTAATATGTGGTCGAACATGGTTGTTCGAAAGGATGGTTTGAAAATTACAAAGTGCAACAACCATCGGAAAATGAAGACAGGACTCAGAAAACATCTGAGATAATACAAATAAATGCTATACCATTTTGAGATTAACCATGGGCTTTCAACTAGAATTGAAAGCCCATGGATTAACAAATGATCTTGGATTCAAAAGATCTCAAAACTAAGCCAGATTAGGAAAATCTGAGCATGTTGTATCCCAAAAAGTGCAGTAGTAACGTGTATCTAATCGTGCATTGTTTAGCACTACATTGCACCCCTCTTCAAATGTTATATGTAATGAATTGTGCATAGTTAAGCAGTAAGCAACACTCCTCTCCAAAAATTGTCAACAACAATTTTCCCTATTGGACCAAGTGTTAAAACCTATTTGTGTAAAACAATATCATGCATTTGAGGAAAAGATGAATTAAAAAAACGTAAACACACTTTAACAGAAGGTCCACTTGGAATTGTCACTGTCGCCAAAGTTTTTGGAGGGGTTGTACTTACATGGGCTTATTGTGGACCCGCATATCAATGGTGTATGCTGATAAGTCAATTACTGACAGTACTCCGTCAACGTTAATCTTTTATGTAAATGATTTGTTTGTGTCTACGATTTAACGCTAATTTTCTAGAAATTATTTTATGTTCGTAGTTTATTTAACTCAGGTTAATTTCAAGTGCAATGTGCATTTAACTCCGCTAATAATTGTAAATATAAATTTTAATCCCGGGATTTTAATGCACGAATCTAATTATGTAAATGATTTGTTCTCATTTAACCTAGATTATGTTATTTTAATGTATAAAGTGCTAGGGAATGGCTGCTTTGTATATCGTCAATTACATTTTAACAGTAAGAAATAAAACTAAAATATAAGAAAACGTGTACATTCTTTGTTTTATCTAATACATTACTGTGAACGTCCCATCCTGTATTGGTGTCCAATCTGCCACAGTAGTTCGCCAGGAGTTACAGTCCGTGAGACCATAGTTTAGAGGATTGTAATGAGAGATCGTAATAATTCGTAGCAGTCATTAACCATGAGATCGTTACATTTTAATACATTTCTAATACCATTTAGAAAACAACTCAAAAGAAAGATGTCACTCTAGAAGTTTAAATCATAAAATATGTGTGCCTGGTATTGTAAAACAAGAAATAGTTTTTGCCTGAGATTACTCAGGTCCAAAGCCTTCTCGGCTTTGAGGTTCTTTCCGAAAAATAATTTTGAAATATCTAAATCCAGACAGGCAACGCTTCTACCTCAATATAATTGATATTCTTATAAATATTTATAAAAATTATTAAATATGCGTTCTAGATGCGTGTGACACGTTTTGTTGATTACATACAAAATCAATGAAGTCACATCTAGCTGTTAGCTAGAGACTCGAGTAAGCCTGAGATATTTTGTTTCTCTATATTGAACGATGCGTCCATTCCACAATGATAGTATTCCATAGGGCTAAATGGCTGTACCAGGTCGTTCAATAAGTTCACGGAAAAAATGCTCACATTTCAAAGATTCTTGATATTTTCTCATAAAATTTTCACACAATCTATAACAAATACTTCCTGATTGATTCTTAACATATCAGCATCTCTAATCAGATTTTTCAAAAATAAGTGTTACCATGGTAACTTGACTTTTGGGTAGGCGGGGCACTTTTTACATCACACAATTCTACAGTACAAGGATAAAATTGTTGCAGGGGTACAGGTATACCAATAAACCATTAGCTGATACAATTTGAGCCAACTGGTATTTGAATAATTCAACTGTACAACCAAACAAACAAAATGATGGAACAATAGACACATAGCTTGCCTCGGGTATATCCCTTCAAAAACGGGGAGATTTGCTGGAGATAGTTATATTGTGGATCTATATCGATGGGCAAAAATGAAGAAGTACATAGTCGAACATAATTCTTAAATTATATGTTAACACATCAAGTTTTTATTTGTATACGAGCTGCTTTTGCAAGATTAGAGTGGACTGTGTAAAAACTTCAAATCACCAACACATTCCATAAACTAACAGTTACAATATGTCCTAGTGTCTATTATTATATAACTTACCTCAAAATCATGAAAGTTTATGAAATGCATTTTTGATTCGTTCAATACACACTATATTGCACAATACGAGAATTCCTTAGAAAGTTTTTTTACAATCTCCTAGCAACAGATCCAGTGCCAATGCTAGGGTATATACAGTACATATAGATGATAAATCTGGTTTATGTTGTACACAAAAACACTAGGTTCCCACATAGAGATTATCATGGCGCTAGTTTTTCTGAAGAAAGCATAGAAATATGAACACTTGAAACCCCAAGATGAGAGAATAACAGGTACTGTACACGTTGTAGAATCAATGATAATCAGGTGAACACTGCACATGTGCAATATTTTTAAGTACCGGTATATGCCATCAAATGTGGACATAATGATCATGGCTTAAAGCAACAAAACCTTTGCTTGACCCCCCTCTTCCCCCTAGAAATAAGTCCAGATTTGTATTGAACCCAATGGGCTCAGATTAAGGTCAATTTTTGCCTGAAAATCCTGAAGACTTTAAGCCATGCATATGATGCAACAGTGTGGTAACATCCCAACAGTGTGGTAACATTGCAACAGTGTGGTAACATTCCAACAGTGTGGTAACATTGCAACAGTGTGGTAACATTTTTCCAGTTTTCATAAAACACAAGAAAAATATATTTTAAAACCTTCAGGATGTGATCCTCATGTCCGTTTATTTCTATGCTTTGCTAGAAAATACCTGGGCCATCTCTTCTCAAATAAAGGGACATTTCTACAGTGTATCTGCTCTGAATGTACATGTAACATGGTTGAAAATAAAATAATTTGATGGTTGGCCATTCCATCATTTGAACTAAAGAACATGCAACCCATTCGGTTGCAACCTCTGTACCATTTGGTTGCAACCTTTATACTATTTGGTTGCAACCTCTGTACCATTTGGTTGCTTTGGACAATTACTAAGGGTCTGAGTTCAAATCTTCCAATGAGGAATGAAACGTTTATATTTATATACAGGAGTTGTTCCCTTGTTCATCCAGTATTTAGAGTGAACACAAACATGACCTTGATTTAAGAAATTCTTGAAAATAACTTAACTCTATTTTATTACACTTATACACACATACCTTCATTTCAGCATGGCAATGGCATAGTATCAAAATAAATGGTTAAGAAATAATATTTTCTTAGACATTTAATTAAATAATTCATGCACTATATCTGATGATACTGACATCGACTTAGTGTCAAAATCAAACATGTGTCATTATCCACTTCCTGTGATGTCATAATCACCCTACTTTATGTACTATATTGCAGAAACTATGAAAATATTTTACTCAAATGTGCTTCCAACCCTTTTTGAAAGATTCCCAATGGATGTACAGTAATTGTCTTTCCAACACAAGAGGACATTGCCCATCCTCAGAGGAGCCCCATCCCACAAAAGAGGAGATTTCCCACGAGGCTGTTGAGATAGAGCAGTGACCCAAATGGACATCTCTGACTCTGTATTTAATTTAGTACAGGGTGATCAGACAACGATGTAAGATTTTTGAGAAATGCCAGCTCAATTGATCTCATTTTTGTGTCACCCTGTAGATCTTCTAACAGAAATAACACCATGTACTCATATGGATGACTCGTGTATGAAATATATACAAATGTTTAAAAGATTGTACAATATAAGAGGGCAGTACTTATTTCCATATATGTACATATTAAGATGTTTATACACATAATATTGTAGAATAAGAACATTACATGACATCACAATAGTGCCCCTTTAATTATGACATCGGTTTGAGTATTATGACATCAGAGTTAAGTATGTAGATGTTACATCAAGTGACATCAACCTGACATCATAACAATGAACTAATCAATGTGTTTGTATACATGACATCATATCATTGTACATATTATGACACCTCCATAATAATAAACTCATATTCAATCTGATTGTAATCCATGACATCACACTACTTATACATTTGACATCACACTGCATTGTGATTAAACACATGACACAATCTGATGTCAGACATATACAATACATAAGGACATGATGGTGAAATATTAACAGTGCCAAAGTGTAATAACACGAACACACATACACACATATATATATGTAATAAAGTACATGTACATGTATACTGCATGAGATAAGGTTAAATATATAGATAAAATACGATGACACCACAATAGTATGTGAAATGCCAAAATATATACATGTAATGTGATGTCATATATTATCATTGTGAGATGTCACACTGTCAATGTTTGCTGTCAGACACCTCAGGCTGTCAATATTTGATGTCAGACACCTCAGACTGTCAATGTATGATGTCGGACACCTCAGACTGTCAATGTTTGATGTCAAGACACCTCAGACTGTCAATATTTGATGTCAGACATCTCAGATTGTCAATGTTCGATGTCAGACACCTCAGACTGTCAATATTTGATGTCAGACACCTCAGACTGTCAATGTTCGATGTCAGACACCTCAGACTGTCAATGTTTGATGTCAGACACCTCAGACTGTCAATGTTTGATGTCAGACATCTCAGACTGTCAATGTTTGATGTCAGACACCTCAGACTGTCAATGTTTGATGCCAGACATCTCAGACTGTCAATATTTGATGTCAGACACCTCAGACTGTCAATGTTTGATGTCAGACACCTCAGACTGTCAATGTTTGATGTAAGACCACCAAAGGTATCCTCTAAGACTATCATGTAAATACAACACATGCTCTTTTACTTCCTAACATCAATTATCTCAGAAAAGCTCTCTGAATACATGATGACTTGGGTGACTTGGGCCACCTGTATTGGGTGGCCTGAAAGTAGGTTTACAGTTACAGTTTTCAAATTATTGAATAGCTGTAAACCTCTTTTGACCCACCCTGTAGATGTTCTTTTCCCCTTTTGAATGGGATCCTTAAAATATGAATAATGTAAAATAAAAATTTGGAAAAACTTGAACGTATACACATGGTGGATTTGTTCTCATTATTCAACTAATATCTGTTTTACAGTTTTTTGTTCACTTTTTCTGTTGATAAATATGTATATAGTTTCAGTTACGTTTTCTTGATGCTTTCTTGAATGAACCACAAATATAACTTGTATGACTGAAATGAAGATGGAATAAATAATATCAGGAAAAATATGAGATTCTCAGTTGAAGAAATAAAGAAAGTGCTGTTTACTCTTTGAACTTTTGTCTCGATAATTTTCTCAATGAACCAAAAATTTGCAAACTCCCATTGCAAATTACCTTATTATGGGGAGGGGATATCAGATTCTGTAAGTCGAGAATAAATAGTTTGTCATGGTCAGACATGGATATGAAATATACTCACGTTTACATAATTAACCTCCTTAGCACTTTTGGAATACGGTACAATCATGAACATTTGAAATACTTTCTTAAATTTTATGTTTGAATTAATTAACATGATCATGAAATTGCCTCTTTACACGTACTATCAGGTCTTTTAAACAACTCCTGATAAACAGAAAACCTTGCAAAAGCTAATTGTACTTATTTTTTATAAATATTTGCACATATTTGATGCCTGCATCCACGGTAAGAAAACTGATTCACAAAATCCTACGTTCAAAACTGCTTGTATAAATAACAATATCATTCAAAGATATACAATATTTCTTAATCATTTAGATCATGTGTTCAGAACTCCTTGTATAAATTATGACTGATGCGATTTTCCTCAATCATTTAGATCTTGTATTTCACCTTTGTAGCGACAACTTAGTCACAACTTTAAAATCAACAATTATGGGTGCATTTCTAAACGAATAAATTCATACGCCTATTGTCCTCTAATTAGGACATCATAATCTCCA